CTGTATAATGCTCCCGGTATATCTCTTTTTATTAACAGCTGCGGTAAGTATCTCAATCGCATATTTTAGCCATTCACGGCGGGGCTGTTTCCGACAGTGATATACGAGTGTAGCCACGGGAAATGGTAATGGTAGAGCATTGAAATTAAATTAAATGTTCCCGAATTTATCTGTACATAACTAATTTTAAAAAGGGGTATTTGTGGGTTTGTATGCTCGGGGTAATCTCCAATACTGCTAAGAAATTCTGTTGAGGTTTGCTCAAAACTATATGACATTACGACACGACCAATAGCAAAAGCAGGGAAATCCTATTAACTAATATTTAAAAGGTAGAAAAAATTGTGAGTATGGATGTTCGGGGTATTCTCCAATACTGCTTATCCTATTCAAGAATTTTTTAGTTGAGTTTCGCTATAATGATATATAACATTACGACACGGCCTAGTAAATACAGGGAAATCTTACCAACTATGTAATATTTAAAATGGGGAAAAATTGTGAGTATGGATTTTCGGGGTAATCTCCAATACTACTTATCTGAAAACTGTTTTGTTGATGTTCGCTATAAGCTACATGATATTACAACACGGCCAATAGTAAAAACAGGTAAATCTTTACAGACAAATATGAAAAAGAGGTAAATTTTGCGACTTTCGATATTCAGGTTAATCTTGAATACTAATGAACCTATTTTGAACATTACTGTAGTGTTTGATAGTCCATTTATTAAGGAAAGCTATAAGATATCTAAGATTTTTTTATAAATTAGAATTAATTATTATGATGGGCTAGCCGCGTGGAGTTCTACCCAACATGGTACAAGGTTCTGTAATAGTGTGCAATATTATCTTATCTGTGGTAATAGTATGGTTAAGTAGGTACATTTTATTCATAAGCCGCCATTGGCACCAATAATTTCATAAGACATTTTAGTTTAAAAAAAAAGTCATAAACCATTTCACGGGGACCAAAGCTTGGGAAAATATAAAGATTAATCATTTCACACCAAAATTACTTCAATATATATACTTACTAGCTGACCTCGCAAACATTGTTTTGCTATATAAATTAAAATCGCTATTAAAAAATAGCAATGGATGGCAGAAAGGTGAAAATTTTGGTTTGTATGTATGTTTTAATGCCGAATCATTATAATCAAAATTAAAATTAAAATAATTGTCACAATAATAACAAAAACTATTTAGCGGTGGGTCATATTATCATTGAGGGGTATGAAATTAGAATCATTCCATTACCATACATTAGAAATACTAATGGTAAGAAAAAAATATCATCTACCAAAATCATATTCAGAGGTCACCAGAAGTAAGAAAACTTTATCGTATATTACAAACCATGGGCTAGTCCTAAGTAAATATTGAACACAAATAGTTATTTACGTAAAGTACGTGTACAAAATTGATAAGTTAATAATATTGGTTAGACATTACTCAGTGTTCATGTTAGGTTCATTTGTAACCGACTTAAAAAATAGATGAATTTTTTAATTCACTTAACCATAAATTGGAATATAAACATATTTTTGACCAGCGACTTCGTTCGCATGAAATTTACAGTAAACACATTTAAAATAATAGGGTACAACGATCTTTTTTTATAGCTTTACCGAACGATAGGGAGCGAGTGCAGATGGCACTCTGAGGGCACCGCTAGGAGTTCGAGTCTCGGCTCAGGCCGTCGCCCGCCGATTGGACGGGTGATCGATCGGAGAGGACAATGACAATAAATCTTAAGAAATAAATTGTACAATGCCGAAATTATCCCAAACTAGGGATTTCTTCCAGTCAACCTTTGAATTACTGAAATGAATTGTAGAGTGATGAAATTAGATACATACATGACTTACCAACAAAAAGAAGTTATGTCTTAGCTGAAGGAAACTCCCAACCGTTGTCTGTACATATAATTGTTTCGATACAATAATAATTATTTATTTATTTACCGAAAGCATTGATTCCTATACTATGCTGGGCCTGTCCTGTTGGAACCAGAAAATCATAATTGTTTAAACCTATTTATACCTATTTCAGACACCACCTCCTCACAGCAAATCGATTAAAATAATAAATTTAAGCAATTTACTATAAATATTTTATAATAAAGTTTGTGAGGAGAAATAAATAAATAAATCATATTATTGAACAAGAAAATTATCTTGTACAAAATATTTAAGTCTAAATGTACGGAGAATTTGATAATCCAAAATATCTAATACTGTCTAACAGTGGGGAAAGGGATTGTTAGTAATATGAAATAATTACTCCATTGCTAGCAATGTACCAAGTCAGGTTGACCACCACACGGTGCCCCCTGGAAACCATCGTGATGAATTTATCGCGGTGGGCTAACTGATCTGACCTCATACTCATCACCCTCCACTGGTGCCCCGCCAGCGTAATCCGTTAGCGCAGGCAGGAGCACCATTCCATAATCTATACATATAAATAAAGTTGGAGTGTCTGTTTGTGATATTGTTATAACAGTTTTCTACTACATGCATATGAGTATAAATACGGTACATACACCAAAATAACATTTTTTACAATTTTAGTCTGTATGTTTGTTCCGGCTAACCTCTGAAATGTCTGGACTGAAAAAAGCTGATGTAATAAGGAGTAACTTAGGCTACTTTTATTTTAAAAATAATATTTTATTTTAGAAAAATATAAGTTAAATTTCACGCAAACAATGTCGCGTGTGCAGCTAGTCATCCATAAAAAATACTGTCTAAAAAAGTAATATATATATATAGGGTGGCGAGTGAGTACGTGTGAGTGTAGGGTGTCTGTTGTGTACAAAAGTGGTGTATGAATACGGTTGGTGTGTTTTACGAGATTAGGTACTGTGAATGTTTTCAGAATATACTTAGTTCATACTTTTTATCTGCACTTATGTATATATACGTCATCATTAGATTGCCTTTATCCCATTATTTGTGGTCGGCGCAGTATGTCATTCTCATCCACTGCTCTCTATCGGCCATCATATCTGAGTATACTCTTCTTTTATTCATATCATCTTTCACACAATACATCCATCTTTTTTGGGGCGTCCTCTCTACTTACTCTACTTAATTGTATGTACAGTTTATTACACACCCTTGACCTGATTGGTTGTCATTCCTGAGAACTAAAGTATCAAGTTACGAACTACCTACATCATATTAATACAGCCATTACTAACTTACAGCTATTAATAGCTTAGAAACTAGCCTAGACATACACAGACTTTCTAGAAAGTCTATCTCTGTGAAAATTGTTGGACATTTTTTTTATTGGGATTTTGGGCTATTTTTAGGTCCTAAGACCTGCAACTGCGACCTGCATAGACCTATTGTGTCCTTTTTTAAAGTTCAATACCTAGTCCCGTGAGAGAAAAAATTGAAGTATATTCTTAGTAGCGATGTACCCTCAGGATAAAGTGTAAACTTTCCAAATATTACACAAAAGCTGTAAAATAGTTAAAAAAACTTTACTTGAATTATATACAGATACTAGCTTTTGCCCGCGGCTTCGCTCTCGTTAATTTATCCCCTTAGGGATGGAATTTATCAAAATCCTTTCTTAGGGGATGCCTACGTCATAGTAGTGATTTATGCATACAAAGTCAGCCCGATCGGTTTAAAATTGACAAAGTTTCATACAAACTTTCATCCCCTATTTTATCCCCTTGGGGGTAGACTTAATCAAAATCTTTTCTTAACGGATGCCTACGTTATAACATCTACCTGCATGCCAAATTTCAGCCCGATCCGTCTAGTGGTTTAGGCTGTACGTTGATAGATCACTATGTCAGTCACCTTTGAGTTATATATATTTAGATTTAGTTAACCCTTTATTTAATGTAGTTATGATATTTACCTTCTACGATATACCATCTTAAACCTTTGCATCATCATCATTACATAGTATAAAACAAAGTCGCTATTGCTGTCTGTCCGTCCCTATGTACCTATGCTTAAATATTTAAAACTACGCAACGGATTTCGGATAGAGTGATTCAAGAGGAAGGTTTATATATATAATACATGTACACCCATGCGAAGCCGGGGCGAATAGCTAGTAAATAAATAAAAGAAACATTTAACATACGTAATTCAATTATATGGATTTCTATGATACAAATATCGATATAATTATTGTATCGACAATATTTTAATCGCATTAATTTTAATGAACCTAACTCTACTCATATGGAGGTCTTACAGATCATAGTACTCGACGGCCTCAGTGGTCTAGCGGATTAACACACTGTCATACTTCCGATGATCGTGGGTTCGATTCCTCGCACGGCACAAATATTTATATTCATAGTATGATTATTTGTATCGGTCTGGGTGTTTTCTATATATAATATGTATGTACTTGGGTCTAGATGGCGCTGTGACAATTAGCCTGAGATTATTATTATTATTATTATAGTAAGGGATATTTTATAAAGAATATCTACCCTCATCAGTTATTCGATAATGACAACGTGTATATACTAGCTGTTACTGCGGTTTCACCGTTATTCTGATGTATAAGCTATATTCTAGTAAATATTCATTAAAATCCATTCGGTAGTTTTTGCGTGAAAGAGTAACAAAAATCCATCCATCCATTCACACTTACAAACTTACGCGTTTATAATGTTAGTAACATTAGTAAGAAGTATGATAATATATAGATTCATAATATCTTTTTAGAATCATCCTTGCCAGATATGTTAAAGCGTAATCATATCATCATCAATCATATATGGTAAAATAATGTCAATCTTCATTACACAGTATAAAACAAAGTCGCTGTCGCTGTCTGTCCGTCCCTATGTATGTTTAAATCTTTAAAGCTACGCAACGGATTTTGAAGCGGTTTTTTTATAATATATAGAGTGATTCAAGAGGAAGGTTTGTATATATAATACATGTATACCCGTGCGAAGCCGGGTCGATTAGCTGGTAGATCATAATTTATAAAACGAATTATGTAACTTACAGCGCATTCTGGTTCAGTGGTGTAAGATCCATTGCTGAAGTATTTCTTCGGGCATTCAGCCCACGGCAACTCCGCCTGGAAACTCTGAGCGAAGTAGAACAAACACCAAGCTATGATGGAATTGTAGTACAGCGCCACGTTGAAGGAAACCACCGCCGAACTGATGCCTATACCTCCCAAATATGGTGACACTTGATGCCATACTCCAATCGCGCCCTTTCTCAATCTTTGTCCAATCGCCAACTCCAAATAAAATATTGGTATCCCTTCAATAGCCAACATTACAAAATATGGAATGAGAAACGCCCCTCCACCATTTTTCTGGGCCAGATAAGGGAATCTCCAAACATTGCCCAAACCAACGGCATATCCAACCGTAGCTAGGAGGAACGTGAGTTTACTGTCCCAAGATTCCCTTTCTCCCTCGCCGCCCTCTGGCTTGATGCCAGCTCTTTCTTCTACAGAGCTGGCTTTGCTGGTTGGTGTTTCGGATAAGCGCCTGTTCGGACTAGTGTCTTCGAATGCCTCGTTAGTGGCTCCGTACATAACATGTGTACGGTGCGATGGATGCCCATTCTCCATTGTGACCAGTCGCCCACGTAATTCCTTCATTTCCATACGATCTACAGACCTTTGCGCGTACAGGTCCCGCGAGCTCTGTCGCCTCATCAAATGTGCTGTGTTCGCCATTATCTGCTCCTTTAATCTACTTTATTGTCTATTTTAATTATTGTCGTAACGATCTAATTATTGTCATTTTATATCATAATGAACTCAGTTGTATTGTTTTACAACGAGCTGATTCTCACTGTCGTGGCACATAATGGAGAGCATTAAATAGCACGTGAAAGTTATGATTCCCTTTATTAGAGACACCGTTGGTGGCATATGTATCGATTTGCAACTGGACATTTTTATGATTACATCAAGTGTATCAATCACAGATTATCGATTTATATTCACATCACTGGCTGGTCGGAGATCACTAGTTTTTATTGAACATTTTTTTTTTATTTTGAACGATAGCCGAATGGCGACCGACCTGCTTGCCGGACGTCACTGGCGCGAAGCTTTCGGGGTGAGGCGGACCAGCATATCACGCATGCGCAACCAGAGACCCCTCTTGAATCTTTTGAACCCTCCTACACCCAAATAATGGGTTTTCAGTGCGAAAGAATTAAAATCACTCTTTTCGGAGGCAATCAATTAGCGAAAATTAGACTACGGCCTTACGTCGATCGTTAAATACTATTATTCCATAGTAATTCCGTTATATAATGTATTCTATTCAGTAGTGATTTATAGTACATATGTAGTACACGTGTCGTAACAGGGGAGTAGTGGGGGGCCCTTATATAGAGATTTGTTTAATCTCAGCCTCTAATCAAGGATAATGACTGAACTAAGGATTGTGACCCGCTATATCACTCAATGTTTGGGTCCTTAATATACATTATTTATAGAAACTCATAATAAAATGATTGTAAAGTCTGTATTGTATATGGAATTGGTTATATTATTTTTCTCTTAAATTTCCAAGTAAACTTTCGTTAAAACCTCAATACCAGTAATTTAGAGAAAAATAATGTAACCAATTCCACATATTGTTGAGAAAATGGTCAAACGTTTAATTTAGTTAACTACAATTATATATATATAATGTTATACACTATATAATATTAGATATCAACCCAAGTTAGAATTTGAATCAAATAAATTCATTTAGGTAGCATTACTCTGTAGGGTTTTTCTAACTAGCCTAACTATTTAAAGAAACTCAGCTTCTGACCCAGGAGGGCAGGTTACATTTCTCTTAGGCCAGGATGCAGGAATATTCTATAGTTAATATATAATGAAATATATCTAATAAATCTATATTCTGTAACAGCATATTTGTAGTGAATGCGAGACAGAGTTACTTTCACGTTTATAATATTAGTACCTAAGGATCATCCAAATTGTATTTAAAAGTTCTTTTTGTTGTGTATTTTATATGTCTCAAATAAACGTATTTTCTTTCTTTTCATATAATATAATAATAATAATAATTTTTATTTGTCTCAAACAAAAACTTTTCACATAATACAACCGTTGCCCATAAAATAATATAATTTAAAACTAATGAATGAGACAAAACGGTCTATAACTCAGCGAGGGCAGCGAGTCCACTCTCTATGCTATTCTGTTATAGCCTTTATCAGTAAAATAATACAATATGAGATCGACGACGACGATAGCATATTAAGTTAAGTTCTAAACTACAACTAACAAAGTAAACATAAACATTGACAATAACAAACTTAAATATACATAATCTAAACATTATTCATAATAATATAAAATGTATATAGGTAATATACATTTTATATTATTATATATACATACATATTTTCTATACTTAAAAACGAACAAAATACAACCAATTGTGTGAACTACAAGAAATAACTTGACCCTTACTTTGTTTCATACAATAGAATAGAACACATATTGACTATGCCATGGGCGTTGTATCATGGTGCCGGTGACAGTTTCATCACAGATAACATAATAAAAATGTTTCATTAATGTTTCGTGTCACTCTTAAAAGTTGTCGCGATTTACAAATTATGACTTAGTATTTCAGCTGTACCACATTCGTAATATATTAAATCATTAATAACTTAAATGTAGTAGCACCATGCTACAGTGCACACGGTATAAGTTTCAAGTACAGCCAGTATATAGATATTAGCTATGAGTAAAAATAGGACAACATTCTCTGTGGACGCTTGGACAGTGATTTATTATCTTACAGCCCGCAGGCGGTGTCCTCCATAAATATCTAGCTAGAAAAATAGATACTGTATTATGCTATATCTACATTTTAGTCATTCTTGATTGATTTAAAACAGATATTTAAAGTATTAACTACTTTTAATATTATTGAAATTTTACCTATTCTTCACACAAATTATTTGATAATAGAAAAATATCTCAGGAAACAACGCCAACATTTTTTTGGCACTTACCTAAGTTCATCAATTTTTAACATAATTTTTCCATTGTGCCAAAAGTAAATTGGTGCTTCAATTAAAAATACATTCAAGAAAATTAACTTTTTACGTCTATATATTATTATACATTATTTGCATACATTACAAAGTATCAACCAAGTCAATCTGCATCTGATAGATTGCTATCAATAATTACAATAAAATTAACAATAATTAAAAAAATAAATTATTTATTTATTTCACTAGTATATACTATCTATACCCGCGGTTTCACCCGTAAGAGATTATAATAATGTAATATCTACATATATTACTGTAAATATTCGTAAATTCGTTGAGTAGTTTTTCGTTTTGAACTTTATAATATTAAAAAGAAAGATATAAAATGAATATCGAATATATGTTACATCATGACAACTGAAAATATAGCTGTAAATATAAGCAACGAATAACTAACAATGTGCGCATATTAGCAGACTGTCTCCGACAGCAGTGTAAATAAATCAGTGCGCTTTTTATCCAAACAATAAACATTGATTTTTCAGCTTTTATGAATATACCGCCACCGTTACGTAGTGACAGTAATCCTATTTCCGTTTCCGGTTGTTTACGCCCTCGTTTATGTACTATAAAGTTATAGGAATTCCTGAGTTGTCAATGTCATTGTGACGGCAGCAAACAGTAATGCCAGATTAGAGGTTTCGCCCCAAAAAACAGGTGACTTTGTAGCAATGGGTAGAAATCTATATTAATAATTCCGTCCAGGGGTACGGTAGACTCGAACGAAACCTTATGTGAATAACAAAACATAAAAAAATATTGATTTCTAGTCGACAACATATATCCGCAAAATTCGGATTATGGAGTATTTCGTTAAATTCTAATTACAAACACTGACAAACAAACTGCAGTCGCCATCTTATCATGTCACTAGCTAACAACTAATCACAATACACTACGCGTGCGTTCGCGCCAAAGATTCATCATGTGGATATTTGCAAAACTCAGTGGAAGTATAAAAATACGTGAATTTTGTAAAACACGTTACCTTTGAGAAGGTTAATAGAAATATCGCCAATAATCTTTTTCAACACCACTCAGGTAAACTGGTAGATAAAGCTGCAAGGTGTTAAGTCCGCCATATATCCGTTATTATGTGCATTTAAGTTAAATAAATATATCTGGGTTATATCTTGAATCTACTACTATGTAAAGTACATAGTGGATTATGGTTAAATTTCAGGGAGGAACCCTGAAAATTATCTGGCAATACTGTTTGACGACTTGTATTCAGAGCCGTAAAACGTATTAATAAAAAAAAGAAACCTTGACAGCTTTGTCATTGGCTGTCATATAAATTGTTACTGTCAAGTGTCAAAATTGAAATCAAAACTCATTTCATGAATCGCAATTGCATTTTTCGTCCATTACTACAAAAATAATAATGATAAACTTTACTGCGTTCGTATCATGTCGATTGCGGCACAATTGTTGATCTACGTTACTGTGATACAGTAGTCTACCACAAGCATATCCGACGAAATGTATTGTTTGCAATGGTTGATCCCCGTTCTTTTAATTCCGAAGCCCGTGAACCCGGCATTAGTGAATACACACGTTATGTTCATGGTGTTATATTTAATAGGATTTTTCCTTGAACGGAAACCATGTACAGTGTGCAGTGTCGTCTTCCTAGCCGCAGTGATTCTCATTTGTTATAGCGGCATCGGGAATTGTTTATTTTGGGCGAGTCAGTGTGAAGCCGAGAAGTATGATACCTAAGGCTGCTCGCATACCTTCCAGAGTTACCTTTAAAACTGCTCAAAGTGCAACCAAGTGTTCCGGTCGTGCGGAATGGCGGGAAAACGAGGAGACGTGTTGCGACGCCATGCGATTTTATCAAAATGTTTTTTAAAAGTGTAAATAGAATAAATTTTCTTATTCCCATTTAATTATTGTCATATTTACAATATGACGTTATGTAAACGAATCTTGTGCCGACATGTACTTACTAATCTCATTGTTACATTGGATATTTAATTAAGGTGATATGCTAATGTACAGTTATCATTAGTGATTACTAATTATAATTATTATTGTAATGTGAAATATAACTTGGGAATACAACATGAGCTGTTTGTTTTTAAATATCTTACATAATTATAATATTATTTTTATAATAGCATATTTATGTAAACAATATGGACCTTATCCTTTATTAATACAGTAAACAAAACATTCAAATATTTTAAAACTTTTCTGTATTTATGTTTACCAGTGCAACAGGTCAGCTTTGATGGATTCATAAATATATTAAGTATATATAATGTATTTCTGTTTACTATCTACCAAATAATAAAAAACTATAGTTGCAGTGATTATATTCATTCTTTATATACACACAATATTCACTCTATAGTATTGAACAATGAATTTGTATATTTTTAAATAAATATACAGATATATATGTTAATGATATAACCTCTGAAGGAAAAGAAATGGTTTAAAATGAAGAGAGTCACAAATATGTGTAATTTAAGAAATATACACATTCAGGCAGGTTTTGGTACCTCACAATGTTTTCCAGGAAAACTGTCCACGATTATCTGTTGTTTCAGATGATACTCTAAGATTGTGGTAATGAAGATCAAAGAAGTTTTATTGGTGATTTTTGGATCATCAAAAATGACCAACAAAACATTTAATATGATTTCAGGGGTGCCACCTTTTCAATCTCCTCATATTCTTGAGACACCATGTATATTAGTTGTTATTATTACAGATCTTACATAAGTAATACTACGACATAGAATAATGTCAGAGCATAGAATAAATATATAGATGTTGGTGCCATACAAACTGTTTTAGCCGATCCTTCAGACAGTGCGGCTAAGGCAATTTGTTCTCTGGTAAGGTAATGGAGTGATTAGTTTTGGGGTCAATGGGACTGGCATGTACTTAGATTGTACAAATGACCCTAAATTTAAAAGATATAAAAAAAAGAAAAAGTTCAATACTGAGCTAATAACATAATTATATGGTCGCTATATATGTGTAGGCAACAAATAAAAGTAACTTCTATCACATTAATGATAATTCAAAAACCACTTATCATATTTTGATAAAATTTAAATGGGATTATGTGAAATTTTCAGATAAAATAATACTTTGAGATTATAGCAGAAAATAATGTTTTCAACAAGGAATGATTTCTGTGGATGGAACCATTTCAGACTTCTTGAGATAACTTATATATCTCAGTTACTATTATTATATAGAACAAAGTTTTGAAAATAAGTAACACAGGAAAGAGATGTAGTCAAATTAAATAAACAATTTTTTTAAGTCTGCCAATAAAGTAATTTATCAGGGAATTCCTTTCTAATCAGTTTGCAGGAATTTCTTAACTATATGCATGTCTTTATATAGTTAGTGATTTTTAATGTTATTTAGCTATTTATTCTTTGGTATGGTACATGTAGGAAAAGAAAATAATTATACAGATGGGACAGAAGTATTTTTATAATCATTAGATTTTTATTATTATACTAGCTACTCGCCTCAGCTTCGCACGGGTGTACATGTATTATATATGTAAACCTTCCTCTTGAATCGCCACTGTAATTTTATTTATTTGTATACATTTTTACAAAAACCGCCGCCACTGTATCGACAGTTCAATGTAGAGTACATTGAAATGTCGATACAGTGGCACCGGTTTTTGTAAAAATCTATACAAATAAATAAAATTAAAGTGTCTGTTTGTAATTTCAAACTAACTGGGTATCACTAAATGCATATGAAAATATATATGGTACTTACAACACAAAATTAAGTTTTAAATAGTCTGACTGTCTGTTTTTGCCAATACCTAAAACGGCTAGACCGATTTTGTTGGGACTATCACTCGCAGATAGCTAATGGTATAAGTTACTTAGGCTACTTTTATTTTATAAATATTATTTTTATTCATACTCTATTGCACAAATTAGAAACAAATAGATATTAAATATTAGTGCCCTCAGACTAAAGTATTCGTCAGGAGGGACATGGCTTCAGCCGTTCCATAAGTCCTTCGGCTGGTTTGGAGTGCCATCTGCACTCGTCCCCTATTATCCGGTGAAGCTGTTAAGGCCAGCTGCGGCCGACAGCATTAGAGTAATCCGAAAAAAAAGAGAAGCTACGATTGTCGCGGATTCGATTCCTCGCACTTACAAACATCATGAATACAAATTCATGCGCAAAACTGTTTGTATCGGTGTAGGTGTATTCTATGTATATTTTTTAAGAATAATGGAATGATGCACCCGCCTGCCCTAACGGTTTACGATGGCGAGGCACCAGTGAAGGATGATAAAATGAGAATGAAGTTAGGTCCGTTATCCCATATTGGCGAAGGGTAATTTACCACGATTTCCAACCTGACATGGTACATTGCTCGCAATGGGGTTATTAGACGACATTACTAATAATCACCTTTCTCCTTTATATGTACATTACGTAAGTATTTACAAAAAAATCTAATATATAAAAATATAGTATTTCTATCAGAGGGGAAAGGGATTGTTAGTAATGTGGACTCTCGACCCCATTGTTAGCAATGTACCATGTCAGGTTGACCTCCACGCGGTTCCCCCTGGAAACCATCGTGATAAATTCCAGATGAATTTATCACGATGGCTAACTGACCTGACCTCATTCTCATGTTATCATCTTCCACTGCCCTGCCAGCGTAAACCGTTAGCGCAGGCGGGTGCACCATTTCATTATCATATACAAAAAAAAGTACTTCTATCAGTTGTCTAGCACCCATTACACAAGCTTTGGTTAACTTAGCACTAGATGGCGCTGTGTGATTTGTCATTAATTATTATTGTTGCTATTTGCCGTCATTGTAATGACACTTGCGGTTTCATTTTGTGCTTTATTTCAAGTGTAAGATCACACATTGTAGAATAACAAGATGCAGTGTATATACTAGTGCAACTATGTCTGGAGTTCAAACTAGAACAAGTGGTCGGAATAGGATAATTTGTCTGAGGACAAAGTCCTCACTATGTAACACAATTCCTTACGATTGTCGTTTGAAACAGAATAAAATGTTTGTGTATGCACTATTTAAGTTGCAAATGAGAACCGTAGAATTTAGCTTATATTTTAAAATATATATATATATATATACTAGCTGTCCCGGCAAACGTTGTTTTGCCTTAAAATAAAAAAAAATTAGGAGTGGACTACCCCTAACATTTAGGTGGATGAAAAATAGATGTTGGCCGATTCTCAAACCTACTCAATACGCTCACAAAATTTCATGAGAATCGGTCAAGCCGTTTCGGAGGAGTATGGGAACGATAACTGTGACACGAGAATTTTATATATAAGATATATATAAACTGTAAATATTTACGCATGTCGTGGCAACCGGTAACTAAGTCAACACTATATACCTGAACTTTTTGCAAGGGATAATAATTGTAACCTCATAGTGTAAATAAATAACTGCAACTCTCAAATATTTTTAATTTACATAATTTAACTGCCAATAATAATGATATCTCAGGACAAGTTACACAGTGCCATCTAGTCCCAAAATAAGCAGAGCTTGTATTTTTGGTATTACTACTTATATAAATACATTCTTTTTTGTAAATCTTATCTTATTAATATTATAAATGAGAAAATTTGTGAATACTGAACTGATTTTGATGAAACTATACAACAGAATAATACATAAGCTATAAATTTGCGGGTGAAACCTCGGTCCCAACTAGTATATTCATAATATACATAAAAAACAAGAGAGATACACATAATTATAGTCAGGAATACATATATTTGTCCCGTGCGGCATCGAACTCGCGACCATCAAAATAAGGCAGTGTGCTAAACCCTGGCACACCGAGACCGTCGAGTGCCTCTAATAGGCGTACATGAACAAAGATCTTACGATTTTATTTGATCTAGAAACAGTTTATGCAATTGTGAACCGATTACCTAGTTATTTATAGCAAGAGGGGAATGGATGGCCCCTTTTGATGCAACGGATGCACTAATAGGTTGCTCTCGTGGCATTTCGAGTCGAAGTCCAATGGAATTTAATTTGGATTTACTTTGTAAAATGGATAAAATTGATAGGGGGCGAATAGAGCAATTTTTTATTTCAATTAGCAAACTGACAGTACCTAAGTGGTATTTGTTAAATGATTAGGAAAAGATTAAAGATTATTAATTAATAATAATTTATTCAGCATTGTATAATCACAGATAACATAATATTACATAATAATACAGTAGAACTTAAATGCTATATACAATCACACTATGAACTGAAAGGACCTTCACTCATCTGGTGCCGCAGCATGTCACTGCAGCTTTTTTTCGGCCTACTCTAATGCTGTTGACCGCAACTGGCCTTTACAGCTTCACCTGACGTTAGGCGGCGAGTGCAGATGACACTCCAAGCCCGCGGAAGGACTTATGGAGCAGCTGAAGACCAACTCCCGCCTGGCGGATACGACTTTAGTGTTAGGACACCGCTAGAGGTTCGAACCTCGGCTCAGACGGTCGTAATTTCGATCCCCGTTCGAATTGGACAGGGGATGGATAGCGCTGATTTTCATTGAACACAGAGTAACCTCACATTTTTTTTTTTTTACGATGATAATGGAATGGTTCTCTCGCCTGCGCTAACGGTTTACGCTGGCGGGGCACCAGTGGAGGATGATAAGATGAGCATGAGGTCAGGTCAGTTAGCCGAACGTGACAAATTCACCAAGAATTTATCACGATGGTTTCCAGGGGGAACCGCGTGGAGGTCAACCTGACATGGTACATTGCTAGCAATGAGATAATCAATCAGTAACCTCACATTGACGGTGGCGCAGCTCAAGTCGAGTGAATATGCGTTACAACTCTATTTCACATTAAAAAGTAAGCTATACCTTTCTCAGGGTCTAGACTATCTGTGTACCAAATTTTACTTAAATGGGTTCAGTATTTTAGGCATATAAGCGAGACAAACAGTTACTTTCACATTTATAATATTAATATTGATTAATTCCAATATCATTCATGTTAGTCTATAAAGTATTTATAACATGAACCATTAGTAGCCTGAATTTAATATAAGACAGAAATCCCACGCGAACGATTTTACAGTCTACCACTGGTAGTTAAGTATGAGTATTAATACACAAACAGTACAATTAAAATCTACCTGTACGTCTGTTTATAGACGTAATCAATCCTTCGATTATTTAATTATCAGATAAAAATAACACACGTGAAGTACCTACTTTATAGCCTGATAACATAACACTATACCTACTAGGCCAGTGTTTCCTAACGTGGAGCCCATGGGGGACAATTAAAACTCCCTACTTTCGACTTTATTAAAGTTGTATGGAATATAAATTTTAATTTTTTTTATATGTTTTGAAAATTTACTTACTCAATGAGGAAATTGTTAATGTAACATTAACAATTTTCTAGGGATTTCTTGCTAAAGCCTATTATTTATGTGTTTTTTATGTGAACAGTTTTTTAATATTATAATTTTACATAGAAGGGGGCATAAAAATTTTGCTAAGGTGGGCCATGGCACTAAAAAGGTTGGAAAACACTGTATTAGATGCTACTACTACCTACCGATAAGAGTCATTTAATAAATTAATGCCAACAATTTTCGTAAAGACGTCCTCAGTGGTCTAGCAGTTTAGCACACCGTCTTCCGATGGTCGCGGGTTCGATTACTGGCACAGTACAAACATTAGTATTTTTAAGTATGACTGTTTGTGTTGCTCTGAGTGTTTCCTACATAATGTACAATACCAATAATTCAAGCTTTACTTAGCTCGGCACTAGATGACGCTGTGTGAATTGTCTTAAAAAAAGAACTGTTTACCAATCGAAAATGGTACAAATTTACTTTCGTGCTAGTTCAAATAGATATAAGCAAATACAAGACTTATTTTGTTCATTCTTACGACCTCACGCTTAGGATAGAAAGGTTTCCAGTGTGACCTTTCCACCACAGACCACATGGATGACAACTTGACAGGAAAGCCATAAAAGGAATGCATAAGTTTAAGGTCCAGTCGTTTCAGAAGTTAGCGAAAAAAACAAACCTTCAAAAGATTTTTTGTTAGGAGTACCGTATATAGTTTCATATGCATTTAATGAAAAACTGTTAATTTGAAATTACAAACACACACTTCAATGTTATTTACATATGTCTTTTATGTTAATTCTATTTTACTAACATAGCGACATAATTACAGATTCTCTTAGGTACTATTTTGCGGCTCGGTTATTACCGCTATTATTTATATTGTGTTCGTCTGTTACGAGTAGCGACGGGTGAAGAAACATGAAATAACGAGTCCAGTGGTGCCATCTACACATGTATATTCTTGCGTTTGCGTTGCGTTTACAATAGTTGCATGTTTTACTATAATATATATGTATGAGAACAAAAGCGAATAGGTCCCAATCTGACAGGCTTGTTATTTTTTAGTCTCCCAGCGTTGCTAAGCAACGGTGTTGCCGCGCGCTATCCGTAGAATCGCCACACTATTCACTGACATTGAAATCGCAAAGATAAATTAGTACAGAAGTTATCGAGTACGTAATACGTATACCGGTATGCAAATTTAATACAACACACGACATCGACCTATTTACCTAGTTATATTAATAAGACGAGACTATTTAAGATAAGAGTATGACTACACAAGGGTCAAATAGGTACCTATTACAATACTGACTACTACCTACTAACCTACACACTAGATTTTTTTTATGGCTTGGTACGATGGTATATTTGGCAAAATCAAAGTTTGGGAAAGTATAAGATTTAATAATGAGGTGGGGGGGGGGAAAGGAGATTGTTAATAATGTGGAGTCATGACTAGCTATGTACCATGTCAGGTTGACCTCCACGGGGAACCGCGTAGACGAAACCATACTGATAAATTCCCGGTGAATTTGTCACGATGGGCTAACTGACCTGATTCCATGCACATTTTATCATGCTCCACTGGTGCCCTACCACGTGAACCGTTGCGCAGGCAGATGCACCATTCCATTAGCATCCATAAAAAAAATAAGTATAGGATAATTTTGGATTTGGAAATATGGATCAGAGAAATAGATTAGAGGTTTGAGAATTATATATTTACAACTTGCAGACACGGCCACGCGCTACTGTGGCTCTTGAATAAAATAATATTGCGACTATAAATTGATATGTAAGTTATCCTTTTCTTTCAAGTTGGATCAAATTGCACACAATGCGCAAATCAAATTTGAAATCTGTTCAGTAGTTTAGGAGTCCATCGCGGACAAACGACGTGACAAGTAATTTTTATATATGAAAATAGATATTAATACTAATAAATACTACATACAAATGTTTTAAATGTACTCGAATTTATTGTTAGATGATCGCATGCTAAATATAATACAGAATAAACTCAATAATTAAATTTTTTCAAGAAATGGACGTTAATGTTTTAATTTTAAAGTCTTATCGTTAGTTTTTAAAGTCTATTCCAAACTTATATTTTGAGTTAATACTTCATTATATTATGCGTGCGATATAGAAAAATTTAGAGACGCATCGACTTCGCAGGATTTGATTTATTTTGAGAAATATATATTATAAAGGTGAATTGAAATATATACAATATAAAGGTGAATTGTTTGACTGTAAGCGGATTTAGTCATAAATAAATCAGTCCAAATTACTCACAGAGTATGTAGCATTCTAGAGTAAAAATATTTTTTTTAAATAGGGTATCATTTAAATTTATTCCTTACAAACAAATAATTGAATTTTTGTTTTTTTTTTTGTGGAATTACAAACAGCTACAATATGAACAATGCTTATAGTGGCAGGTGATATCAAACTAATAAATATGTAACCCACATTATTAAAAAATCAAGCACTACTGTACTGTTTGCATAAATTCATTTTTAATGTTTTGTCCGCATATCCAAGCTTGCCTCAATTAAAACAATTATTGTGTGAAACTTTACAAACTTTTCTTATTAGAAGATTGATATTAAGTAAATTTTAACATAATTCTTATAAGACTAATGCCAACTCTTTTAAAATAACATTTATATACAAAGAATTATGTATGTATTTCACCTAATTAATATTTTGGAAGATATTTCATTCACCTTACTAAGTAATAGTTGTCAGAAAATACTGGTTAGAAAGGTCCACATTAGAATAAAATAAAACAACATATAGTTAAGTCATTTATTACGAGCTGTTTTTAGAGATGGTCATCTTTGACGGTTTCTTACAGATACATAGAAGGTTTAAAGTGAGGTTATTATATTGTGCCTTAACCTAGCCTCGACTGCCACATCTGAAACAAAAAATACATTATAATAATAATAATTCTTTATTGGAAATCAAAAACAATTCTATACATTGTGAAGAAAATCATTCAGAAATTATAAATACACTACCTCAGACTATAAATTTATTTGTAAATAGTAGAAGTAAAGCTGTTAATATCTATTTCATTTAGTCTTTTTTTACATAAAGTTCACTAACGCTGTAAATTGGATTACAATATTGGAAAATACATAACCTCAAAACATTTTATGAAATATATTCTCATGAGTATAGGATTGGTGAACAACAATAATATACCAAAAATTTACCGTTAATTTATCTTAATCTCCTAGCTTCACGTTCAGACTCAAGGAGGGTCAGAATGTCACCATCGCGGACTGGTCCCTTCACGTTTCTGATGATCTGGCGGGTGGTCTCTCCGATGAACTCAACTTTGACCTGTGTACATTGGCCTTGTGAGCCAGTGCGGCCCAAAACCTTGACAACGCGAGCGAGAACGTTGGATTTATCCATTTTTAGTTAGTTATAGAGCAAAACCACTAAAATACACGTGTGCTAAACGTAGCGTGTGTAGAAAAGAAAGAAATCGCAATTTTGACAGTCAATGATATTTCAGCTCAGTGACAGTGACGGTTATTAAATGTCACTTCCACAGAGTACTTTACAAGATTTTTTGTTTTTTTCTATATTAAAATAACTCTTTAGTGTTTTTTTTTTATTTTGGCAAGTCTAGTGTAACTATTATCGATAAAAATGGGTTTTATCAAATTCTCAAGTATTTTTTAAATATGTTACGCAACTACTTTGCAGATATTAAACGGTAAATGTTGACTACTAGGTAAGGTAGTTAGTTATGTACCAATAATAATGTAATGTAATTTTATAACATTTTCCAATAATTAGCACAATAATAAATTAATGTTTATTTTGTCATGACAATAATCGACGGTTAGGAGAAAATGTACTAAGATTTTTTTAGATACATAATATATGAAAGTATTCCGTGACCATACATAAGGATATCTTACCCATTACAAATGATATATCAGCTTAGTTACTTATTATATTGAATGAACCATAGTTTCTTAGGAAAAGATTAAGCTGTCGATTCCGACGCTTTACCGGTTATTAAAAAATACCTCTGTAATGAAAGTGACTAAATTACATGCAGTAATTTATGTTAAATAATTATTGCAGCAGATAAAATAAAAAGAAAATTAATAAAAATGTAACATTTTATTAAATAATGTCTTCTCGTATTCGCACATGTTGGTACAAAGTTCTCAACACTAGTTATTTGTTCCATAATTTACTCTCATCACACACTTAGCAACTACAAACCACACAGTCTATTATACAAGAGCAGCTCAATTAAATCAAGAATAGACCTTGAAATTCATATTTTGATATTAATACACTGAATAATATTGCTGAAAATGTAAGAAATATGTGCATACACAATTTTTTCTAGTATCTATTTACACAACCAGTAAGTGTCTAAGATGACACCTCTAAATTCTAAAGCAAATATATCGATACTTAAAAAAAAGTAGTAAATAATCATTGATAAGCGGAGTTTATGTCATGTAACCGTAATTATTAGGTCTATAATTGTTTTAATCGTATCGCACGCATCTGAATCGCCACTCATCGCGATTGATGCTGCGATTTTCTCTGCAACACACAATTAATCATCCCCGGCAGATCTCTTCGCTTTTCTCGCCCGTGGTGACTGTTTCGGCGTTTTGGGAGATTTTTCTGTAAATAAATTTAATGTGACATTAGATATTGTGAAAATGGCGTAAATATTAAAAAAATATATATACCAACTTGGTGGCAAACAAGCATACGGCCTATTTGATTTCACCATTCTTTATTACAACATTGTGATGATTAAACGCAGTAGTAATAAATTGTATTCTTACTCTACTATCAGACAATCTGCTAGAAAATCACAAATCAATTAAATTACAATGACTACAATGTAATTAAACCTGCTTTAAAAAAATCAGTAGAGTTTCTTGCCAGTAGGGGAAAAAAATATTAATACAAAAATGTTCGTAAGTGGCTAAAATGTACTACACTTTATTAGTGTGTCCTACACTAATAAAGTGTGGTACATTTATTAGGAAGTTATATAAGATTTTGATATATATATTAATTATTTTTTATTTTGATTATGTGTGTGTACTATAAAACAATAAGTAAAATGTCCTTACTGAGTTGGTTGACGACTTCCTTAGGCAGCCAGTCGTAGTCGACGTCGCGGGCAGTGCCAGTCTCCAGCACACGGGGCGCGGGTCTTGGCGAGCGACGCCGGGCGAGGGACGAGAGCGCCTGCTGCCCGAGCACTAACGCCAGCACGCCTGCCGCGCCCAGGAACACGTACAGGAAGAATGTCTCGCCGTCCAGACCTTCTGACACCTCCACTATGTTCACCGTCTGATTGTACACTGCCTCCTATACAAGAAAAAAAACCAGAGTTAAAAAATAAATAGGCTTTATTATTTATAAAGGTGAATTTCATTTTTTTGGCACATCTATTATATTTATATGTAAGTACAAAATTCATTCCATGACAAGTACATACATCAGAACATTTGTACATTATTATGACATCCTAGTGTAATTGATAGTCTAGTCAAACAATATTACTGGCAAGAATAGGTACTAAATTCTCAGAACAATTTAAGACACTGCATTAAAAAATTAAATTGTAGGGATCTATTTACACCTACATCTTTCCTAATTAAATTGAATTAGATTCCACTTGCATTTGAAATTACTTAATATAATTTCTTAACAAAATAAAAGAAATAGATAAATCAATCATTGACATGTAAATTAAAGAATTAATTTAATCCACAAATACTATTTACAGAAAATTAATTAATTCTTCCTTCAATCAATCTCTTACAGCCTTTGGGTAGAGGAGAGAAAATCTGAAAGTGGTAGGTGGACCATAAAGGGATTATAGAAAAAAGGCATAGTATTATAAAATATAAATATAAAGTAAAGTAGCATGTTAAAGTTAAGATTGTAAATGATTTAAAAACTAGCTACTCGCCCCGGCTTCGCCCAGGTATGCATGTATTATTCATATAAACCTTCATGATTCACTCTATCTATTAAAAAAACTGCTTCAAAGTCCGTTGCATAGTTTTAAAGATTTAAGCGTACATAGGGATGTACAGATAGCAATAGCGACTTTATTTTATACTATGTAATGATGTATAAGCTATACCTGGTAGAAGTTTCCACTCGCATCCCTGTAGTTCAACTGGATATTCAAACCAAAAGGTCTGCCAGCAAAGGCCTCATTGGGTATAAAAGAGTATGCAAATGTGGCTTCTTGTTTTGGCTTCACTTCACGGTTGTACGGCAGGGCTGTGAAGTTCTGAATGTAGTAAGTGTAGTCCATAGGGTATCTGAAGGAAGCCTCCATTGAGTCCACAATGTAATCCTCAACACCCTTGTTCACAAAACCAACAAGGAATTCCACTGGGAAGCCGGCTTGCAGATCTGGAAATAGAATTTAGATATGTATATCATTGTTAATGATAACCTGAATGTTGCAGAAGATTCCAGGGATCGATAGATGGCGAAGGATTGATTAGGCTTACACCCATGGGGGCACATAGGAAGAAACAAAAAATAATCTAAGAATAATATATCTTCACAGTTATGTTGAATAATAAAGCTATAACAGCAATAATAACCATTATTTAGAGTTACTCTATTGTCTAAACTAATTTTGCCACTGGTAGAATGCTTTTAAGCTATGTTCTGGCTTGAAATCTGACAATGATATCACAAGATATGGATGTATATTATAGTTCTCAGGAATGGTAAATTATTCTGGGTACCATGAGCATATCACAATAGATTTTTTGATACCTATATTCATGTGCAATGATACACATAATGGAAAATGGTAAATTTTCTATTTGGGATTGCTTTTTTGGCAATCTCAATGTCTGTCTGTCCAACCCAGGTACCCAGTTTATCTGGGGTCCGGATTCCCTGTACATCTATGCCAGAGAACTCTGTTCTTTTTTTTATTGTTATTGTAAATGATTTTTGGAAATACCGATACATTTAAAAAATATATGTAAAATAATATTTACCAAAAGCATTATCACCATAGTTAGGCACAGGTTTGGTGAATAAAATAGTTGTGTCTACATCTTGTGAGGACTTAACTACTGAGTCATCATCATCTCCGAGACCATCATCGCCTACCACCTGATTATCTTCACCTTCTATATCTACTACGTCATCAAGCTCATCTTCTTCTGCTCTCGCTAATATTGTGTTAGCTGAAAAACAAATTATGCACAGTTAATTTTAAAAAATGTAATTTGAGTTTAGTTTATAGGCATATTGCGGCCAGTAATAAATTATTTCATTTTGATGGGAAAAATATAACAATATAATTTTCTCATTTAAAGTATACCGCTGTTGTTCTAACTGTAACAGGCAAAATTATGAATCTTAATTTACAAAAGCTATTGAAACTAAGAGAAGAACATTATTTATAATTATACAAAACCATTGTTCATAAAAACCAATTTTAACAATTTTAATATTCTTAAATAGTTGACTAAAGGATATACTAAGAGCAATAGTGACTGCTAGAACAAATTGACTATTTATAAAATATACATATGGGCATATTACAAAACATAATATCCCCATATGTTGAACTTTTACATAAAATGTAATAGTTACTCATGAAATTGATATCTAGGTCATGTTTTAGACAGAATATAATTTTAAATACCTTATAATTTATTAGGTTATTTACACTCAATGTAATCTTACAACAGTGAATAAACTATATTTGTGTGTAAATAACAAATTCATGTATTAAATATGAATTTTTAATTCACACCTGTTTTATACTTCTTATTAGAAACATTAAAACACTACTTTTTTTTATTTTTTTGGTCTATGGCCCATAAAATTTAAAAATAGTATGTAGTTGTACTTGAAGTGCTAAACTTTCACTTATAAAATAGGTTACATTTTCTTAAAAATCATATAAGCCTTTATCTTCACAAATAGACTGCAATTATCAGTCAAATACCAGTTCCCACACAAAAAGCCGAAGATATTCTGTGCCACGTCCATAAGTGGACTACTTTCTTAAATAAAAATAAATCTGAAAAGAAACTCACCACTCTGAAAGCACAGTAACGCCGCAGGTAGCACCAGGAATGCCAAATATAACAATTTCATTTTGATTTTCTATATATTATACTAATTTTAAGTTCATAAAACGAAGGTTAGTATGAGAGTGGAATAAAAACCATTCACTTGGCGTAACAAACGGACAAGCATCGCTAGAGGTAAAATGCCAAAAATTTCTTTCCAACTCGATTGACGTGGAGTATTTTGTCACGTAGTGACGTGACAGGTTAGAATGATAGTGAACCGATTTATAACATAAATAAAACCGTAAAATGCGATCTTATTAAAATTGTTAACGCAATGAGTAATAAATATTTTTTAATGTAATGTAGATGCAAATTAAGGTGTAATATTTATTTAATTAGACTTTATAATTTTTTTAACTTACTTTCGAAAAATAATAGTCCTTACTTTGTAAAGTCCGGTTTTCATTGAAATTTTACCGTAAGAGTAAAACTTTTTCTGTCAATATTTTCATATTCGTCATATAGAGAATATGAAAAACAACAACGACGACGACACATAATGTAATGAACACATACACAGTTAAGTAATTAAGACCGGCCTAATTCATTTTTGCCAGAAAATAACTAATTCAAATAAAGAAATTCGATTACGCAACACAAATTATATTTATACCTTATTATAACTGTAATTTTTTTTATTTTATATTCCCATTTTTTAAATTAGTATAATTATTTACATCATAATACAGTAGCGCCATCTGTCAGCACAACATAGAATTTGTCCAAATTGTTATAGATTTTCTTATATTTCCTGTGAAAATAAAATAAAAATAAACTACCTATTAGCAAGTCAAAGAAGATGATGCCCTAAATTAAATATGCTTAATTTTGTAATATACGCTATTTCTAACATTAACTAAAACTGAAACTGATAGCATATCGACTTTGTTATTAGCCATTTTAGAGTTTGATAAATATAAACTAAGCTGTACTGTTTGCATTTGAACTTTGATCATCGATATATATTTTGAAAATAGTAGATTTTAATTCAATTCTGGTTAAAATTGTTAGAGTTTATAAATAAACTACGTATTCAATATCTTATCTATTACGGTTTTCAGAGGACAGAAAAATAAAATCTTAGGTCATGACGGTCTTAAAAATAAAACATTACTAAAACATAGCCTGATCAGTGATTAGTAATCACTATATCTTATATATTAATTTGACAGGTATCTAGGTAGGTAGGTACGCCCTCGGTTTAGCGTTTTAGCACAATGCTTTATTTACAATGGTCGCGGATTCGATTCCTCGCACGGTATATACATTTGTATTTATATAATTAATTATATTGGTCTAGGTGTTTTATATGTATAATATATTTACAATAAAAATGTATTTATATTAGTTGTCCAGTGTTCATAACACAAGCGCTGCTTACCGTGAGACTAGATGGCGCTGTGTTAATTGTCCACGGTTTTGTTTATCTCTGAACAGCTATAATAATTATCTAATTAGATTGTAGGTATGATGATAAAAATACATAATTTGTAATATAACTATTCACTAACTACTCGTATCGTTATCATAATGACGTGAATAATTAATGATACATAATTGTAGTGATAATTTAATGCACAGAGATTTAGTTTAACGTAGCATTTATAATATTACTATAACCATGCGCCGCAGTTTCGCACGGGTATTTTCAATTCATTAACTCAACACCTACGGTTGTGTCAAAGTTTATATACATATATATATATGAATACACGCATTCTATACATTTTTCACATCCAATAACAAGACCCGCTCCGATCGATCACCCGTCCAATTCAAACGTAAATCAAAATTACAACGGCTTGAACGGAGATTTGAACCCCTAGTGGTGCCCTCACACTAAAGTTGTATCCGTCAGGCAGGAGTTGGCCATCAGCCGCTCCATAAGTCCTTCCGAGTGTTTAGAGTACCATCTGCACTCGCCCCTATCGTCCGGTGAAGCTGTAAAGCCAGTTGCGGCCAACAGCATTAGACTATTCCGTAAAAAGCCGATAATAATGTTATCGTAGTTTTACTGGTAACTTTTTTTTTATAACACGGCACAAACGATCGATTCGGAAATACCATTGCTGGAAGGTGATTCCACAATGTGGTTGTGCGAGGCAAACAGTTTCCAGAAAACCGTACTGTGGAAGACCGCCATTCATCTGATGATCAGGATGGTATTTCAGTTTCTGGCGGGTGGTACGGTGGTGAAACTCAGCAGCTGGTATTAATCCGAACAATTCCTCAGAACACTCCCCGTGATATATGAGGTAGAAAATGCACAGAGATGCAATATCTCGCCGCAAAGCCAATGGGTCGAGTCTGTCACATAGACGTTGATTACCAATGATTCTGGCTGCTCGGTTCTGAATGCGGTCAAATGGTTAAAACACAAACTTAAATTGTTCGTAAAAATACATTTTAGCTGAATGTTTGTTTGTGTAGTCTAATTTACATAATGAATAATGTTTTGCATAATGCATTATTCAATTGATTACTGTTACAATAATAACACACCTATTTTGTGAGTTGTAAATCAGGCCGCTTGAAGTCCAATGCGTATATTTCACAATCTATACAAATAAATAAAATTGAAATGAATGTCTCTTTGTAATTTAATTCATATCTTTTCATTAAATGCATTAGAAAGCATATACGGTACTTCCATAAAAAAATATTAAAATAGTTTGTTCTTGCCATTAAATAGGATAGTACTTACTTCATTCTTGCTAATCTCCAAAACGGTTGGATCGATTTTGACGGGACTTTCACTCCCAGATAGCGAATATTATAAGGAATGACTTAGGTTACTTTTATTTAGTAATCTCAGAACAATTCACACAGCGCAAATCTAGACCCAAGTTAAGCTAGCTAAAGCTTGTGTTATGGGTACTAAATAACTGATACATATACATAGATATATTTTTTTTGTAAATACATACATATGTATATAGAAAACACTCAGACCGTTACAACCAATCATATTCATGAATACAAATATTTGTGCCGTGCGAGGAATCGAACCCGCGACCATCGGTCGTAAAGCGGTGTGCCGCGTGTGTGACCGCTAGACCACCGAGGTCGTCAATTTTATTTTATAAATAATATTAAATGCCGTGTTTATTTTATAAATTATATTATTTTTTTTATAAAAAAGAGGGCTAAACGAAGGTGCAGGTAAAAGCTAGTAATTTAAATAAACATGACGGGCAGATAAGTTCTCGATATTTTACGGTTTTAATAATGTAATAGGATAAATAAATATATAATTTACAAAATCTGTGTTATTGAGTATATACAATACAATATACCTATATATACAATAATAGATCTGTAGAAATACTATTTCTATTTCTGAAATAAATAACAAAGTTTTAGTTAGACCGTCAATTGTGCTCCCAGCTAGTTTATTCTAAAAAAAATATCTACAACTATAGAAAAATATAGATATGTAATATGATGTAGATATGTAATTTTTATTCAATTATAATTTTTAATAAAAATACTTATAAAACTAAAAATAAAGTCTGATCATTCTCATTCAACTAGTGCAAAATAAGAATAATATAAATTTTATTATTTCATATATTTAGGTAGGTAGGTACTTTTAGAAAGCGTACCTACATGTGTATAACTCGGGCGCTAATAAAGATGCGTATCATACGAGTTGAAAAACTTATCACAAAGTATAATAAAGATCGCTTAAAAAGTAAGGAACGTCTAATGGAAAGCTAGTGTGGACACTAGTTCGTAATGTTAACTAACATTTGAATAGCAAAGGTCATCTTTATGTCATCTTTGTTGATAATTCAAATACAGTTTAAATTTGTTCGTGCTGTTGTATCCACGCGGGTCGATTGTCTGTGATTGAATTAATGGCCAACAGAGGTGATTATTTATATATTTTTATTCTGTAATTCCATTTACGTAAAAATAAAAAAATAAATAGATTTAACTATCTTTAATTTTTATGATTTCACTTTATTTAGTGTAATAATCGTTATGTATTTGGTGTGATATTATTGTAAAATGTAACAGTTGATAGCCGATCGTTATGTTAGTCGAAATGAAATATTGGAGTATTTTTTTTTTTTTGTTTAAGTACAACAAAATCAATACAAATAAATATACATCTAAGAGTACCTACAGTAGCATAATTTTTTGTGTTACCACAGATAAGATAATATTACATAGTGTTACACAGACAATAAATCTTTTTAAACAATATGAGTATGTGTTATAGTTGTATTATTATTCCAATAATACAACATAATACCCATGACCAGACGGGATAGTCAGAGACTATATTTAGTCGTCTATTTTTTTTTTAGAATAAATATATATTTACGCTTCTACCAGTACCAGTATATTTTGACAGGGCTATAGTAGATGATGACAGTGTGAGGATAGTCAGACAGGTCATTTAGCTTATTATAATGAATTCATCGAATGGTCTTCTGGAAGGCCGTATCGACGTGGACCTGTTCTTACCAATAAGCCTAATATTCTCCACGTCACTGTCTTTTCCCATTTATCAATAAATGTTAACAGTTGCGGATACCAGAATTTCGTCAGATATTTAAATCTCATCATCATCATTAGTCCACTGCAGTCCACTGCTGGACATAGGCCTCTCCCAAAGCAAGCCACTGGGCACGATCTTCAGCCCTTCTGTTCCAGTTACTATTCGCAAGTCTACATATGTTGTCGCTCCACTTAGCTGCGGGGCGTCTTACACTACGTTTGCCAATTCACGGTCTCCACTCTAGAACACTCTAGTACTCCAGCGAGCATTGTTCGACATTTAAATCTATGATAATAAAATCATTTATCCCAGTACTTTTAAGCAAGAAATCACTACATTTTGATTAAAGACGCATTACGAATCGAACGGTGGCAAATTTAAAAAAGTTATAAGAACTTCTTATTGTTTTTTTTTTATTTCTATATGTACCTATGACTAAATAAATTTATTAATACTAATATATTATTTTCAGCATTAAAACACATTCATGGCACGACCGTTCGTAGGTACAGCAGTGCTCCAAAAATACCGCGTTGTGACTTTAAACCGAATTTATACAAAGTAAGATTTTTTTTAATACTAATCAAACACACACCTATACATACTATCACGATTGTTATGTTAAATGGGGTAGCCAAAGGCATTGTGAACTGCCGATGTTGTAGTGAACACAACACGTGACAAGTCCACATTTTCCTAAGTTCTAATAATAATCGTAATATATTTAATTTTTCTGTTTTTGTGTTTGTCACCTAACTCCTTCTAAACGGCTGAACCGATTTTAGTAAAATTCTTTGTGTATATTTGAATGGGATCATGAATGATTTGAAAATACAATTGGACTGGAAGGCGCTGCTTTCCGGGCAGGAGGCCATCTAATCTGTCTACAAGAATTTTCAAAAATCCGTACTTAGCTGATGCTGAGGGTACGTCACTAAAATTAAGCTAAAATTTGTTTTTGCAACAATCTAATTCCAGGGCCCTGTATTTCAAAAGACTGACAAAATAAAATCCGAAAGCGTGCCGCCTATATTGAGCAATTTTTATAAAAACCCAGTTTTAGTGCACCAAGGACATATGCAATGGCTGTATGACCATGAAGGGAAACGATATCTGGATCTATTTGCGGGGATCGTTACAGTCTCCGTGGGACATTGCCATCCGTAAGTTATACTATGTAATACTAGATGCGCGCGCGGTTTCACCCGCTATAAATTTCAATAAAAATATTGCCTATTTGTTATTCTGATGCATAAACTATGTTACTGTCAAGTTTCATCAAAATCCGTTCCGTTATTTTTGGCCTGAAAGTGTAACAAACATTCATACATACAAACTTTCGCATTTATAATTTTAAAAAGATTATCTTATCTAATGATTATACCGAGGCATGCCACTAGAGACGCAACTACACATCCTATGTGGTTGTAGCCCACGTTTGCATGAACAAATATTTCCTTTGAAAGTATACACTATATCCTGAGCAATGGTTTGTATCTCACGAACCATCGCATCTAAATACATCATTCAGTTCTTGTCCATGACTGGTCTAAGTAGCGAACTTTGAAAAAAGGGAGTGCACAATAGATCTATGCAGATCGCAGTGCTACAGGCCGTAGTCTTAGCATCTATAAAATAGCTCAAAATCCTCAACAAAAAAAAAGTTACTAGTATGTAGAAATAGGTGAGACAGAGTTTATCCACGCAGACACTTTTCCACAATGTCACCCTCTGAAAGTCATGTCCGTATTAAAAGCATAAATATTTACATTTTTGTATTTAAGTTAGTATACTTACATTTGTAAATCAGCATGAATATTTATTTCTGTTATAAAAACAAATGCGGTTGAACTGTATTAATTAAATAATTGTTTTCACGTAATGTTTATATACCTAAACACATAATAAAATCTGCTAACAAAAATAAAATTAATCTTGTTTCTTTTTACATAGTTAACTGAAATACTATTATTAGATAAGCTATAATTATATAATTACTAGCTGTCCCGGCAAACGTTGTTTTGCCTTAAAATAAAAAAAAAAATTAGGGGTGGACTACCCCTAATATTTAGGGGGATGAAAAATAGATATTGGCCGATTCTCAGACTTACTCAATACGCTCACAAAATTTCATGAGAATCGGTCAAGCCGTTTCGGAGGAGTATGGGAACGAAAACTGTGAGACAAGAATTTTATATATAAGATTTTCACGTAATGTTTATGTACCTAAATACATAATCAAATCTGCTAACAAAAATAAAATAAATACTGGATTTGTTTACATAACTGAACTGATAGATAAGCTAATAATATTATTTATTTTTACTAATATTATAAATGCGTAAGTTTGTGAGTTTGGATGGGTGCGTGTGAGTTCTCGTTCACGCAAAATCTACTGAACGGATTTCGATGAAACTACAGTAATATAGCTTGTACATCAGAATAAAACATAGGCTATAATTTAAAAAGATATTATGTTTGTTGGGCGAAATATAACGATAAATGCCAAGTAAGTGTGATGCAGACAAAGTTGCGGTGAAGCCATGTAAGAGTCAAGTACAGAGAAACAAAGTTACGGCGTAGCTATGTAAGCACAGAAGCTCTGCTTAGTTAAGGACTTGATCGCACAATATTATATCATTTAATATTAATAATTTAATTAGGAATTATTTTACGAGATCCCTCTCAGTTGGTAATTATTTGATTGTGTTTATAATTAATAAGAATTGTTACGATTAGTTTGTAATAATGGGTTGATATTTAAAAACAAAAACCCCAAAATAAATTTAGATTATTTATTTATTATTACAGAAAAGTGGTTACTGCGATGCAAGAACAAATCAACACATTATGGCATACAACTAGCATTTATCGCAATCCAAAATTCTATGAATATGTAGAGAAATTGGTATCAAAGTTCCCGGGCGATTTAAAGGTCCGTATACGTGGAAATGTGTAATATTTATTAACAGGCCGGCAGTATACCGGTTAGGTAATTTTCATAGAAATGTGAATCTAATATCTGGGATCCATACTCCTAGGTACGGATACCAGAAAAATTTGAAGAAAATCCGCAATAGTTTCAGAAATTTAAGAAGTAGTGCAAACTTCCAAAATTAGATTAAGCTGTAAATATTGTCCCTTGCAGTTTATTTAAATTTATTCATGTAAATCTCCTGCCCATCCCTGTAGCTTGTTGCTCCCGGAGTTGATGCAAGGGCCATCGATCCTAAGGCCCAACCTACACTCTCTTACCCTAAGATGCGGTTGACCCGGTTCAGTTCATGAAAAGATTGTAAAATCAATCCATCTGTATATAAATTGAGAAAGAATTTATTGCATGTTGCTCATGCAATTTTCTTGCTTGTACTTCTTATGATAAGACTGCTTACCGAATGAGGGGTTAAATAAAAACAAGATCACAGGATTATGTCTATTTTATAAGTTGTATTTTATTTAGATTTTTTATATAACAGGTGGTGTATCTTGTAAATAGTGGTACAGAGGCAAACGACTTGGCGACAATGCTCGCCAAAGCCTATACGGGCAATAATGACATTATATCACTGCAAAGCAGTTACCACGGATACTCTAGCTCCATGGTTGGACTTACAGGCACACAATGCTACAGGCTCCCAGTGCCGGCACCACCTGGTTATCATCACGTAAGTTTCTATAGTTTAAACTCTGCTATACTAATAATATACTTTACAACTCTCAGCCCAGGATGGGTAGTTTATGCACGAAAGAGAGCAAAAAACATCCAAAATTCCATATATCCAAAAATATTAGTAGGACAGTAAGTAAATTTTATCTATTAATTGCAAAGTAATGAAAACTATAAACATGTACATATATACATTTTTTATAATATTGATAAAGTTTACGTTGGCGAGGCAGTATTAGAGGATGGGGCCAAGTCAGTTAGCTCATTGGGACAAAAGACCAGGAATTTATCATGATGATTTCGAGAGGGGACCGTATGGAAGTCATTTTGACATGGTACATTACTAACAATCCTCTTCCATCAATATATTTACATTTACGTCGTAGTTAGGTTTTAATGAATATATCTTCTGCAGGCGATGTTACCAGACCCTTACAGAGGAATCTGGGGCGGATGCAGGGACTCTCTATCACAAGTGCCCGGATCCTGTACTTGTCAAGGAGACTGTATCACTTCCGATAAATATGTTCACCAGCTGAATGAGGTAAATAATATCATCTACTTCCTAATTGATCATCGTGATCTTCACCTGAAATCATCACTTACCAGGAATACAATCAACGACCTCTGTGGTGTAGTAGTTAGTAGTATTACTAATGATGCATTGTTAAGTGTTATACACTTTACAACACATGCTACAAATTTACACTTTACTAGTGATGAATTCAGGCAGTGCACGATGCAAATACTAGTATTCAAATGTTCCATACATTTAAATACTAGTATTTGTTTATATTGTTTTGGGTGTTTTGTATATATTTTTATTTAATTACTCAACTACATTTATATTATTTGGTTATCATCTGATAAGATTTGTGAGACTACATATATTCAGTGCGGAAACCTGACCACCGCTATTGCAAGCGTTACGATTACGATCTATTTGGTGATCAAATTTCTACAGTTATTGGATCTACACCGATATTACGACCCGTATTTCGTCTTTCAACGAGAGATCACCAGGCTATGTATAGCCTCGGGTATAGCTTGAAAGCCAAGTGTTGGCTGTTTAGTCGCAGTTTAGTCGTCGGAATTAAACAAAATAATATAACCATTAAATAATATAAAATACACTCAAATTCTCAACAGCAACATTACTAATTATTAAACCAAATACATTATGGAATCACATACCAGCAATGGTATTTCTGAACTGATACGATATTCAAACAAAATTAAAAAAAAAGGTTCTTCCTTCTGAAAAGGCCAGCAACGCACTTGCAATTTCCCTGCTCATGAGCGGCGATAAACACTTGCCATCATGTATGCCGCAAGCTCGTGTTCCCTATGCTATAAAAAATGTGATTTTTATATGTTTTTTTATTTTCAGCTAATATCACATTCGATACCAACGAAGGGAGTAGCGGCAATATTCGCAGAGTCCATTCAGGGTGTGAATGGTACGGTTCAGTTTCCAAAGGGTTATTTACGGAAAGCTCAACAGTTGGTGAAGGAGCATGGGGGACTATATGTTGCTGATGAAGTAAGTAAAAACTGTGTAGTTTTAAATAATTATTTTTCTGTTAGTTGTGATGTGACTGTACTATGATGGTGATAGCTCTACTACTCTACTTCTACTTAAATTTATTATGGATGAGACTGCATGCTATTACTAGTCTTCAGGTTCGATAACGCTAAAAACGTAATAATAATAATCTTGAACAATTCACACAGCACCATCTAGTCCCAAGTTGAACAGAGCTATTTTTATGGGTACTAGACTACTGATAGAATTACTTAGATACCTTTTCTGTGAATAGACACCCATATAGAGAGCATCCAAACCAATACAAACAATTAAGACATGTGAACACAAATGTTTACATCGTGCTAGGAATTGACATGCAACCATTAGAACTAAAGGCGATGGTCGTCAAATATAAAAAATATATAGATATATCAAATATATAATATATGATAACGTTTCTATTTCTTGCTCGTTCTTCTTGTGACGATACAGCTTTCCGAATGAGCGGTTGATTAAAAAAAAGTAGGACTGTTCAAAAGTGCTTAAATTTAATAAAAGATTTTCTGTTCTATTCTATAAATTTAAATGTAACAATTAAGAAATTTGAAGACTTGTCCTTTGATTCAAAGGTTCAATCTGGATTTGGCCGGACAGGCGATGCATTTTGGGGTTTTGAAACTCACGGGGTAGTCCCCGATATCGTAACTATGGCTAAAGGTATCGGCAATGGTTTCCCAATGGCTGCTGTGGTGACTACCAAGGAAATCGCTGCAGTACACACCAGAGGCAACTACTTTAACACCTTCGGTGGCAATCCATTGGCATCTACTGCTGGCAAAGCTGTTTTGGAGGTAGGTAAAGTATGGATTCTAAAGTTAAGATACTTATGACGTAAAAAGATTTTTTATGTGGTAGACCACGCGTGGTAGTGGAGCATGATTTAACTCATTCGAACTGAGATATACAATACCTGTTCAGAATCCCCAACAATTTACTAGGTTAGGTTGTCAAGGGCGACTGTCATTATGTTTCATTTACAATCTGGTGGGGCGGAAGTTCTTTTGCCCCTTATGTTATCAAAAACGATGTAATTTTTTTTCCAAATATTAATGGTTAATGGTGCACCCGCCGTCGCTAACGGTTTACGCTGGGGGGACACCAGTGGAGGAGGATAGAATGAATATGAGGTCAGTTTGCCTATCGTGACTAATTTATCAGGATTTATCATTATGATTTCCATGAACCGCGTGGAGGCACATCTGACATGTCTTCATTGTTAGTAAAGGAATCAACAATCTACATTATTAACAATTCCTTCCTAGTAACACCTGCTCTTTAAAGTTGGTTAAGAAAAATAAAAAGAAAAAATAATTTAACTTTTACCAATATTCGCAGGTAATCGAAGAAGAAAATCTTCAAAATAACTGCAGAGTTGTTGGTAAATATTTCATTGAACAATTGATGGAATTGCAAAAAGTGCACCCAGTCATTGGGGATGTCAGAGGCAAAGGTTTGATGTTGGGCGTTGAATTTGTGAAGCCCGGCACCAAGGAGCCTTTGGATGCATCAGCGGTGTCCGATATACATGAAACAACGAAAGACCTTGGAGTATTAATTGGGAGAGGAGGAAGATATGGCAACGTAAATATTTTATTCAATTTTATGACTGTCTACTGCGCGGAATTCGTCCGTGTGCTAAAACTTTGTGGGATTTATGTGGGAAAAATTTTGATATATCGTAATGACAATAATTTATGTTGAACATTTATTTTTGACTAACTACTCGTCCCGGCTTCATACGGGTGTATATATAAACCTTACTCTATTATATATATAAACCTTACTCTATAATAACTCTATCTATTGCTAAAAACTGTTTTATCCGCTGTCTGTTCGCTTAGACGTTTTAAAAAAGGTCTAAGCGAACAGAATGCAGATGAAGGCAGACCAAGTAGTATATCGACAAAACACATGTGGATCTACATTATGTACAGTCTTAAGAAGTGAGAGTAGAGGGCAACACTTGTGATTAATAATAATATTACATAAAAGTTTTTTATCGAATGTCATAAATTTTCTTTATTATTCTTAATTAATGGCATTCGTAGGTTATAAAGTGTATAATTTAGTTCCTTTTTTTAGGTATTGCGGATCAAGCCTCCGATGTGTATTAATAAACAAGATGTGGACTTTTCTGTGTCAGTATTGGATCAAGCTTGTAAAAAATTCATGCAGAAACAATAAAAATAATTTGTAATGAATATTATTGATGATGTCCTATTTCTTTGGGTATAAAGCCTCACAGTGGGGATGAAAAATTCTGTACCATTAAATCCAAGTTAAGTCTATCTAGGTTTAAATAGATTTCCAGAAGGTACATAATTTTTCATCGCCACCGCGAGGGTATACCTACTTTGTACAAAGTCGTGTACCCAATAGCCAATTTCAGCAACCAAGCAGCCTATTTTCAAGCAGATAACTTTTTGCAATATACCTTGATGGTGTAGTTTGTTATCATGATCGAAATAGTATTTTATTTATTCTGCACAATTCACACAGCGACATATTCATCATCATTATCATCGCAGCCTGGAAGACGTCCGCTGCTGGACATAGGCCTCCCCCAAAGATTTCCGCAACGATCGGTCCTGCCTGTACACAATGTTTCCATATTGTGTGTTCGTTATGGTAAAAGGCAAAGGCGGAGAAAATGAGGTGAAAAGATGAAACCAGTAGGTCTACCACGAAAGTTACTGCCGATTATCGCGTAACGAAACGAAAGACGACCGAAATACTAGTTTAAAGGAACCATGAAGTTTCTTCGGAATAAGATATTTCGGACGGGTACCATAGACTATGATCGTGAACGAATGAAAGATGAGAGGTCTTTTATTATACACTCTTAAATTAGGAAAAAAATAAAGTGGTATACTCCGGATAAAATAAAATGTACAGTCGTTTATATTTAAATGTATTGAAATTATAAACTTCTAAAATTAGTAGTATTTTATGTCATAAGAAAACGTCAAACCTCTATTTATATTTGAAAATAACGTTACTGCGTATTACAAATATTTTTGTTTTTATTTTTTTATATATAAACTTAAGAATTATCATCACAAGTGTTTTTAAATGATTTTTATTGCTAAATTTGTTCGTTAAACATCAATGAAAATGAACATGTAATAACTTTGATTTTATTTATTAGTTTCTATTTATGACAAGCGCTAACAAATGTATTTATGCATTTAGATGAGTAATCCCACTGTGGAACAAGTGCATACACTCCTAACATTCCTAGCAGAGCACCAGGAGTTAGCTCGTGGCCACTGTAGAAATGCAGAAGGGCGAACAAGATCCACCCAATTATGGGTTCGTCTCACAGACGAACTCAATTCATTGGGTGGATGCACTAAAACTGTAAAGCAGTGGCAGAAGGTAAGCACTTTTCTTGATATTTTAGTACGTGATATGCATTTAAAATGTTAAATAATTTTGTTATTAAATAAAATTTTCCGATACTGATACTTTATAAATTTTATAAATTTTAGGTATGGGCTGACAAAAAATATCTAACTAAAAAAGCTGCTACTGCTGCTCGAAGGGTCTGCTACAGCCACTGGGGTAGGGCCATCATCTGCTGATCCTTTAAACCCAATACAGTGCAGAATATTGGGTATTATGGGAGAGGGCTTTGGAGAACCTCAGTCGGATGCACATGTTCCTGCATTTCCAGAGGTATGTTGTAAAACCGTTACTAAAATAGTGCTAACTGTTATCTCTAGACATATATAACATAATGGATGTCATCAAAATACATGGTGACTTCCATAGTATTCCTCATGTATTACCATTCCTTTTATTTCTGTATATAAGGTACCTAAATAGCCTTTTCCCACCTTTCAAACTGAAATACAGCTATGCAAGAACAGCTGCTTCATAGCAGAAATATGAGTTGAGACAGAGTTGGTACCTTTTTATATATACACAGTTTTTCAATGTTAACTAAGAAGTAAAGATAAGACAGTACTAATAAATAACACTTACTTATACCTTATTATTGATTAAAAAATTTATATCATAATAAATTATTGTTATATGAAAATATTTCTGTAAATATTAAGATTATTAGTAATGGGGGCTTATAGTCCTAATCACTAGTATATTCCTAGACATCAAGTCTGGTATTAGTACCAATCATGCATACCGAAAACAATAATGATAATAATTATTTTAAAAAAAACTTTTTTAGAACTTCAACGGCTACTACACGTCCAGAGCGACGACGCCGTCGAGCAGACGCCATTGGACCTCGCAGTGTACGCAGGCGTTTGTTCGAAATGGAGGAGCGGCGAATCGCAGCGGAGGATCGACGGGTGGTAGAGTCAGGGCTGATTCGCCAATCACTCCAGGAATTAAATGTATTAATAAGGGATCGATTGGATGGTCTACAAATAGAATTAAGACGACTGAATAGATGAAATTTTGTTTTTTTTTTAAATTTGACATGATTAATGTAGATTTGTGTTAGTTTGTTGATTTGTTAAATAATGAGTATAAAAAAAGTTACTTAGCTTTAGATATATCATTGTTGATTTGTTGAATTCTGTTAGTATGTTGATTTGTTAAATAATGAGTATAAAAAAGTTACTTAGCTTTATATATATCATTGTTGATTTGTTGAATTATGTTAGTTTGTTGATTTGTTAAATAATGAGTATAAAAATGTTACTTAGCTTTATATAAGTATTAACAAAGACACAAAGTACTAAACTACAGTTTTTTACTGGTCATTAATTTAATGCGCCTTGAACTACACTACTTAGTTTGCATATACTTATACAACATTTTTCTGAATGAATGTTTAATCATTTACAATTAGTGTTATTTTAAAAAATGTTTAATATACAATTTTGATTTTACTTTTATCTATATATATATATATACCTACATATATGTGATTATAAAATAAAAATATTTTATTGTAAAAAGTTTTTAATTTTGTAAATAAGTAATGCCTTAACTTCTAATAGAATAGAATAGAAAATCATTTATTCAAATAAACTTATTATATTGCTGTCATCTATGAATTCATCTATCCTATAATAGGCTTTTTTACATAACATTTGTTTAATATCAATTTTAACAGCATTTAGGTAATATTAGTATATTTTTATTGCATAAGTTTCTACTTGTACAGTCTTTAAGTTTCTTGAAACTATCAAGTTTTTCCTTGTATACATAATATTTCATAAATGTACTGTGAGGCAACGGTGAGGATATTTGATTCTTTAAAGCCTTGATATAATGACTATCTCGAACCCATACCATAAATAGAACGTATGGCTCTCTTCTAATCTTTATATACCTGAAAGAAAAGAAAACATACTTAACTGTGAGACTTGGAATTTGATAAATGCACTTGATAGCTTATAGACTATTCAATATAATATCAGCTAATAATATTTAACATAAAAAATACTGAAATACAATCTATAATCATCTTTTATGACATCCTAATAATGAAAAGGAATGACAAAACATTGTATTCTTGTTTGTTCACCAATTTTATATGTAGTACAACTACATAGTTAACAATTACGATTTATTTACCCAGCAAATAAGTTGTTTCTCCTTGAAGACTCTCCAAATGATCTTTGATCTCGTTATGCTCCCAAATGAATGCATCATGAGTGGCACCACCATAAGAGGCGTCAATATTCATAATTTTTAAATTACTGTCAGCAATCTAAAAAATAGGACAAACATAAAGATATTTGCAGATAGTGACAAATATGAATAACTTGAGAATTATTTATACACTATGCAAATTTTACATAAAATACTGTACTTACAACTTGAACATTTAAAGAGTGATAATGTTTTCTATTGAAAAATCTCTCTTCATTGACTGTTGGCCGAATTATAGCTACATGGGTGCTGTCGATACATCCTATAACACCAGGGATACCATACTGTGTAGCAAAACTGAAAAAGAAATATAAACTACTGATTATTTAAACATCAATTAACTTATGCTGATTCCTGAAATTAACAACAATATCATTTATAAATTTACAGCTACAAATAGTTGACTGAACTAAATTAATAGTATATGTATTATAAATCGACAAAGAGCATAAAATTCTATAAAGTTAAATCTTAATCATATTTAATATACATAAACTTACTTTCTCTTCAATATGTTCCTGTCTTCCCTGGACTGAGGAAATCTTATATATTTCCTTAGTATATAGGGTGTATTTAGGGCATCTGTTACATCCCTGATGCAGTTTGAGATAGACTGCTGAGCCATAGTGGTGTCTAAATTTTGTCCGACTGCACCCTGGTAGCTACCACTGGCATAAAAATTTAATGCAGTGAGAATCTGAAAAAAAAATAGATATGGGAATACTAAATAATAGGTAAATACTAAATTTTTTCATCTACAAAATGTACATAAGATCTTACTTTGGTTATTGGATCGATTGCTCAACTATTTTTAGGCAGGGGTAATAATCGTACCACATACTGACAAAGATTCTCGAAGACTTCCCGACTGAGTCTGTATTTAGATACAAACTTGAAGTCGGGAATGGATCTTTGGAGGTACCTAGTACGCATTTTTCTTTTAAACCTGCGTCTTTCAATTTCTTCTTCATTGAGGGCTTCTAAAATTCCAGCCAATCTTGGCATAATGAAACTAAATCAAAATAAAGTAATGCTAAGTTGTAGGTTATATTGAACACAATAATATTTAAAAACACTAATTAGTTTAACTTTTATCACATTATTCACTGTAACACATTAACTGAATTATTAATTAATCACTTTTTTATATATTACAGCACTTATATACGTAAAATCCATACTTACGAAAGTAAAAAGTTAACTATTTAGGTTTCGTCTACTTCGCACTTTAAATCACGATAAACGTGCTGTCAAAACGTTATAATAACGTACGAACGGATACTTCATGGTACGATTTGGGACGATCGAAACGATATTCTCCGTTTTCGGGCACGATTTCGGAATGAACGTTTTTCATGGTACGAATCACACGAAATATCGATCCGAAATTTCGGAATTGCACTTCGTGGTAGACCTACAGTTGTAGGAATTTACACATATATATTGTAGAGATATTTACAGATAGAAGGTAAATAATATAAGATCTTATATTATTATATAATACTGGCTTTACCTAATTGTACAACTAAGAACCTAAAATTAAAAAGCTTATATAAGATCTATATTTACAAGTAGTTTTTTTTTTCGGACTACTCTAATGCTGTTGGTCGCAGCTGGTCTTTACAGCTTCACGGGGGGCGAGTGCAGATGGCACTACAAATCCGTGGAAGCATTTATAGAGCGACTTTAGTCTGAAGGCACCACTAGGGGTTCGAACCTCGGCCGTCGTAATATCGATTCCCGTTTGAATTGGACGGGTTTACAAGTAGTATATTACAAGCAGGTGATCCAGTAACGACCAAAGAGTATAGTAAGTAGACTAGAGAAAGTCCCGACGATTCCTCCCTCTGTCACTAAGCAGCAGTGTTGTCGCACGGTGTAAATAATTTCAACTACCGCCACTATTTGCCAGGAAGCAAAGTCTTTCGGACCTGCTAAAATATTATAGTATCTATGTCCGTCAAAATGTGAATGACAGAATGACAATCAATCAGACATCACATTCTTAAAATTCTTAATTTGAATTATATTATGAACTTCATTGATCGATAATAATATCTTTTAGATTTATATGAATATTTCTATTCTAATAATATATATTTACTGTGAATGTAAAATAATAAAAAAATGGTATTTAAATGTCAAGAGGATAGTTTCTTAAAGGAAGTAAGTATCAGTGAGGTTATCGCTTAATTTATTATTTACTTATAAATAAAAACAATAACCGATAATACTTTTTTTTATAATATAACCTTTTTAAATAATGTCTATTTACCAACAAGGTATGTTATTGTTTCTAATATGTCTTCAATTTTAGTTTACATCTAAAGTCGTGAAATGTGAAAAAACCAATGAACCTATAATAGAATATGGAAAGACATTGAGTTTTGAAGGCTATCAGGTCACTTTGGAGAATACAATTTTATTCCCAGCTGGTGGTGGACAGGTAAACGAGAAATTTCAGTTGTAGACTGAATCTAAACTTCAATACTTTATTTATAATTTTTTTTTTTCATACTACATAATTCTTTTTGTAGTTAATATTATAAATATGAAATAGATTTGTTGGTATACTTTTTAGCATATATGTAGCCATTGTGATACAATGGTCTATATTTATGAATTAACAGATTAAAAATAATAATGTTAACATATGAATTTACATGATTGTGAAAAACTTAAATTTTATTTTATATCCCATATTGTAGCCCCATGACATTGGCTGGTTGAATGAGAAGGAAGTGCTCCAAGTGCTGAGGAAAGGAGATGAAGCGTTACACTTCCTTAATGAACCATTGGATGTTGGGACCGAAGTCACACAGAGAATCAACTGGGACAGACGGTTTGATCATATGCAGCAACATTCTGGTATGTATGTATTTGGACCAATAGTTCAATTAGAATTTGATAATTAGCATTTTTTTTATATCCAAATCTTGCAATTGGCTCTTCAAGCCATTAATAGATTTGTTGCGGGAATCTGTTGACTGGAGAGAACTACACCTCTATAATAAAAGAATATTTAATAATAAGAGAATACTATTGGCAGTAAAATATTGCAAAAAAGGCATTGTGTAGCTAGAATAGATTCTATTGAGTCCTCTTGACACAACAATAGTGACAAAAAAAATATTAAGGACAATTTATATACATTACAAAACATAGTCAATGTGGACCTCAACTCAGCGTAATTCTGGAAAGTCAGTTGACAGTTGAAATACTTAATGAATGGTCCTATCTCTTAAGACCATCTTTAACGAACTAATTGACATTTGTTTAATCTAAATATATATAACTCAAAGGTGACTGACATAGTGATCTATCAAAGCACAGCCCGAACCACTGGACGGATCGAGCTGAAATTTGGCATGCAGGTAGATGTTATGACGTAGGCTAAGAAAGGATTTTGATTAATTCTACCTCCAAGGGAATAAAATAGGGGATGAAAGTGTGTATGAAACTTTGTCAATTTTAAACCGATCGGGCTGAGACATTGCATACATAAAGCTACTATGACATAGACATCCCCTAAGAAAGCATTTTGATAAATTCCATCCCTAAGGGGATAAATTAACGCGAGGCAAAAGCTAGTAATAAATAATATCGTTTTACTTTTTTAGTTTTTATGTAACTGTAACACCTACCATAATAGTGTAGTACCTCATGATTTGTGTAATTTCAAATTCACACAAATCTAAATTCAAACAGAACGGCAGTTTAGAATTAGTTGTTTAATTATTTTCAGGACAGCATCTACTGTCAGCCATTTTGGAGAAAGAACACAACTTGCCAACTACAAGCTGGTGGCTTGGTGCTGATGAATGCCATGTGGAGCTCGGTTCTAATGTCAGCGATGCTGCTGTACAAGCCACTGAGGACAGGTGCAATGAGCTGATACGAGCAGCTGTGCCAGTTAAGGTGAAATTCTGCAAGGCCAGTGATCCTGATATAAATGAGGTGATTTTCTATAGTAATTTTACTTTAGTATTCTATACAAATAAATGTGAATGGTCTTTTTGTAATTTCAAATTAACAGGTTTTCAATAAATGCATAGTAATAGATAATAATATTATTAATAAAACATAAGGCATAAAGTATTTATGGTATAGATATGAAAAAAATAATATAAATAAAATTTTTGTCTATCTGTCTGCCTTTCTGTTTGTTCTTGGTAATATCTGAATCTCTGGACCAATTTCAACTGGTATAAGGAATGTTATAAGGAGTAACTATTAATAAAAAAAATAAGTTACATGTGGATGAATTGATTACACGATGTAACAGCTAGTATAAAATAACCATAATATGATAAACATTTACCGCTACAGAGTGGAGGTAGGGTCTTTATATTGGGGTCATACATCCACTTAAATCTTTTCTGGAAACCATCATAGTTAATTCCTGGTGAATTTGTCACAATGGACGCATTGATTCAACTCACTTTATCCTGACACTATCAAATCCACTAGTGTCCCCTCCCCACACCAATTTTAGCAGTGGTAAGTGGAATATCTATGATATTAAAAATAAGACGAACTTCTTATTCCCTGGACCCTGGTACTGGGTCCATCGTGTGGTAGAGATGGAAACTCAGAAGTTCCCGGGATTTGTGACCTGAGTAGTTCCCAGGACTTGTGACTCAGGTGTATGTATATTTTAACTATAATCTATATAATTAAATGTAAAATATTACTTTTATTTCACAGGCTCATACAAGAGGATTGCCTAAAGACTGTATGGAAACAATTAGGATTATTTGCATTGGCGACGTTGATGAGAATATGTGTTGTGGCACCCACGTCTCTAACCTAAGGTAATATTTTCAATTTTTTATTGATATCATGTTAAGACGTAAAGCATAAACTTTGTACCCCTTTGTACAAATATTCCGCAGACGGCGAAGTATGAAATTTCGCACACTTATAGTTTATATACAGAAGGAGTTTAAATTTATGCCCAACAAATACATTAATGCAATAAAAAACGCATTGTTTTGACAATAGAAACTTAATAATGTTTAAACTTACATTTTAAATGAATGATGGTCTAATTTCGATCACCGGACTACTACTAGTAATTATAATTTTACTTTCAGTCAATTGCAAATGATAAAATTCCTCGGCACCGAACCTGGGAAGAAAGGCAAAACTAATTTGAAATTTGTAGTTGGCAATAGAGTGACTAAGTTCTTCCAACGTATGATGGATAGAGAGAAATCGTTGACGGCACTATTAAAGTGAGTATCAGGATTGTAAGAAAACTTAAATCTTATTTTAAACTAGCTGTTCTCGCGACTTTGTCCGCGTGAAATTTATCTTTATTTCTCTAAAATAAAAGTAGCCTAAGTTATTCCTTATTACATCAGCTACTTGCCAAAAGTCCCGTCAAAATCGGTCCAGCCTTTTCAGAGATTAGCCGGAACAAACAGACCGACAGACAGACAGACAAAAATTGTAAAAAATGTTATTTTGGTGTATGTACCGTATTTATATTAAATAGTAAATAACGATTATTTCAATATTACAAACAGACACTTCAATTTTATTTATATATATAGAGGACTAATTGTGGTCCCATCATATTGGCCGGTTAAATCAGAAGGAAGTGCTCCAAGTGCTGAGGAAATCGTAATAGGTATACCTCACCAATGTAGCGTTATGAGATATCGCTACATTTTTAATATTGGTATGATGCTCTAACGGTATATGCTGGCGGGGCGCCAGTGAATAAAAAGGAATCCTTCATTGCATTAATTAATTATATTGCATAATTAATTTATAATGTAAAAAGATGAAAAACTATTATATGAGTAAAGGCATATATTATATTACAATATATATAGAATGGAGCACTTGTCTCAATGTTTAGACTGGATTTACAAAAAAAATGTAATTTCTCACTTAATGCAGTATATATTAAGCATGTAAATCTGGACAAATATTTAATATTTCAGAAACGAACCAAACAAACATGAGGAACTAATACAAAAACTTCAAAAGAAACTCAAACTGACCAATAAAAATTTACAAAACGTTTTATCCGAACTGGTGCAATATGAAGTGGATAAAATAAAAAGCAGTGAGCCCAAACCTAAATATGTGTGCCTGTTTAAAAAGGAGGCGACGCCTGACTTCAATAGGACCATATGCAAGAGTTTAGAGGATGAGGGGCTGTTCCTATTCCTGGTTTCCGAGGAACCAGAGAAACCAAAAGAAGGTCAAATAATTATCCAAGGTCCAGAAGAGTATTGTAACGCTTTGGGACAACAGTGAGTAATTTTTTAAATTTTATTTGGATTTGCTTTCATTTATCTCGCAAGTATCGAACTGATAATAATATAATACTAATATGATTAAATATTTTAACATCTTATTAAATATTTAATACATCCTGTTAACTGGGTTGAGGTAGTGAGAAGACCTTAACTTTCGATGTCGTGTATTTAACTTCACGTTTCTTATGCTATGCTTCACACAGAGCTGAAATTGATTTTAATGGAGCCAATGGAGGTCAATAAACGTGCCCACATTTTGAAATAGTCGCCACTGGTATTAGTTTAGTGTTATCAATGATTGCATCACCAGAGAGTCAATCAGAAATTTAAACTGAAATTTTTTTGTGCGCAACACTAAACGAAACGTGATTAGCTCATCAAATTATTGTTTTCAGAATAATTGAACTCCTAAAAGGAAAAGGAACATTCAAACATGGAAAGTTTCAAGGAAAAGCTGGAGATCTAGGTGCAATAAATAAATGTAAAAAACTGATAGAATTTTATTTTAATAGTTTGTCATAAATTAAAAATTTACCAGTAAATTTTGTAAATAATAAACAAAACTAAAGGTCAATCATTCATTCATTTAATCATGATCATACATGAATGAATGAATGAATGAATGATTGATTGAAAATAAAGATACTTTATAAAGTATCGTTTAAAATTTAATTTAACCTTTTATATTTATAATTTACATATTTAACGTAAGGAAAAATATTACCCAACAACCAACAATTGTATAAAACAACCATTCAAAACAAATCTGTTTGTTATTATGTCCAATTAAAATTGAAAACATGTACCTAATGCTATCTATGAATAAAGGTAACGTGAAATTTACTCGAGTGTATTCTTTTCGATCATAATTCGATTCAATTTTAAAATAGATGTTACCATATTAACCTGATTCAAAATTCTTTATATGTAATGAAAAATGGAATATATTACAGCAAGAAACTTAACTGAAGAAATATTTTTCTAATTTATATGCTTTTAATATATAGAGTTCGAAAAGGTTTTGTTTGGAAACATTTAATTTTAACTGTGATAGAAGTAGTATAAAAAAAGTTTACATATGGCAACAAATTATTTTGACTTTGAAATGCAAATAGTTTAAAAAAATAAATAAAGTAGGTACCTTATATTAATTCTAGTTCTAAATCATATTTCTATATTTTATTATACCAAGGGATAACTTAAACATAATAATAAATTTGTATAAACTTTATGGTCCAGAGTACAGTTCCAAATACACATTATTACTTATAATAATGTAACATAAATACTTCTATATATAGATCTAGAGCTTGATTAACACTGTAGTTTTTATTATATTAAAAAGTTTTGCAATTGAAAGTACTTATGTATTAAAATGTAAAAACTGAGATGTATACAGGGAAACTGTATCTATCAAACCACTTGTACATAATCATACAATTAACTATTACAATCCCTTTCAAACAAGAAATGCTGCAATACAAAATCCAGGTCTGTTACTCTATGGTTTACTACCAAAAATATTTATTGGTGGTAAAACTATAAATTCATATACTTATTTTAAAATTATATTTCTTTGTCTCAATATAATATAGTAACTGCTATACATTATTTATTTAATATTATTCTATAAACAAATATTTTACATTATCCTTCATAATCCTTATCCTTACAATCAATGGTGTTTGGGGCATTTATGCTCGCAATTAACTTCTCTATACCGAGATTGGTCCAGTCTTGTGACAGGTCATCTAAATAGTTATCAAAATCCACTAGATCTTTTTGAACACCACGTTCGAGTAAATGCGATACGGTAACAAATGCGTATGGTGTATCTGCAAAGAAAGAATTAATTTTCTTATTATATGAAATGTTATATAATAATAATAGCATATAAACTTCTGGCAATTTTTGAAGTGAGAGTACACTCTAGAATTCTAGATAGCTCCTACAAATATCCTTCAATTCTTGTCCCTGATGGGTCTAGGTAACTTTGAAGAAGGGTGAGCAAACATATCTATGTAGGTTGCAGTGCTACAGATCTAAAACACCTGACAATAGTCCAAACCTCTTAATAAAAAAAAATCCTCTCAGTTCAGCTGATTGGAGTGAGAGAATATCCTCACTCCAAAAATTGCCAGATGGTAAAAACTGTTTTTTTTTTCAATTAGTGCTGACACTATATACCAGTAGTTGAGTATTTATTTATTTTAAATATATAGATTTTACTATAATTTTATAGTAATTTGAACTGGGAGGAAATTAGACTTTTTTAAATGTTAGCAACACACTTTTACTTATCCTCTTAACATAACTGTCTTAACCATATTAGAAGTTACGGACCAGGAGGAAATTGGTCACATTGACATGTTGCTGACTTGCTTACCAATATATTTGTAGTATCATTAAAATAATTTATTGTGTTATATGTCTTCTGTCACTGATTTATGTCAATGGTCTATCAGAGGGGGTTTGAATTAGTATGGTAAGGAGTACTTACGGAACAGCACTTTATTAACATCCCTCAGCTTCCACTTGCCTTCATTATACTTGTACAAGTTGATTGCAGGAGAGTCAGCATGTTGTACAGTCTTTTTATTATTCACCTAAAAATAGCAAAATATTTTATTGTGAGCATATTTCAATCTATAATTACCATATAGTAAAGTAGTTTTGACTGTCTGTTCACTTCCTCTAAACCAGACAACAGGTTTTCATACGGTGTTCATTATAATTTAGATTTTTCCCCTGGAATGATTATATATTGTAAAGTACATGCATTTAGCACATAATCTGTACATTAATATAAAATTGAAATGGGTCTTTGGTAAATGATAAAATCTCGATTCAAGTAAGCAAGATGTATTGTTTGTTGAGGTAGCATTGTGTTTGTTAGTGATGCACATAAATTGAACATGTGAGTATTGGACAGTTGCAGAATTAAGCATGTTGCAATCCATTATGGAACTAATAGAAATAATGTTTATTCAATTAAACATTAAGTTATTTTGAATAGCAATTTCTTTAATTAAAATTTTCATTGCTGGTGTCTGTGGTAAACTGCTCTTAACTGCTCTGAATGGAGATTCAACTTTAGGAGAAATTACTGGTTGGTGCTTTTTTGAAACAAGTGTACCACCTACCAATCAGGATAATAAGAATTGTAATTAAATACACTTGACTCAAACAAATGTTTACAACTTCACATTTTAATGGTGTGGAACACAAACTACTAAAAATAATACAATAATAACTGTTGACATTACATATATTTAACTTAACTAAGGAAGCACAAATCAGCTAACAGTCTCAACCAGTCCCTGTATAGTGTTTTAAAAATTCTGTATAAACTCATCAAATATCTACTTTAAATAATTACCACAATGAACACAGCAGATGGGAAATGCTCAGCAATCTTTTCAGCTATCTTCTGGCCGGGACACTTGTCAACAGTGTTGTCTCGGAAGTTCTCGCATGCTGCGTAGTACCCAGCAATAATTCGGTTATCTGATTGAGCTATAGTTTCAATCTGGAATGTAAAAAAAATATTTATATTTATGTTATAAAGTGATGTAAAATGAGGCAGTTTCTTTATTGGAGGGACAGTTCTCTCGTCAACAGATTCGCACAACAAATCTGCTAGTCTTAGTAAGCAGATTGCAAGATACAGATAAGGAAAAAAATATATTTATATACCTTGAAATTAAATTTATATTTATACTAGCTGTCCCGGCAAACATTGTTTTGCCTTAAAAAAAAATTAAGGGTTGGACTACCCCTAACATTTAGGGGGATGAAAAATAGATGTTGGCTGATTCTCAGAACTACTCAATACGCTCACAAAATTTCATGAGAATCGGTCAAGCCCGTTTCAGAGGAGTATGGGAATGAAAACTGTGACACGAGAATTTTATATATAAGATAACTTAAATGTCAAAGTAACTATAAGACCTCCTTATAAAGTAAAATATATATGTAAATATGTATATATGGCAAATATGTATATGTAATATATTAAGCTATTGTTTTAATGTGGAATAAACAATGTTGTAAGTAATAATATATTTTTAATAGTGTCAGTACCAAATAAACTATGACTTTCTTTAATGATATAGGTTTTTTATATAAATGAAATGGTGAATAATCTGATGTTATGTGGTCCATTATGGACATGAAGTGGACCAGGAACATTACATAGTCTTGTTACAAGAGCAGTGTCCTCTATTGCCATTCTGGACAACTAAGGTCTTGTACCTCAATATCCTGTAATTGCATTGTCTCATCTCACTCACTTTAATCTAAACACTGCTTAGAAAGGTGCTAACACAGATGTATTTGTACAAAGGCCAGTTGTGGGGGGAAAGGGAATTGTAAATAATGTGGATTGATAGTCTTATTGCTAGCAGTATACCACACAATTCCCCCTGGAAACCATCGTGATAAATTCTTGGTGAATCCCATCCCATCCCGTCATGACAAGGACTAACTGACCTGACCTCATGTTCATCCTATCCTCCTCCACTGGTGCCCCGCCTGGTATACCGTTAACGCAGGCGGGTGCATCATTCTATTGTTATCAATTAAAAAAAAGGGTAGGTATAACTTAGTCAATCCAATACCTGAGTTAATGCGATCTCAGCCATAGGAGACAAATTATGGCTGTGATGAAAAAGTGGAATGGTGTCCACAATATCTAAATCTTGATTTTTAGCACCATCCCTGATCTTCGTGCCGTCGGCAAGTAGAACTCCGTTTACGGCAGCATATGGGTACTTAGCCGCATGTAAAATTATTTTAGCATAAGCAGATGTTTCTAGTGAAACTTCACCCATTTTAATTTAATTTAAACCACAAATACAATTTATTAGCAATTCAGTATATTAGCATATATGCTAAGTAACCGTATATGTAGATAATTATGTGTTCAGCGCGTGGCTTACAAGACTGGATTTTTTTTACCGTTTATACCACAGTGTTACTAAATAATAATTAATTTATAATATGATTACAATTAAACGATAAATAAATTGGAACATGAAATATAGAATTAAATTAAATATACAGAGTAGCTAGAAATCTTCGAAATGCTCTCTGTGTAAGATTTGATTGTAAAAAATGACAATTAACAGTGACATTCACAGATAGATGACAGAATGACAGCCAGCTGATTAAAACTTTTCGTCTGGGACAAAAATAGTATTTTGACGTTGCATCTTGAATGACAGTGACACTGTGTGGTAGTTGACACAACAATATTTTTGTTGATTGTTGTGTGTCGAACTGTGTTGATTTACAATCATCTAAAATGAATTATTTCATTTAATAGTACAGTCATGGTTATTACGATTTGTTTCCTATTCAATTCCATTCTACAAGTCCTCTAATTTGTGTAAACAATGGATAAGTACGATACATCGCAGCTGACGGAATTTCCTCGCTTTGAACCAGAATCAAATCAGAGTGGTGTATCCACATTTTTCAATAAATTGTGGAAATTTCCTATATTTTCACCAAATGATACTGGTGAAAATTCACAAGAAAAGCCATCAGATGTGAAGCAAGGTCCCGGTGACTCCAATGACCAGAATAAAGTTGATAACGATGATACAAAAACAGAAACTGGTAGTTACGCTGTCGAGTTTGAGGGCCGTAGTTTAGCCAATGTTTTGAAGAGGATAAGCAGCCTCGTCGCTTTAGGCTCTGGGGTAAGGATCTATCAGACTGTTATGTATATTATTTCTATACTTTACATATACAACTACATTTTAGGGTACTTTGAAATAGAGGGTATTACATATTTCTGTAATTTCTAATGGTTGTTTAATATTTTTACCATGCATGACTATCTTTTCAATGTCTACTATATATTTTAATCACTAAGGAAAGAGTTTGTTTCATCATGTTGTCTTTTTATTAGTGATAGAAATCTAAAATTGATTATATATGATAAGAGTGTTGAGAAATTCTGATTGCAACAGGCATCTCCTATGGCTGTATGTGCTGTATTAACAATTCCAAGTATATCATTTTATTTATTGGTGAAATATTAGGAATTACCTTGCCAGTATTTCCTTTTGAAAATACTGCTCCTATTAAAAGAAACAGAAATATTATCATAATTGTAGAGAATTCAAAATCATGAAGACTGTTGTCACCATGAAAAGAATTGTACAATAAAAAATTATAACTTTGTTTTCTAACTAATGCATTTCACTATTATTTTACATCAAAAAAATAAATTATAAATTTTTTTTCTAACTAATGCAGTATAAGGGTGGTGCTTGTTAGGCAAATGATAGGTACAACATTTGAGTGTATACTGTCTCATTTATTATAATAAGCAATCCTTGTTTACTACTTACTTACTAAGTTCATTTATCCTTACAGTAGTATATTATTATTTTATACTTATAATGATCATGTAACATGTTCCTCAGGGTGGCACGAGATATGCAGATACAGAGCTTGCCAGATACTGGATGCCGGATGACATTTCACGAGAGTGCTATGAGTGTGCGGCGAGGTTCAGCACACTTCGCCGTCGCCACCACTGCCGTGTGTGTGGTCAGATATTCTGTTCCAGATGCTGCAGCCAGCGAGTGCCAGGTACATTCAAATATGTTTCTACATAAAAAGAGAGGTTAGAAATAGAAAATATTCATTCAGAGAGACTTAAAATTAAGCAATTTTGAATAGTTATACTCCACAATACCTCTCTCTCCAGTCTCCAAAAGTTGACTAGCAGAAATCCCTTTTTTGGGACAAGCCAGCCATTGTACCCATTTATTCTATAAGTCAATTGTGTCTTTTACATAATATATTGTACAAAAAGTTTTACAAACAAACAAACTCTTTTTATTTAGAATAATCTGTAATTGACTTGCTATAGGGTAGAGTATTATTTATTTATTTTACAATGATACAGAAATTTCATGTCTTGGTAGAGTTAAATTATAAAGAAGTATTAAAATTCCTTCACTGCACGTATTTATGCCTTCATTTTGATATTAAGGCAATTAATTAATTTATAGGCTTATTAATGGCCAATTTACACAAAACTGAATATTTATGAAGGCTACTTTTTTGTATGAAAAATATGATGTTAGGGATATGAATTTCCATCATTATCATAATGTGTATAAGTCAATCTGTAGAAAGGAATGTAGATAATTTATTGCCAATATATTATGTAATATCTAAAATTAAAGAAATGTATCCTACTACCTAATTATGACTCAAAAGTCTATTTTGAGGAGGTAATTATAGCTAATAGCAATTTCCTCCATGTTCTCATTGAAATGAGGTAGGAAATTATCGAGTTAATTAGATATGCTTTGATAATTATATGCTAATATATTTAAGAGATCAATGGTAAAAATATCACTGTTGCAAATGAAATCAAATATGAATGTTAATGTAGAATAGAATAGATTGTAATTATATTTTTTTATTACTAGCTACCTCCAATGGTTCCTACAGTGTACATGTATTATACATTCTTCTTGAATCACTCTATCTATTGCTGAAACTGCATTAAAATCTGTTGCATTGTTTATAATAATGATAATTATAATGAAGCCTCTTATTTCCGAAAGTTGGGGTACATTTTAGTGTGTACTAAATGTCCTGCAAAACAGTGTGCCTTTTGGCATAGTTTAAATGTTACCATTGTTTCTTCCATTTGTCATATTATGTCTAATATAGGTCCCTCTGTAGGTCACTTCCTATGTATTTTTGTGTCATAAACATTTATTAAAATCCATGATTTTGATACTTTGGAAATTAATAATAAAATAAATAATAATGTATATTTACTTCATGTGCATCCCTCCATGTATAATTAACAACCCCATAATTTATTTCAGGACAAATCTTCGGATGTGCGGATGGCTTGCGAGTTTGCAACTACTGCTGTAATGTAGTACTGAGTTATTTGAAAGAAAATGATATGACTGGTGATATATCACCGGATCTAAGGACATTGCAGGAGAATTTGCAGGTTTATTTTAATTTTTTTATCTAGATTCAAATTAGTTATAAATTACCATGTATTTTGTGCTTATATGCGTCAATAGATGGTATTGTTGATACATATCTGCCTTTATTTAAACATGGTTCTCACATATTCAAATTCTGAATATGGTATATGTATGTATCAATATACCACTACAGTAAAAATATGTAAAAAGTACTAAATACATTACTCAAGAGATTTCAAATTTGCTGAATTACTTAGTAATTGTGAATTCTAAAAATTATTAAAAACTACCATGCTTATATTTCTGATACATTGTATAATATCAGTTTAAAGTGCATTAAAAAAATAAAAGTAGTAACTGAAGAATATAATTTCTATGTATTTGTGTGCTATACAAGTTTCTTTTTGATGATTAATATGGTATTCTGCTCGCGCCTGCGTTAATGGTATACGCTGGCGAGGCACGAGGAGATGGTGAGATGAGAATAAGGGTAGGTCAGCTAGCCTGTGTGTTTAATATGAGGTTTGTACAGTTGTCTTCCTAATATAGCTCTCAAACACACGCTACTGTTCTCAATCGTCGTTCACAACTTAATACCCGCATGATGCCAGCAGTGTGCGATAGAGTCGACATTATGCTCCCATCTCTTTCCCACATATACTACAGGGTTGTTTGACTTAATGTTGCTCTTGGTTACTGTTAAAGTAATAGAATTTTAAACGAAACTAGGATATCCTTCCACACTTGTATTGTGAAGATTGATTATAAAAAACTTGACCAGTAGTGGGCCGGCAAATAGCTAGCTAGAAGCTATAGCTTATGTTACCGTATAGATCCTCCATATTGTTTGTATGTCATATAAATATTTTGTTTTGACTAGGTCAAATTCCCAGACAACAAATGCTCGTCATCAAAAACCATGGGTCAGGACAATTTTATGTTCTCGCGCGATCAAGAGGAACGCTGTGAAGTCCGCTCCACACCCAAAGAGACCCTGCAGGACATATATCGACAATTATCATTGTCATTGCCCACGCAGCAACACAGGTACTTGAACATCATCATGCACAACAAAAATTTGCAGATTTTGTTAAACTGAAGAGGAAACGCTACTACACGTCTTATGTGGTCACTAATCACGCATAAACGAAATATCTCCTTTGGACAGTTTACTAGGGATATAAAAACCTCCTAAGAATTTCCCTTAACTCTTGTGGTCGAGCTTTGAAAAAGGGTGCTTTGAAAAGGTTTAACTGTCATACTCTACGTTCACAGATATCGTCTTGTAAGGTACATTGGAGTGTGGCGTGGATGCGACATGTTGCAATGGATTATGGACAACACCAATAACAAAACGAGGTATTATCATAATGTATTTATAAATAGGGATAGTATTTTTCTCTCTTCTGTCTATCTACGAAGCCAAATCAAACCTGGCAAAAGTTTATTAGCTTTTGTCAGATTTGATTGCCTCTGGTTGCCTCCTCTAGTTTGTTTTCTAGTTCTGATATTGAGATAACGCATATTAAATGATATGTTATCGCTGCTTGAGAACCAATTCACAACGGCATAAGACTAAAGTGGCTATAATGGCTACTAAGTACACATATGTAATGGTTTTCTCATGGTACAAAAGAAGAGCACAAAGAGGGTCAATCGTTTCGATTTTCATTGTGGCACTGCATGGACTGGGCCCAACTTCCTGTTGCGTGCTGTTACAGCGATTACGGCAATGTAGCTGTCCCGCCTACACTATGCCACCAAGAAACAGGATATTGTCAACTACATATGGACGAAGAGTAACCTGATATTGAGGGTTATGCGGTGGGAGTCGAGTCGCAACAAAAGCTTCAAGACGTTTGTAGCCCGGCTGCCCATTAAAATGCTGTCCAATGTAGACATGAAAAAAGATTATTGACAGAAGAGAGTGGAGTACCACCGCTACCGTGGCAGATTGCCATAATGATTGTTGTGACTATAAAGATAATATTATTAATCAAATAATTTTAAAATCACTTATTCATATAGACAATTATTAGCTCCTTATGAACGTCACATTTTTGTCCAGTTTAATATACAGATTCAATTGAAAAGAACTGACAAGATACTCAATTGTTTTTTTTTTTTAATTTAAATAAATATATATTGTTGTATATGTCAGGTCGCAGGCGTGGCAGACGTGCGCGAGCCTGGTGTCGTCGGGGCGCGTGGTGGGCGTGTGCGAGTTGCCACACTTCGCAGACTACGGCCTCTACCGCCCCGCGCACCTCCCGCACCTCCCGCACCTCCCGCAGGGCATCGACCCCACGCACCACGAGCACCACGCACACCAAGCAAGTCTGTATACGTCATATCTATACTACAATATATAATGGAACTAACCTCTACTGTTCCTAAGTATCATTTAGAAAAGGTTAATGGATCTTTCATGGAAATGGGTATAAACATTTACAATAGGAATTACCTTTATACTACTTAATGTTATTACATAGTATAAAACAAAGTCACTGTCGCTGTCTGTTCGTCCCTATGTACGCAACGGATTTTGAAGCGGCTTTTTTAATAGGTAGAGTGATCCAACAGGACGGTTTATATATATATAATACATGTACACCCGTGCGAAGCCGGGGCGAGTAGTTAGTATTATATAATCGTGAAATAAATGATTGATCTATCTACAATTGGTATTCTAACAGCAGCAGAAGAGCCCAGTCGACTGCTAGAGAGTGTATCATCATACTGTCTCGATTTAAATATCGACAAAAGCTCCGCGAGACTCATAAAAGCCCCCAGAACTGGTAAGTAACTTAATATGAACATAATAAAATGAAGTACATAGTACAGTATAAAATGAAGTCGCTTCCGCTGTTCACTGTGACGTGGTTGTGTGGAATGAGTAGTCATGCTCACTAAAATGTCCAGACATGTGGCGGCGTGGTGGGCCGGGTCAATGGGCTCCCTAAAATATGGCCGAGCGCAGTGATGGCTGGCTCATCCGTCATACTCGTGAACGAGTGCTGCTTGTAGGGACTGGTCTGCTCTTATCACTACGACTGATTTAATCTTATTGCATGATTATATTTGACCCAAAAAATTAGTGCTTGTTGGTAGTTTGTATTCACACGTTTCGACTTGTAAATGTAAACTTACAAGGATTATTTAAAAGAGCAACACACAAGTTTCTTGCTCGATCTTCTTGTGATGAGACAGCTTTCCGAACGAGTGGTAGATAAAAAACAAATTGTTATGACTATTGTCATAAGTAGTGTTGTAAATAGTGTTGTAAAGTGCTTAAATTAAGTTTATTTGAATAAATGATTTTCTATTCTATTCTATTCTATTTAGATCTTTTAAACTACACAACGGATTTTAATGCAGATTTTAGCAATAGATAGAGTAATTCAAGAGGAACTTTTATATGTATAATACATGTGCACCCGTGCGAAGTGTAGCTAAAAATATATATATATAATTATCTGACCCAGCCACGCGTTGCTTTGCTAAGGTTCTTGGATAAAATAATATTGCGACTATAAATTGAAATGTAAGCTGTTCTATCTTTCAAGTTAGATCAAATTGCACACAATGTGCAAATCAAATTTGCTATCGGTTCAGTAGTTAGGAGTCCATCGCGGACAAACAACGTGACACGTAATTTTTATATATAAAGATAATAATATAAACCTGGACAGTTCACACAGCGCCATCTAGTCCCAAGCTAAGAAGAGCTACGAGCTCTCCTTGGCTTGGGACTAGATGGTGATAGTGAATGGGAAATATTACAAGTGTAAACACAATCATAACGCTTCCAGTAGCAATGATCCGCACTGAATATTTGTGGTCTCACACATTATAGCAGAATTGAACGAAGTATATAATATAAATCAAATAAGTAATGAATTGACCTTCCGCAATCTAAATATATATACATAACTCAAAGGTGACTGACAGTGATTTATCAACGCACAGCCCAAACCACTGGACGGATCGGGCTGAAATTTGGCACGCAGATAGATGTTAAGACGTAGGCATCCACTAAGAAACGATTTAGATTAATTCTACCCCCAAGGGGATAGATAGGGGATGAAATTTTGTATGAAACTTTGTCAATTTTAAACCGATCGGGCTGCTTTGCATTCATGAAGCTACTATGACGTAGGCATCCCTTAAGAAAGGATTTTGATAAATTACATCCTTAAGGGGATAAATTAACACGAGCGAAGCCGCGGGCAAAAGCTAGTATAATACATAATTCGATAAATAAAAGTCTTATTGTTAGATTATTGAGAATTTGTATACTCCGATTTGATTGGACCAATACAATATGTCGTTAATTCGAGACTTTATTTACAGAAGTGAAATCGTCGCCGTCCAGCGAAGAGGACAATCCTGTATTAGAACAGAGTGAAGGTAAGTTTTATATTCTAATTGAATGATTTATACATATGAATGAGAGAAAGAACGAAGGAAAAAAAAAATATAATATATATGTTTTTTTTTTTATTTATTTATTTAACTTTAATGCACACAATATAATATATAGTATAGTACATTTGGCGGACTTAACACCATGCGGCATTCTTTCATTCATATATGTATGAATGAAAGAAAGAAAAAATATTTATTCAGTGCTTTTCAACAAAGGAATAAATGATTAATGAAAATACGCGCTGTAATAGAAGAAGTGTTTTATAAAATGTTCAAATTTATTTATTTAATTCGTTTAGCGGTTTGCGGCACACTTTCGGCGGTTCGATCATTTGCATGATGTGATTCTTTCCATGTACGAGGGGAGGTCAAAAATTTCGCGGTATGCCCCTCATAGAAGGGAGTTGAAATTAAACATGAAACTATTTTTCCTTTTCAATATACTTTCCCTTAACCCTAATACATTTTTCATATCTCTCAAATATTTTGTTTATACCATTTAAAAAAAAGTTTTATCGTGTGTAAAAGCAGCACACCTTTTGACATCTTTCCTCTTCTTTTTCCTTGATCTCAATCTGCACAGTAAAAAAGCGTAGTACTGTCCCTTTATAGTAACACCACGATCTTTATAATCGATCAGCAAAATGCGAATGCTTTCCGGCCGATTATGACATTTTAAATATCTTCGGAGAATCCGTGCCTTTTATATGCCACTGCATCGACTCTTGCTTAGACTCAGGTTCATAGTGGTAAACTCAGTTTCATCTCCAGTAACAATCCGGTCCATAACTTCTTCTCTACTCTCTCTACAGAGCTCCAAAAATTGGCGAGAACACTCCTTTTCACGCTCACTTTTTTGAAGTGGCGCGAGCATTCTTGGATGATGGATGATTGAACCTTAGTAATGCCAAGATGATGATGTAGAATATTTAAAATACTTGTTTCGGATACTCCAACCATTGCTGCAAGCTGCTTCTTCTTTAGCCGGGTATCTTCTAATACAAGTTTTTATACTTTTGCGCCGATTTCCGGTGTGGTGGCCTCAATTGGCCGTCCGGAGCGGGGGTCGTCGTCATTAGACTCTCTTCCTTGTTTGAAAAGACAACGTCACTTGTAAACCATGGTTTTACCAGGGGCAGAGTCAGCGTACACTGCTAACTGCCCTTGAAAAATCATCTGAGCTGATTTTCCTTGCTTGGTGAGGAACTTAATAACGGCGCGGTGTTTAATTTTCTCCATACTCGCTGACTTCTTCCCGATTCACTTGTTTGCAAGTCGATAACTCAAATGTTAGTGACCCAATTTAGTTCAAACTCGGTATATGTACTCTTAATGAGGCGCTTATCAAGTGACTATCTGGACGAGTGAACTAACCCCCACCAACCCGTCCATTCCGCGAACCTATTGACCTCCCCTCGTGTATGATGTATTTATTTACAAAAATAAATATTTTTATCAATTGTATAGCATCCATAGCCCAGAATCAGATTTGAAATTGTCCTGGACTGCAGTGTTTCTTACCAAGATGCTTGGTTGACCAAAATACATATATTCTGGTGAGGCAATTACCAAAATACATACTGACTACAAGATAATATCTGATATTAGGTTATCCCGAATCGAAGAAGATATGCAAGGCTATAGAGGAGTCTGGGGAGGATCACCTTCGGCTGCTGATGCGGCAGTGCTTGGCTCGAGAAGGGCTGGCGCCTGTTTGGGCGGACGTCCTCTACCCGTTGTGTCAACGGGCCGCAGAAATCATCAACCTTGGTCTGCTATTTATTATGTTCTGTTTCCTGCTGATTGATATTGAAAAACGATATAAAAATCACAAATATATCATACGTGCATTTAATAAAGTGCTACCCATATCTCGCAATGTTTGTATTATCTGTTAAAAACAACGCATCATTTATAAGAATTAAACATTTTATTGGCGTTATATTTTACCAATATTTAAAATGAACGTGTTTGTCTTATTAAATATATTCATAACTAGTTGAAATCAATTAGGTAGTAGATTCTGAATCGAAATGAATGAAAGAAGAAATTTATGTGAGGTACTTAATTTTTGGATTGCAGACATGAACAGCAATGAAATGGACGTGCGCAACTACGTGCAGGTGAAGAAGGTACCGGGCGGCACCGCTGCAGACTCGCACCTCGTGCACGGCGTCGTGCTCACCAAGAACGTCGCACACAGGTACTCTCCGCTCACTCACTAACGCAGCGTTCCTCAACGAAGGGCCTGCGCCCGCCCTTCTTTGAGGAACTGGGGGGCCATTCGAAAATGAACTTGTTGCGGGTAAATAATAAGATGTTGCTGGTCGAGACGATGTATATTACAGATGATAATAAACTGACAATGTGTACACAGAAATAATGATCTTATATACTAAATAACAATAGGAAAATGTAAGGTGGGGTGACACAGTTTAGACACAGCAGTGCTTAGTAGACAATATTGAATTTGTCTTACTAGACATTATTAAATGCACTTATTATTTTGATGTACCTAGGTGACTGTGTCCCATAAACTCAAAGTCACGCAGCGTGCTTGTAGCCTTATCACCATCTCCAAAGTAATCTTGTATTTAAGAAATAATTTAATATTAAGGTGTTGTTTTGTGTTCTTGAATGCAGCCTCCCTTATCCGAAATTATGTGCATGAATACGAGTAATATTAAGAAAAACTATGCACGATTTGTTTAGGATATGATTAATTTCCAGGGGCATGCCACAACAGATAGACAACCCTACAGTGCTGCTTTTAGATTGTTCTATTGCATACCAGCGGGTCGAAGGCAAGCTGACATCATTGGAGCCGGTATTGCTGCAGGTAAGTTTACCACCTATTGACGTTCTTACGGCTGGAAAACGAAATCTTTCAGCAGTGGTATTTCCAAATCGATACGATATTGAAATCTTCAAGAAAAGAGCTTATTCCTTCTTCAAAAGCCGGCAACGTATTTACAATTCCCCTGGCGTGTCTGCGTGTGCTCATGGGCGGCGGTAATCACTGATCATCATATGTGCCACGAGCTCGATTGTTCCCTATCATCATCTTAGCCCGGAAGAGGTTTTAACATTCTCCTAACATTCCCTATGCTATAAAAAAACTATTCTCGCTGGTTAGACGGTCTAACATTCAGTGAACTTTCAGTTTTGTAACGTAAAAAAATAGTAAGTAGTATGAAAATATACGCAAACGCGTATGGGTTGTACAGGAGCAGCAGTACCTGGTGCGGTGTGCGGCGCGCATCGTGGCCCTGCGGCCGCGTGTGGTGCTGGTCCGCGGGCGAGCGGCGCGCGGCGTGCAGGACGCGCTGCGCGGCGCGGGCGTGGCGCTGGCGGCGCGCGTGCCCGAGCGCGCACTACGACGCCTGGCGCGCGCCGCCCGCGCCGACCTCGTCGCCTCCGTCGACGCGCGCATCGCCGCGCCGCGCCTCGGCACCTGCCGCCGCTACTACGTGCGCGCCTGTGCGTACTCTCTGTCTCTCTCACTCGGTAGCGCGGCGAGCAGGACGCGCTGCGCGGCGCGGGCGTGGCGCTGGCGGCGCGCGTGCCCGAGCGCGCACTACGACGCCTGGCGCGCGCCGCCCGCGCCGACCTCGTCGCCTCCGTCGACGCGCGCATCGCCGCGCCGCGCCTCGGCACCTGCCGCCGCTACTACGTGCGCGCCTGTGCGTACTCTCTGTCTCTCTCACTCGGTAGCGCGGCGAGCAGGACGCGCTGCGCGGCGCGGGCGTGGCGCTGGCGGCGCGCGTGCCCGAGCGCGCACTACGACGCCTGGCGCGCGCCGCCCGCGCCGACCTCGTCGCCTCCGTCGACGCGCGCATCGCCGCGCCGCGCCTCGGCACCTGCCGCCGCTACTACGTGCGCGCCTGTGCGTACTCTCTGTCTCTCTCACTCGGTAGCGCGGCGAGCAGGACGCGCTGCGCGGCGCGGGCGTGGCGCTGGCGGCGCGCGTGCCCGAGCGCGCACTACGACGCCTGGCGCGCGCCGCCCGCGCCGACCTCGTCGCCTCCGTCGACGCGCGCATCGCCGCGCCGCGCCTCGGCACCTGCCGCCGCTACTACGTGCGCGCCTGTGCGTACTCTCTGTCTCTCTCACTCGGTAGCGCGGCGAGCAGGACGCGCTGCGCGGCGCGGGCGTGGCGCTGGCGGCGCGCGTGCCCGAGCGCGCACTACGACGCCTGGCGCGCGCCGCCCGCGCCGACCTCGTCGCCTCCGTCGACGCGCGCATCGCCGCGCCGCGCCTCGGCACCTGCCGCCGCTACTACGTGCGCGCCTGTGCGTACTCTCTGTCTCTCTCACTCGGTAGCGCGGCGAGCAGGACGCGCTGCGCGGCGCGGGCGTGGCGCTGGCGGCGCGCGTGCCCGAGCGCGCACTACGACGCCTGGCGCGCGCCGCCCGCGCCGACCTCGTCGCCTCCGTCGACGCGCGCATCGCCGCGCCGCGCCTCGGCACCTGCCGCCGCTACTACGTGCGCGCCTGTGCGTACTCTCTGTCTCTCTCACTCGGTAGCGCGGCGAGCAGGACGCGCTGCGCGGCGCGGGCGTGGCGCTGGCGGCGCGCGTGCCCGAGCGCGCACTACGACGCCTGGCGCGCGCCGCCCGCGCCGACCTCGTCGCCTCCGTCGACGCGCGCATCGCCGCGCCGCGCCTCGGCACCTGCCGCCGCTACTACGTGCGCGCCTGTGCGTACTCTCTGTCTCTCTCACTCGGTAGCGCGGCGAGCAGGACGCGCTGCGCGGCGCGGGCGTGGCGCTGGCGGCGCGCGTGCCCGAGCGCGCACTACGACGCCTGGCGCGCGCCGCCCGCGCCGACCTCGTCGCCTCCGTCGACGCGCGCATCGCCGCGCCGCGCCTCGGCACCTGCCGCCGCTACTACGTGCGCGCCTGTGCGTACTCTCTGTCTCTCTCACTCGGTAGCGCGGCGAGCAGGACGCGCTGCGCGGCGCGGGCGTGGCGCTGGCGGCGCGCGTGCCCGAGCGCGCACTACGACGCCTGGCGCGCGCCGCCCGCGCCGACCTCGTCGCCTCCGTCGACGCGCGCATCGCCGCGCCGCGCCTCGGCACCTGCCGCCGCTACTACGTGCGCGCCTGTGCGTACTCTCTGTCTCTCTCACTCGGTAGCGCGGCGAGCAGGACGCGCTGCGCGGCGCGGGCGTGGCGCTGGCGGCGCGCGTGCCCGAGCGCGCACTACGACGCCTGGCGCGCGCCGCCCGCGCCGACCTCGTCGCCTCCGTCGACGCGCGCATCGCCGCGCCGCGCCTCGGCACCTGCCGCCGCTACTACGTGCGCGCCTGTGCGTACTCTCTGTCTCTCTCACTCGGTAGCGCGGCGAGCAGGACGCGCTGCGCGGCGCGGGCGTGGCGCTGGCGGCGCGCGTGCCCGAGCGCGCACTACGACGCCTGGCGCGCGCCGCCCGCGCCGACCTCGTCGCCTCCGTCGACGCGCGCATCGCCGCGCCGCGCCTCGGCACCTGCCGCCGCTACTACGTGCGCGCCTGTGCGTACTCTCTGTCTCTCTCACTCGGTAGCGCGGCGAGCAGGACGCGCTGCGCGGCGCGGGCGTGGCGCTGGCGGCGCGCGTGCCCGAGCGCGCACTACGACGCCTGGCGCGCGCCGCCCGCGCCGACCTCGTCGCCTCCGTCGACGCGCGCATCGCCGCGCCGCGCCTCGGCACCTGCCGCCGCTACTACGTGCGCGCCTGTGCGTACTCTCTGTCTCTCTCACTCGGTAGCGCGGCGAGCAGGACGCGCTGCGCGGCGCGGGCGTGGCGCTGGCGGCGCGCGTGCCCGAGCGCGCACTACGACGCACGTGGGCAGTATGCAGACGCTCAGGGCAGTCTCTGACGCTCTGTCGTGCAGGGAAACTCTAATGCAGTGAATGTGGAAATCGTTCTTAAGGAACTTAGTATGTATTCTTACTGTGTTATGTAAACTAATGCATTCTATTTCAGATCCGAGCAAAACCCTGATGATTTTGGAAGGATGTGCTGAACCTAACTTGGGTTGTTGTATTCTCCTTCGCGGGTCGTCCTTACAAGAATTGATCAGAGTGAAAAAAGTAGCGAAATTTATGCTTTTGGCATGCTATAATTGGAAATTGGAGAAAGCTTTCCTAGGAGACATAGAAGCTACATTACCTGAACCTGGTATGACTTTCGACGATGACGCTGATGCAAATACCGAAGATAAAAATGATATTACAAACAGTAATGATGACAAAGACGAAACAATTGCTATGGATAATGATATATTTAACAATGCCGATATGCAAGCCGATATTGATGACAATGAATCTTCTATTAATAAAGTAATGAACAATGATATTGAAAAGTCTAATGTAACTGATGCAAGTAAAATCGTTAGTAGCGGAGAGTCAATTAGCAGTGAAAATAATGATAATAAAAATAAAATTGCTAGTGGTAACGAATCGAATGATAACGATAATGATTCATGTAAACTGCCCAAGTTTCAAGAATGCGAAGACCCCTTACAGAGAGCTAAGACTTATGTTCGTAAGACAGATAATGAGAAAACATTTAGTGGGGTACCGATACAAGATTTTAGCGATCCGTTGCATTCCACTTTGTCGGTGGACGACGAAGTGTTTCTTCCTAAAGAGGAAGCCAAGTTGAAAGCTGACAATCACACTGACAGGTGGATTATATTAACTATAATAGGTGTATTAGCTTGGAAATCATGAATACGGATCGGAACTAGTGCTAATATTTGTACAAAGTGATTAACTTGACCTCTTCTGGCCAGGTGGTCGACGGACGACGTGGTGCTGTCGATGTCCCCCAACGTGGTGATCCCGGCGCCGTACGCCGACACGGAGGCGGGGCGGCGCTGCGGACTGCGGCAGTACTTCACGCGGGACCTACTGCCGCAGCCCGCGCCCGCGCACCTCCCGCGCCCCTCCACACCCCGCGCGCGACCGCCGCCGCCCGCCCCGCGCAAGGTACGAGCCCGCCCCGCGCACCTCCCGCGCCCCTCCACACCCCGCGCGCGCCCGCCGCCGCCCGCCCCGCGCAAGGTACGAGCCCGCCCCGCGCACCTCCCGCGCCCCTCCACACCCCGCGCAAGGTACGAGCCCGCCCCGCGCACCTCCCGCGCCCCTCCCACACCCCGCGCAAGGTACGAGCCCGCCCCGCGCACCTCCCGCGCCCCTCCACACCCCGCGCAAGGTACGAGCCCGCCCCGCGCACCTCCCGCGCCCCTCCACACCCCGCGCAAGGTACGAGCCCGCCCCGCGCACCTCCCGCGCCCCTCCACACCCCGCGCGCGCCCGCCGCCGCCCGCCCCGCGCAAGGTACGAGCCCGCCCCGCGCACCTCCCGCGCCCCTCCACACCCCGCGCAAGGTACGAGCCCGCCCCGCGCACCTCCCGCGCCCCTCCACACCCCGCGCAAGGTACGAGCCCGCCCCGCGCACCTCCCGCGCCCCTCCACACCCCGCGCAAGGTACGAGCCCGCCCCGCGCACCTCCCGCGCCCCTCCACACCCCGCGCAAGGTACGAGCCCGCCCCGCGCACCTCCCGCGCCCCTCCACACCCCGCGCAAGGTACGAGACCGCCCCGCGCACCTCCCGCGCCCCTCCACACCCCGCGCAAGGTACGAGCCCGCCCCGCGCACCTCCCGCGCCCCTCCACACCCCGCGCAAGGTACGAGCCCGCCCCGCGCACCTCCCGCGCCCCTCCACACCCCGCGCAAGGTACGAGCCCGCCCCGCGCACCTCCCGCGCCCCTCCACACCCCGCGCAAGGTACGAGCCCGCCCCGCGCACCTCCCGCGCCCCTCCACACCCCGCGCAAGGTACGAGCCCGCCCCGCGCACCTCCCGCGCCCCTCCACACCCCGCGCAAGGTACGAGCCCGCCCCGCGCACCTCCCGCGCCCCTCCACACCCCGCGCAAGGTACGAGCCCGCCCCGCGCACCTCCCGCGCCCCTCCACACCCCGCGCGCGCCCGCCGCCGCCCGCCCCGCGCAAGGTACGAGCCCGCCCCGCGCACCTCCCGCGCCCCTCCACACCCCGCGCAAGGTACGAGCCCGCCCCGCGCACCTCCCGCGCCCCTCCACACCCCGCGCAAGGTACGAGCCCGCCCCGCGCACCTCCCGCGCCCCTCCACACCCCGCGCAAGGTACGAGCCCGCCCCGCGCACCTCCCGCGCCCCTCCACACCCCGCGCAAGGTACGAGCCCGCCCCGCGCACCTCCCGCGCCCCTCCACACCCCGCGCAAGGTACGAGCCCGCCCCGCGCACCTCCCGCGCCCCCCACACCCCGCGCAAGGTACGAGCCCGCCCCGCGCACCTCCCGCGCCCCTCCACACCCCGTGCAAGGTACGAGCCCGCCCCGCGCACCTCCCGCGCCCCCCACACCCCGCGCAAGGTACGAGCCCGCCCCGCGCACCTCCCGCGCCCCTCCACACCCCGCGCGCGACCGCCACCGCCCGCCCCGCGCAAGGTACGAGCCCGCCCCGCGCACCTCCCGCGCCCCTCCACACCCCGCGCAAGGTACGAGCCCGCCCCGCGCACCTCCCGCGCCCCTCCACACCCCGCGCAAGGTACGAGCCCGCCCCGCGCACCTCCCGCGCCCCCCACACCCCGCGCAAGGTACGAGCCCGCCCCGCGCACCTCCCGCGCCCCTCCACACCCCGTGCAAGGTACGAGCCCGCCCCGCGCACCTCCCGCGCCCCCCACACCCCGCGCAAGGTACGAGCCCGCCCCGCGCACCTCCCGCGCCCCTCCACACCCCGCGCGCGACCGCCGCCGCCCGCCCCGCGCAAGGTACGAGCCCGCCCCGCGCACCTCCCGCGCCCCTCTACACCCCGCGCAAGGTACGAGCCCGCCCCGCGCACCTCCCGCGCCCCTCCACACCCCGCGCAAGGTACGAGCCCGCCCCGCGCACCTCCCGCGCCCCTCCACACCCCGCGCAAGGTACGAGCCCGCCCCGCGCACCTCCCGCGCCCCTCCACACCCCGCGCAAGGTACGAGCCCGCCCCGCGCACCTCCCGCGCCCCCCACACCCCGCGCAAGGTACGAGCCCGCCCCGCGCACCTCCCGCGCCCCCCACACCCCGCGCAAGGTACGAGCCCGCCCCGCGCACCTCCCGCGCCCCTCCACACCCTGTGCAAGGTACGAGCCCGCCCCGCGCACCTCCCGCGCCCCTCCACACCCTGTGCAAGGTACGAGCCCGCCCCGCGCACCTCCCGCGCCCCCCACACCCCGCGCAAGGTACGAGCCCGCCCCGCGCACCTCCCGCGCCCCCCACACCCCGCGCAAGGTACGAGCCCGCCCCGCGCACCTCCCGCGCCCCTCCACACCCCGCGCAAGGTACGAGCCCGCCCCGCGCACCTGCCGCCATGACTACCAATTTCACTACCTACTCATAATAATTCGATACATCTCTTGTAATTTTTCACCCGCTTTCAATAAAATCCACCCGTTGCAGGAAATCCACCCGTTCATAAAACACCCTCTAACCGCATCAGCAGACGACCCCGCAGTGAAGGCAGCCCTGGCAAACTACAGAGCGACCGGCTGCAGGCTGGTCAGTAACGAGCACAAGGGTGAGTGAAAAACTTTTTTCTAAACCCACCTAAGATCATGGTGATAATATAGTATTCGTATTTACTGTATTAAGTGTATCGTGCCAAGGTCTATTACTCTGGTTCGAATCCAAAAGTCAAAGTCAAGCCAGAAATTTGGTCGACAACAAAAGTAATTTTGCCCGTAAATCTCCTAGAAATTAATCCGAGAGATGACGGTAGGTTTGTTTTCGATCACGTTGGAATCCAAATACCCCTTGCTAAATATGAGCACGCCAAATGTTGCGTTCAATTCGTTAAAATATATATCTATTCGCTTGTTTTAATTTAGCCGAGTGTCCACTGCACGAACCAAGTGTAGTCAAAAAAGCGCCCAAGGAGGTGGAATTAGAGACGAAAGAGAAACAAAGTGAGAGCAGCGAACCCTTGGACCCGCTGGCCCCGGAGAACCACCAGCGGATCAGTCTGCTGCTGTACAGTTACAGCAATAAATCTGCCAACGTGCCTGATTTCTGCGTCAATCCTTGGTACAATAAAAAAAATTAAATTAAACGCTAAATGAAAGTAAAGTAATGCTAAAGTCTCACCTTTTTTGAACGGTTCGAGAGAAGGCAGTGAAATTACAGGATAAGAAGCATGACATTTTATTTCTCCGGTATGACAATGCATGAGTATTGTAGATGTTATGATATGACATGTGATATCTGTTAGTGCCGTTGATGTGTTGAGGAATCGGTTACCATTATCAAATGTTTGACCGCTTTATTTGTCATTTAAATTACAAAAATGAAATAGTGGTTGCAAGTAATGACCTATTATATAAAGTCGGACTATCGGATTATGTTCAGGATCGTCAAAATAGAGATGTACGGCCGCCACGACATATCTCTGGGAGCTTTCCTGCAGAAGTACTGCTTCAATCCGGACTACAAGTGTCCGTCCAGCAACTGCCAAGTGCCAATGAACCAACATATAAGGAAGTAAGTAACGTCTGTTTCTACGACAGCGATTATAAATAAATTGAAAATTATATAATCCTCTTAAATAAAATGGGTTGATAGTCTTGGAACAAATTTCTGAATATATTGTACATTATAGCTGAAATCCATTTCGATTTTGTTAGTTTTGAAACAAAAAACCGCGTTTCAAAGCGATTTTACCCTTTGGGAGCTTCGACACGCACAGTTACATGCGTTAAATTTACGACCCACCCATTTTCATCGAAATGTTAAAACATTAAACTACAGCCAAAACACCATGGCCTAGATCTTATTCGTTAATTCTCATGGAAATAGAATTCTCCAGTTATAGAAAATAGCGATAATTCTCGGCAATAATAGCGAAAATTGTCATTGGGAATGTCATCAAAGTAAATCAAACGGCAAAGATGGCATTATGTAGTTGCTTTGTAGTGTATTTTTGGTTGAAATTTGATTCTAGGACTTATTAATTGTTTTTTTAGGTTCGTCCACGACGACGTGTGTATAACGATCACGTGTAACACAATAGGACATAGCAACGTAGATAAAACGAAAGCAGAGTCCAAACAGGTCAGTAGATCATGTGATACTCTGAAAATGTACGTATACTTGAATGAGATATGATGTGAATTTGTGTTAAGGAACTTTGTGTGGGGATATTTGTGAATAACATTCTTTTACAAGCCCGTTCTGCTCGCGGTTCCGCAAAGTTTTCTGCAGATTTGCGTGTGAAATAGCGTAGAAAGCGTGTAATAGCGTAGAAAGTGTGTAAAGGCAGCTAAACTCGATACAATTTGATGCGAGAAAGGAGATTGTTACTTAATGTGGATTAATAATCCTATTGCTAACAATATACAATGTCATATTGATTACCACGTGGTTTCTCCTAGAAACTATCGAGGTAAATGACTATATATCAATCAATCATATGCCATTTTTCAAAAATTATTAAAATCGCATTATCTATCCCTGTAATAGAATAATAACACGTCCTCTCGTCCATTATTATGTAGTATATGTATGTATATTGTATGTATTGGTGTGTAAGTTTATTTATTTATGTTTATAAAATGTATGTTTATCTATAATTGTATAATAAATAGAGTGTTTAGTGCGCCTCCTACCTTCTCTCTTTATGTAAATACTCTCTGTTAGCACCGGGTTGTCTGTAAGAAATTGCTGATAGCGATAAGACCGCCTTTTGTAAAACATTTATTTTCATTGTTTTATATCTGTCCTATGTTTATGTATGCGCAATAAAGAGTTATTATTATTATTATTATTATATTTTTTTTTTTCGGAAAACTAAGTCTATTTACAAACATAGTTATAAACATAATTAAATGAGATCGGCCACTTATAGGTTTTCACGGATAGAAACACGGATATATGCCAATATCATGCTCATTTCATCATCCTCCACTGGTTCCTCGCTAGCTCAAACCGGAGGCTTAGCACAAGCGAAAGCAGAGTGATGCTATGCTATTATCATCGATTAAAAAAAAAGTGAACTTGATGGATGTTTACAATAATCGGTGTAATGTGCGGCGTGGTGCGCGCGCAGGTGGCGTTCTGGTCGCGGTGCTCGCGGTGCGGCGCGGGCGGCGGCGCGCGGCGCGTGTCGCCCGCCGCGCTCACTCTGTCGCTGGGCGCGTACGTGCGCGCGCGGGCCGCCGCGCCGCGCTACGTGCGGCCCCGCCTCTGTGCGCACCCGCTGCACGCGCACGCGCACGCCTTCGTGGCCGGCCTCACCACCGCCTGCTTCCGGTACGTACTGTCGCTGGGCGCGTACGTGCGCGCGCGGGCCGCCGCGCCGCGCTACGTGCGGCCCCGCCTCTGTGCGCACCCGCTGCACGCGCACGCGCACGCCTTCGTGGCCGGCCTCACCACCGCCTGCTTCCGGTACGTACTGTCGCTGGGCGCGTACGTGCGCGCGCGGGCCGCCGCGCCGCGCTACGTGCGGCCCCGCCTCTGTGCGCACCCGCTGCACGCGCACGCGCACGCCTTCGTGGCCGGCCTCACCACCGCCTGCTTCCGGTACGTACTGTCGCTGGGCGCGTACGTACGCGCGCGCGCGGGCCGCCGCGCCGCGCTACGTGCGGCCCCGCCTCTGTGCGCACCCGCTGCACGCGCACGCGCACGCCTTCGTGGCCGGCCTCACCACCGCCTGCTTCCGGTACGTACTGTCGCTGGGCGCGTACGTGCGCGCGCGGGCCGCCGCGCCGCGCTACGTGCGGCCCCGCCTCTGTGCGCACCCGCTGCACGCGCACGCGCACGCCTTCGTGGCCGGCCTCACCACCGCCTGCTTCCGGTACGTACTGTCGCTGGGCGCGTACGTACTGTCGTATATTATATTTTATTATCTATGTTTCGTATCTATATTTTTGACTTTAAAGTATTAAAATTATACCTACTATGCTTACGATTTCACTCGCATTAAAATTCAATAAAAAATATAGCCTATATGTTATCCTGATACGTTGGCTATATTACTGTATAATTTCATCAAAATCCGTTCAATAGTTTTTAAGTGAAAGAATAACAAACATCTATCCTTAACAACTTTCGCGTTTATAATATTATTAAGATACGAGTATATACTAGAAAATTTGGAATATGTTATCAGCAAAATCTTTTAAGTAACATTCCTATTAACAACGTTTGTTACCTTAGTTATTTATATATATTTATATTTTATTTCTTCACCTTAGGTACAATAAAATAGAACCGTACGACATACAACTGCCACCGGAAGTAATATACACAAAGTACGACACGAAGCAAATGCGGGATGCACTCATACAACAATTGAACGACCTTATGCTTAAAGGTATTTACTATTACTTAAAAAAGATTTATTTATACAACTAGAATGTCAAACAAACTGACGATCACTATATATGATGATAAGTCTATGATAATAAGTTTTTTTTTTCTCCCCAGACATATAGTGCGAGCTCTTATTAGTTAAGATTCAAGAGTTTTTAATTTTATAACATACGTGATTACATAACGAGATGTTATACATATAGAAGGAATTTGTCCAACATGTTTAGCCTAGATGACACATAACATACTTTAATGCTACAAAAAATATTAAATATAATTATTAAATAATTATAAAAAAAGAATGATGTAATAACATAAAAAAAACAACATGTAATAACACATTTTGTTACAGTTAGTTCTTTATATTATTTCGTTTAACGTTTACAATTCAAATTTCCAGTAACTCGATTTTGGCCAGGCCTCGTATAACCATTTTATGGATACTCATATATAATCCCTTCATTTAAGGCTAAGTTCAGAGTAATATAATAAGTAGTAAGCTTCGCCTTTATACACGAAAATCCCGGAAACGTCATTCGATAACCATTCTGGAAGAATAAGACTACCTTCCGACACGTAAGCCACATAACTTCACTGCCTACGAAATATAACGGTTTGTCTGCAGATATTGCCAAACTGAAGAAGAAACGCCACTACACATCCTATGTGGTTATAGCCCACTCATGCAAAAACGAAATATCTCCTTTGGAAAGTTTACACTCTTTCCTGAGGAGATAAAAACCATCGCTCCTAAGAATATCCTTCAATACTTATCCCTGACGGGTCTAGGTAGCGAACTTTGAAAAGGGCGAGCACAATAGATCTATGTAGGTCGCAGTGCTACAAGTCCATGCACGTGACGATAGCTCAAACAACCCAATAAAAAAAATGTAACGGTTCCAGGGCACGAGACCTTCAGCTGCTTGACAGAGAGCGACGCGGAGAAGGAGTACCAATCGTTCAAGCAGCACATGGACCAAGTCCACCTCGCGCTCACTTCTGGACAACTGCAGGAGCTCACCTCGCCCGCTGGTCAGTAACCGATTAAATAAAACAAAATAAGAAAAAAGAAAATCTGATTCATATTATTTAAAGGCCATGCATACTTGACTGTATAAATAAAATAAAAAAGAATAAAAAAACAATATTGTTGTAGTAATAAGGAAAAAGGCTAGGTAAACGGAGAAAATATATTAATATAGACCTCTGACAATTAGGAATAGAAAAGAAGGAATTGAAGTAACAAAACAAGAATGTAATATAAAAGAACTATAAATTCAAATACAAATTTAGAATATAAAACATTTCTTCATTAGCCAGTTACAACAAATATGAATAATAGTAATATGAATCAGTCATATTACTTAGTGGCCATTTAAATATACAGTATTTTTTTCATAATTTCGATACAATCCGAACATTAGTCCTTCGAGCCGGATCCTCACAATAAAATTAATATTCATTCAATAATTTCTGTTGGCAGCTGTGGTCCGCAGTTTATGGAGCGTGTCGGACCGGATCGTATCTGGTGAGAAGATGCTGCGAGACGCCCAGGATAAATGGTCTACTGCTCTCGCAAAGTCTGCCAAAGCACACTCCGATACTAGTGGTATTATTCTTTTTTCAAAAGCTTTGTTATAAAATTTTTTTATACTACTATGGTGGTAAACAAGCATACGGCCCATCTGATAGTAAATGGTTACCGTAGCCTATAGATGCATGGGGATTATACGCAACTAGTTTGACGATATTTTGAATTTTGTATTTTTTTTAAATTTTGATACTGAGTAATAATGAAACTACCTTCTTTTAAATATTTTAAATTATCAGATTTTTCTCCAATATCAATGTGAATTGTATACTTCCAGTTTATTTATTACTAGCTGACCCAACGAACGTTGTTTTGCCATATAAATTAAAATCAGTATTAAAAAGTGATCTGTGATAGATCACTTTTTAATACAGAATTTATGGTTGTATCTATTTTTTAAAATCGCATTATAATAATAAAGAAAAAAGTATTGTCTAAAAAAATGTTAGGGATGGACAACCCTTATCACTTAGGGATATAAAAAATAGATAGTAACCGATTCTCAGACCTACTGAGATATGCATATAAAATTTCATCAATTGTTTAAGCCCTTTCGGAGGAATATGGTAACTAACATTAAGACACGAGAATTTTATATATATGACTAGCTGTCCAGGAAAATGTTACTTTACCATAAAAACTAAATACTAATATCGCTATTAAAAATAAGGGTTGGTGGAAGAAGGGTGAAAATTTAGAGTTCTATGTATTTTTTAATGCCACTGTATAAAAAAGAAACATAATTATATGTTAGGCGTGGACAACCCTTATCACTTAGCGGTAAAAAATAGATAGTAGCCGATTCTCAGACCTACTGAATATGCACATTCACATGCAAATTTCATTAAAAATCGGTCCAGCCGTTTCACGAGGAGTATGGTAACTAACATTGTGACACGAGAATTTTATATATAAGAAGATATTTCTGTTTTCAGCTGCTGAAGAAAAGTCTGACTTGGAAGATTCAATTGGCGAAAGTGGAATAGAAGGATCAGGTAATAAAAAAATATAAAGTATTGTTATATATAGAATAACTATTTTTTCGGATTTTTAGAATGATCAGAAAATATAAAAAATATAAAGATTTTTTTTTTCCATATTAGAAAACTATTTAACTACTCCGTTTTCAATCTAGTATTATAATATTGGTATGTAAGGGAGTATAATATGTAGAATTACAATATAGTATTGAAATAGGAACTGAGTTACCGAGCTAGACTTTTAAAATGTCGTCTTCGTAGGTACCCAGCTATAAATGGCTGAAATAGATATTTTTTTTTATAAATACATACATACATTCGCACGAATTCGCTACAATATGTAAAGAGAACACCAGATAGAATATATTAGAAATAATTGTATATTGATAGAAATAATTGTACTTATAAATACAAACGTTGGTACCATGCGAGGAATCGACCCCACAACCATCGGTCATAGGTTCGATGGCTATAACTATATCACCGAGAGCGTCAAAATTTAAATAAAAGTAGCCTAAGTTACTACTTATTACATCAACTACCTGCTAAAATAAGTCCCGTAAAATCGGTCCAGCTATTTTAGAGATTAGCCGAAACAAGTAGACAGACAGACAAAGATTGTATAAAATGTACCGTATTTATATTCATATACATGTAGTAAAAAACGATTATTTCAATATTACAAACAGACACTCCAATTTTATTTATATGTGTAGATGTATAGATTATAAATAGGCGATGGTTAACAGTATATATAATTACAGTTTTTTTACTTTATACAGGTACAACGTATACATTTAGTGATAATAACTCAAAAGAGCCGGACAAGGAACACGCAGGTAAGTGCAGTGAATTTATTCATTAATTTTGAAACATACAAATATTATAAAGTTCATTGTACATTGGACCCCGCACTAGGTGAATCTGAATAAGTAACTTCTCCTCAGTTGAATCTGTATACTGAACTGGACGCTAGGGAAAAAAATATTAATACAAAGAACTTGACGTTCATTTATTAATTCATTTAAAATTATATATTTTTTTGGAGCTCTTGTCACGGTCCACGTTCATCCATCATGCTCTTTAAATGTTGATACGACACAACTCCAATTTTGTCTTTAATTAGTTTGATGTAGCTATGATATTCATAAGTGCCTAAAATGTCCTACATGAATATATTATTGTTTTTAGACTTGATTCATTTGTAAGAGTGCTGTAGACGCAAACAGGTTTTTATTTACAAGTCGACTTTGTAAATAAAAATAATATAACATGATTGTAATGTTACTGGAGTGTCACATCACTATTATTATTATATCATAATCACAAGTAGACCAAGTGTAAACCTTCTATTCTGAAAAAAAATGTATTGTTAATAATGTTTTTGTAGCATAGGGGTAAAAATAGCTTGCAAATGGCAACGGCAGGGGAATTGCAAGAGCGTTGTCTTGATCTTTTAATAAGAAATATGCTCTTTTCTTGGCGTTTTCAATGTCGTATTGGTTCGTAAGTAGACTTATTAATAACAAATTTATTAAATATTTGTTTAAGTTTTTCTTAATATTTATTTTTTATTGTATTTGAAATGTTACGTCAAATTCAAATTAAAAAATATTTTTTTCATGTATGACATTTTAGCCGCTTATGAACAAAATTTTTTCCCTTCCGTCCAGTTCAGTATAGAGATCCTAATGAGAACTTGAAACTTGAGTTACAAAATTGAAACCACCTTTCCACCCTTTATCAGACTTTCTGGACCCTCCCTCGTTCTTTAACGTGACGTGACGTCATTTATGTAATACTAGTTCCTCGCCCCAGCTTCGCCCGGGTGTGCATGTATTATATATGTATATATCACTATCTATTGAAAAAAACCGCGTCATCCATTGCGTAATTTTAAAGATTTAAGCATACATATGGACAGACAGCGATAGCGACTTTAGTTTATACTATGTAATGATTAAGTAGTAGTAAATACATCGCGTTTATCATTTAAAGGTACTGAAGAAGACGAAGAGAAAGGCGACAAGAAAACAGTGAAGCAAATCTTATCGCAACTCTTGTCTAACAATCAACCGTCGCATCAGGTATTTGTCGTATTTATTAATAGAATTACTGGCTGACACTGTCTACCGCTCGATATAATGAAATTTATAAGGAAGGAATTCATAATTACTATGACTGAATTATTAAATGAAATAATTCATTTTAAATGATTACACTTTAATTAATTGTTGAAAACTCTGGTAGACTAAGATGTTAGGCTTACAAAAGCATAGTTACAAAGCTGGGTACCGCAGAGGGTATTTTGTGACGATATATGCTGTGATAGTGACAGTAAGTCTGTCTCTCAGGGCGGTATGATCATCTGGAGCGGGCTGGTGCCGGTGGTAGTATAGTCCTTTCTCCCTATCACTCGTTGGTTGGTTTCTGAGGCGTTTCAGTGTAGTACAGCTACAAAGTTGGGTACCGCAGAGGGTATTTTGTGACGGTATATGATGTGATAGTAATAGTAAGTCTGTCTCTCTCATAATCATCTGGAGCGAGTTGGTGCCGGCCGTGGTACAGTCTTTTTCTGAACTGACGATTTTTCTCAAACATATATTCTCAAAAGATTTTTGTCGGGCACACTACACTTTTTTCACAAATCAGTAAGGTTATCAGAAGCTATTTACAAGGCATATACTACGCCATTATACTGATTACTTCGCCTATTCCTATGTTCTTATACCTAATGAATTTTATTTTGTTTTTTTTACTTTACAAAAGGGCCCCGAATTCTTGTGTGCCCAAGGGCCCCAGCCTAGTTTAAGACGGCGGTGGGTGTGATAGTAAGAAAGTATATTATTGTCTGTGTATTAGGGTGGCATGATAATCTGGAGCGGGCTGGTGCCGGTGGTGGTGCAGGCGGGCGAGATCGGGTCAGTGATCGCGGCCACGCTCGCCTCGCTCACCTACCAGCGAGCCGCCGCCGCGCTCACGGCCACCGCACAACAAGCGTACGTACCCTTTTATTTCACGCCTACGGTACTTATTTATTTACTAGCTGTGCCCGCGGTTTCACTCGCGTGAGCCTACTAGCAGACCAAGCAGATCAAGAACCTTAACGCGCTGCCGTGCGTGGCCGACGCACGGCAGCGCGTTAAGGTTCTTGAATAAAATAATATTGCGACTATAAATTGAGATGTAAGCTATCCTATCTTTCAAGTGGGATCAAATTGCACACAATGTGAAAATTAAATTTCCAAACGGTTCAGAATTTATACCTAAAAGGGGTAATAAAACATATATTAAACAAATATTATATTATACATACATAGGTACTTCCAATATCCATCAGCGCGCTCGATTTAACATAAAAAAAAATTGCGCACATCATGAATAAAAATATCGTTTAGTTTTTATTTTTTTAAATATGTATAGCATAAAAAAATTATCTTAGCTACATAACTCTCTAGATCTTTTCTAAATTATAAACACTTTGGTTTTAGGACACTGGCCGAAATAGATGAGTCGGATACCAACAGTTCTGCGGGCAAAGATAAAACAGACGGCGACAAGAACAAATCAACGAAGTCCAATGACCACATTGAAGTTTTGCTAAAGGTAAATTGTTGGTATATATGAACATGGATGGATGGAAAGAGACAGGACGACCAAAATATAAGATGAATGGATTGTTGATTGTGTGAAAGACGATAATGGAATAAAGGCAATGATGATATTTAGTCCATGTTTTTATTGTAATGTTTTGTTTACATATGACATATTTTGTGACTACACCGATGACTCTTTTTGCTCATTTAGTAGTAGTAAGTAGTAGTAGTAGCCTAAGTTACTCCTTATTACATCAGTTACCTGCCATAAAAGTCCCGTTAAAATCGGTCCAGCCATTTCAGAGATTAGCCAGAACAAACAGACAGACATACAAAAATTGTAAAAAATGTTATTTTGGTGTATGTACCCTATTTATATTCATACGCATATAGTAAAAAACGGATATTTCAATATTACAAACAGACACTCCAATTTTATTTATATGTATAGATATGGCCTTTGCAAAATCGACTTATACAATATACTTATCAAGCTTACAAATATTTAAAAATCCAATCATGGAACTTTGTAACGTTATGAGGGAAACCGAATACACAATTACTGAACCATGTTATTCTATGTCATTGATTATCAACAGACTCTGTTATGCATTTGGATTAATATTAACCTTAAATTTCAGGACGGGCTCCTGTGTCGCGTGTACTACGCGCCGCAGTTCCACAAGTTACGGCACATGCTACTGGCGCCGCTGAGTGCGAACCCACACATAAAGGATGAGTTCACCGACAACACTGGCGAACAAGCTGTAGGGGACGGCCGGTGTAGCTGCGAGGATGGCAGGGATAAGTCGGATAGTAAGATTCTAGTTCTTTTTAAACTTTCGTGTATAATACCTCATTATTTATATTATTTATTAACACGGGTAATTTTATGGTAAACTAGCTGTGCCCACGACTTTGTGCGTGTAGAATACCTTGACCAAAATAAAATATTCATAATTTCCGTATAAAATTTAATTTTACTCTATTTTATTTAAGGATAACATTTTTACAAACTTTGAATGCCATATTTATTTATATTTAATTGAAGTCCTAAAAATAAGTATAAATTTAAGTAAAATTAGTGATACTTCCATACAACCTTCTATATAACCTATATATATTTATATAGGGGTTCAAAGGGGAGATGAAAGGTGGTATGGAAGTATCGTCATTTTAAAAGCTAGGAGCTTGAAACTTATATTTCAGATTAAATATTTATAAAGAAAAAAGGGTTGAAAGGAGAGCCTTTCAACCCTTTTTTCTTCCATACCACCTTTCATCTCCCCTTTGAACTCCTTAAAAACGTGTTTTGACAATAAAAGTAGCCTATGTCCTCTCTCAGTGTACCAAATTTCATTTAAATCGGTTCAGTAAGTTTTAGCGAGAAAGCGAGGCAGACAGACAGAGTTACTTTCACATTTATAATATTAGTAAGGAAGTAAGGATATGGATATAGGTATTTATTTACAACCCTTTTTTGGCGTTAAAAAGTAGCTTATGAGTCTTTTCAGTGTCTGGATTATCTGTGTACCAAATTTTATTTAAATCAGAGTAATCGATTAATCGTAGTAAGGATAAAGATATAGGTATTTACTTCTCTCAACGTTTGGACTAGGTTGCACTAGCCGTGGTCACGAGTTGAGTAAATTTCCATATTTTTTGTTCCGTCTAAAGGAATCTAAATGCAGTAATATTGTTATAAGTGTTTCTTATATCTATTCTAATGCTGTTGGCTGCAGCTGTCTTCTACAGCTTCACCGAACGATAGGGGCGAGTACAGATCATACCAAACCCGCGGAAGAAAGGAAGGACTTACGGAGTGGCTGAAGGATTCTGAAAGGTCTTGCCTGATGGATACGAATTTAGTCTGTGGGCAAGGCTACGCATTCGAGCCTCGGCTCAGGCTGTCGTAATTTCCCCCTTTGAATGGATCGATGGAACGGCTGATATATAATAGATATCATATTGATATGAACTTTTCGTGTATCAGACAAGAGCCTGTGCGAAATAGAAGAAGGGTTCGTGCGTTCGTTGGCGCACTGCGTGCCGTGGGCGGCGCGCGGCGGGAAGTCGGGCTCCACCTTCTGCAAGACCGACGGTCAGTACCCAGTACCCCAGTACTCAGTACCCACCGGTACATAGGGGGGTCACTATTACACTAGGTTGTTATTTATTTATTTCTATGTATATAACTTTAAAGGACGTAGTACAGAGACAAAAGTACATATGGCAGACTTAACACCTTTGGCGTTTTCTACCAGGCAACCATGACATGTAAAACATACACAAGTATATATACATAAAAATATATATAAGTACATGCTTAATAATTTTGGCAATGAAATAGTGAGTACAGCCGACACATAAAACATCTTGCAATATAATAGTATATAATATATACACATATGTGGAAATATCGCGGGTGAGACTTGAAGAATAGTCTTTTAATATTATATTATTCATTTCGGTATTACGTCATTCGTAAAGTACTTCAATTGTTTATTTAAAAGTATAACTGTAATAAAAATGAAACGCATAAATCCTCTTACCATATATATGTTTAACATTAAAAATGAAGAAACTTATGGATAACGAGACAATGTATATAAATGATAATATATTATATGTAGGTACATAAAGTTACGTACATTATGACGCAGCGTGGGAAGGCCTCCAGCAAGGTTGACCGACGATCTGGTCAAGATTGCTGGAACGCATTGGATGCGAGCAGCGCAGGACCGATCGTCGTGGAGATCTTTGGGGGAGGCCTATGTCCAGCAGTGGACGTCTTCCAGGCTGAGATGATGATGATGATGATGACGTAAAGTTACTAGTTGAATATTGTTTCCAGATGACAGATACGTGTTAAAAGAAATGACTAAGCCGGAGTGGCAACAGTTCCTCGAGTTCGCGCCGCACTACTTTAACTACGTAACCCATTGTCACCAGAACAAACTGCCCAGTCTGCTTGGTGAGTCACCTCAAACCCATGTTTAAAATCATTGCCTTGCCTTTATTTAATTATTTAATGTCGGTTAACGGTTGGATACTATTATTATAAATACGAAAGTAACTCTGTCTGTCTGTCTGTCTCGCTTACACCCCAAAACACACAGTTCTTCTCATATCGAAATCATTCCGAACTGACGGTAGATTTGACATATCATAAGAGTCTGTAATCGACATGAATAAAGATATTTTGTTTGAATTTGGATTTTGATCACCACACTAGGCGAACTTGCATCGCGGGAGTCCACAATATAATTGCCAGATGATTTTTTTTATACCACGTAGTTGGCAAACGAGCATACGAACCATCTGGTGGTAAACGGTTATCGTAGCCTATGGACGCCTGAAACACTAGGGGTGTCACATGCGCGTTGCCGACCCTTAAGAAATCTTAATATGGAGGTTTTTTGAAAAATCTCATGCTGTTATTATTATTGCATTATTGTCGTGAGCATGATAGAGGGATAACAGGTACTAGTGATTTCTTGACGTGTATTGCATCTAAAGGGCAATATTGCTACACCGACCACGGCAGTGTAGCTGTCCCGTCTACATTACGCCACTAAGTAACAGGACATCGTCGATTATATACGGACCAAGAGTAACCTGACATTGAGGGTGACGCAGCTGGAGTCGAGTTTCAAGGCGTTTACTGCCCTGAACCCTACCAACATGCTGCCCACCTTCATGGAGGACTACCGGTCGAAAGGTGTCGTATATTGGCGCTACCGTGGCAGATTAGCGTCTCCAGTTCCGTGACCACACAGACAATAACAATATATTAGTTTTTAAATATTAAATTATATGTATATTAGTCTATAAGGTATCTATAAATATGGGCTTTGTGTGTATGTTGCCAGAAATAAATGAATAAATGATATAGACTGGTTGTCGTCGTCCGCAGCGCGCATCCTGGGCGTGTACAGCGTGGGCGGCGCGGGCGGCGTGCTGGCGATGGAGAACATCTGGTACGGCTGCGGCGCACAACACAAGCGGTTCGACCTCAAGGGCTCCAGCCGGCATCGCCTCGCACCAGACACGCAGCCGCTCGCAGTCCTCATGGACGAGAACCTGCTCAACTGTACGTCCTACTCACGGGGGAGAGGGGATCTGTTGGTAGACGACACACTGACAGTTTATTCTACCATTTATTTGGAATACAGATTCATCGCTCATTTATCATTCATTCATAAGAATGAGCGAGAAATTTGCGTGTTGCTCTTTTAAATAAATGTCTTTCAGAATTTTGTGTAAAAAATTTCTGTAAATACAAACTGTCAAATACCAAAGTTGACATAAATAATTGGTTCAAGTAGGCTTGAGTAACAAAATAAATTAGTCATAGTTATCAGAGCACAGTAGTGCCTACCTTACAAGCAGCACCCATTCACGAGTATAACAGCTGAATCAATTATTATTTCTAGGTATAATGTGTATTTATAAAATTAATCAATCATAATTAAGAAATCATGTAGTTAATTTTTTTTTACTAACTATTCTAGTGCTATAGGCTATATAGCTGGCCTTTACAGCTTCACCGAAGAGTGCAGATGGCACTTCAACCCCGTGGAAAAACTTATTGAGCGGCTGAAGATTAAATCTTGCTTGACGCATACTTTAGGGCACCGCTAGGAGTTCGAACCTCGGCTCAGACCGTCGTAATTTCAATTTTTTTCATTGGGCGGGAGATCTATCGGAAGGAGGTGACCTGATTAATATATAGTTGTTATTCGTGACATGTGGTCACTGCGTGCGCAGTGCGGTGGCAGCAGCAGCTGCACGTGGCGTCTGCGAGCGCGCGCGTGGTGTGGGCGGGCGTGGAGCGCGACTGCTCGTTCCTGGCCGCGCGCGCCGTCATGGACTACTCGCTGCTGCTCGGACTGCAGCGCCGCACCCTCGTGCTCGGCATCATCGGTCAGTACCGTCACCGCCAACGTCATCGACATCACCACCGCCACCGACTAGCCGCTCTACTGCGCGCTCCATCACACAAAGTACACTTTGATTAAGACACCATTTATGTGCGTGCCGAAGCAGTTTCGTAAATATTGTCAAAAAGAAATTTCAGACAACCTTTAGGCACATAGAAAACAGATGATAACTGGTAGAACTATTATTTGTTGTATATAAATATTTTAAATATTCATTTCATTAACTCTCCGATGATGAAGACAACAGCCAAGTAGACAAGAAGAGAAACAAACAAAATTAATCCAAGAGACTCCAATAGGATCAGCCTCAATGATTTTAAATATACCAAGTGAAATATAGACATGTCAAGTATTGCTTTCACAACGTCGGTATAGTCACTTAAAAATTATAATGTCCCTGGCTATACTATGTGGGAGATTCCTTTTATGTTTTTTTAAGTAATTTATTTTAGTGTTTAGTGTCTTTTGCAACAAAAACAAACTTTCTAATTTTATATATGCGGAAACAATGTAAATGTGTATATATTTATTTAAATTTATGTTATACTAATCTGTAGTTTAATTTAATAAATAAAAAACGAAATTTTAAGCATAATAATCTTACATTATAGTTACTGATTTCATAATGATTGAAATAACTTTCAGTGGAACAAAAATATAAATCACTTAACTATCTATATTGTAGACTACATCCGCACGTTCACGTGGGATAAAAAATTGGAACACCTGGTGAAGAAGAATCTGGGCTCGGGCCAGCCGACGGTGGTCTCCCCCGAGGAATACAAGCAGCGGTTCTGTGCTGCATGCCGCAAGTACTTCCTGCAGTGTCCCGCGCACTGGGATCATCTCTATAATACCACATAGCATGGAGGAAAGGTATTTGTTAGTAATGTAGAGTGATGATTCTATTGCTAGCAATGTACCAGATTTACCTCCACGTGGTTCCCCCTGGAAACCATTCTGATAAATTCCTGGTGAATTTGTCACAGTGGGCTAACTAACCTGACCTCATGCTCATCCTATCATCCTCCACTGGTGCCCCGCCAACGTAAACCGTTAGCGCAGGCGGATCCATTTTTACATTATCATCTACTAAAAACAAGACTACAGAATCTTACGGATTATATTGGATTCTGCACCCGCCTGCGATAACGGTTATCGCTGGCGGGGCACCAGTGGTAGCATAAAATGAACATGACGTAAGGACAGTTAGCCCATCGTGGTAAATTCACCATGAATTTATCACGGTTTCCAGTGGTAACCACGCGATCAACCTGACATGTTACATTGCTACTAGCAGTGGGGTTATTAGTCCATATTACTAACATTCACATCACCTACTCCCCCCCAATACATAATATCTACTCCATTAATCACATGACTCAAAAGGGGTGGAAGGGATTCGTGAAAAATTACGAAATATCACAAGTTTTTTTACGTCAAATGCGTGATTTTAAACGGAAAAGTGACCTGTAGAGTGACCTTGACTTTTCAAGAATAAAATGTGATCATACTATACTTGTAGATGATATTCTAACACTGTCATATCTATTTCTATGTGTTTTCATGAATAAACTGCTTTAGGAATTAGAATTCAATTTACAGAGAATATGTTTTTTTTTCTTTAAACAATATTTTGACTCATATATAACATATATATGAGTCAAAATATTGTTTAAAGAAAGCTCAGAAAAACATCCCGCAAGAGGATTAAATATATCTAATACTTTAATGTCAATAATAAAATAATAAATGGCGTTTAAAAGTGTATTTGCGTACGAAGTCGTGGTCGGTTTATAAAGCATAATAATCTATTTATTTATGTAAATATTATGGAGTTTACAATTTATCTGTGATTTGCGTCGAGGAAAGCGTAATCTATTGTCAATGACTACTAACGTAACTAACAAGCTACCAATCAAAAAGTAAATAAATGCAAATAGAATATAAAACAATGTATGAATAATATGGTTTTTTTTTGTATATTAGTCACTGAATAAGTCATGCTTTTAACTCAAATAGTTTTATGATTATGTGGTTCTATAAATGTTATAGAAAAGTGAAATATTAATTGAAACAACCTTTCTTTTGCTATATTGCTTATTTTATGAGTTGGATTACAGTCGTCAATATTATTATACTAAAGCCATGTCGGACGGCCTCGGTGGTCTAGCGGTTTAGTACACCGCTTTATTTCCGATGGTCGCGGGTTCGATTCCTCGCACAGTGCTAACATTTGTATTTATGAGTACGATTGTTTGTATCAGTCTGGGTGTTTTCTATGTATATTATATAAGTATTTAAAAAAAGTATTATCAGTTGTCTAGTACCCATAACGCATACTCTATTTACCGTGTGACTAGATGGCGCTGTGTTAAGTGTCCAGGGTTATTTATTTGTTATATAATTAATAAATCGGTAACAGAATTGAAAATGAGAGGTTTGGAATTCAATTAAGCAAATGAATAATAAAATCTAACTGAAATTTCCCTCGGAAAAGTTCTGAATGAAAATAATAATATTGAAAATTTCCAGTATGAAAAAAGAAATCAACTTTAAAGTATTTACTTTAGTCACTTTACGTTACCATGTTTTAAATATTTGTTTTTTAAAAATGTGTTTTACTGCAAGGATTTATATCATAGTTTAGATCGTCTTCTAATATTGTATTTACAGATATTAACTTTATTTTTTAATTTCGAGTGCAATGGAAAGCAGTGTTTATTTTTATTTTTACGATGAGGTCAAATGAATTATCAAAGATACATTGCTACAGAGTATAAATAAGATATATTTAAATCATTATATTGTTTACACATTCCTCGTATTGAAAACATTGTTAAATTATATTAAATTTTGTTATACATTATAAAGTTTTCTTTCTTGCATTACTGCATCCTATAAAACCCTCCGCGACGCCCCCCTGTGGTACCTGCCCCATATCACTGCCACATTATATGTATTTTTTATATTATACATTTTTTTATGTCACATCAAGCTGTCATACAGTCCATGCAACTTACAGACATCTATTAAGAACTAAATTGTATAAAACCATAGACAATTGGTTATATAATAGATAGATAGATTACATAACATTACTGTTATAAGTTTTGAATCACATTACTCATGTACTTCAAAAATAGTTTTAAGTTTGGATATAGATTAAAAATAACTATTCCTTTTAAAGTATAATCCCCAGGACGCTCAGAAATATACAATAAATCATCCGAACATGATATAATAATATATTTATTACCTATTTACAAATGAATAATTCGATGGTAATGCATATTTTCATTTTAAATAATTAATTTTACATCAGTTTCATAATTCCCGGAATACAATCATCACATTGTTGGACGTGTCAAACATAAATATAGGGGAACCGGAGTATTAAAGCATATTATGGTGTGATGTCGCCGGCCGTGTATCATGTCGGGTCGAGCGTCGAACTTAATGTCTTGAGTTGTTCTAGTCCCGCTAATAGTTCGCTGTGGGGGAAAAACATGGTGTTAAAGTAGAAATCATAAAAAACATAATAAGATCAATTAATTATCCATAAACTATAATTGTTTACATGCAACGTCAATAGATGGCGTTGTAACAAAAAACAAACGCTACAAAATTTTATATTATAACCTCTTTTTATACCTGAATTGAAACCGACCAATAAACCACACACTAGTGTAGTGTTTTGGTTTATAGTACCCTTAGAACTCTGTGATTTTAACAATATAAATGTTACTACGCTACAACACTTGCAACAGAAAACGCCTGAACAACTGGATAGACAAGTTGTCTTGTCTGGTCTTCCCTTGTGGTTTGGGCATGGTACAGATCTGTCGAGCCTCGGCTCTTTTACCCGCCCATACTGCAGGGGTGACGCGGATGCCTGCCGCGAGCGATCACGTCGTTATCGAGTAGAGTTGGAGATGGAGAGCACACGTACCGGAGGGAGACGTCCGCGAGTGCGGTGGCTCGCCGCAGCGCGAGCGCGGCGGAGGCCTGCCGCGACCGCAGCGCCGCCTGCTGCCGCGACGACGCGCCCGCCTCCTCCTGCGCAGAACCATATCGTTATGGGGCCATCCATTAATCACGTGATGTTTTTAGCATGTATAGGCGATGTTGCCACTTTCTATCGGGCTGCATTGCATGTTTCCATAAATTACATTCTTACATTTTATCTTTGATATATACACAACAATATCTCTATGCTTACTATTTCTTTGTACATGTATGTATGGCAGATCTGGTGAACACATCATATAACATTTTCTAGGTTGGAAGAAATCTCTTCTTAAAGATAAATTCTCACATTACATTTATATAGTACTGTTTTTTTTTCTAAGTGTGTATATGATAAAGAATATATATTACTGACCTTCAATTTCTTTATCTGAGATTTCAATTTTGCTACTGCCGGGTCTGTATCCAATGCTCTAGCCTGTAACCATAATAATAACAATAATTTATTTTTGACATATTTTATGCAACTATTTATTTAGTCCCTGACTTCTGAGATAGGTATAGAATACAGAGGTGTTTCAGGAGCCAATGTCTTCTTCAATACTTTGGTGTATTTGTGAGTGAATCAATTAGGAAATTGTGTTGAATAAGTAGCTACAGTATGGAGATGGTAGTAGTGATGAAATTTGATATGATAAAATTACAAGAGATAGATACTAAATAAAAAGAGAAGAAACTATGACTATACAGTCAAATCTACAAATCATAGATTTTTTTAGATTTGGAACATTTCAAACCTCATCTTCAGGCATAAGTGGAGAGGAAGCGGAGGCGGATCCGGAGGAGGGCACAGAACGGCGGGTAGCGGACGCGAGTCGCTCACGCAGGTCGTTGACCTCGGCACGAAGTGTAACCGCTTCTTGTTCCACCCGGGAACGTCGACTGCGTTCCGCAAACAGCTCACACCTAACATCAAACAATCTTATACTTTCGGCTTAGCACGCCAGTAACTTATATAATTAGCATTATATATATTACTAGCAGACCCGGCCACGCGTTGCTATGCTAAGGTTCTTGAATAAAATAATATTGCGACTATAAATTGAGATGTAAACTATCCTATCTTACAAGTTGGATCAAATTGCACGCAATGTGTAAATCAAATTTCAGGAGTTTCGGAGTCCATCGCGGGCAAACAGCGTGACACGTAATCTAAATATATATATAACTCAAAGTGACTGACACAGTGGATCAGTCAGTATCAACGCACAACCCAAACCACTGCACGGATCGGGATGAAATTTGGCATGCAAGTAGCCGTTATGACGTAGGGATCCGCTAAAAAAGGATTTTGATTAATTCTCCCCCCAAAGAAATAAAATAGGGGATGAAATTTTGTATGGAACTGTCAATTTTAAATCGATCGGGCTAAAACTTTGCATGCATAAAGCTACTATGACGTAGGCATCCCCTAAGAAAGGATTTTGATAAATTCCACCCCTAAGGGGATAAATTAACGCGAGCGAAGCCGCGGGCAAAAGCTAGTTTCTTATATATAAACATAATTATGCACTTAAAATGGCAAATAAGTTGACGGCCCATTTGTAAATGGTAACCAGCACCTACTGGGGTAAAGGGATTGTTACTGATCCGTCTGCTTTACAATCCAAGAGTATTGCATTTGTATCCTGTTATTCCAGTTTAGTTGCAAATACAAATTACTACAGAACAGACGTGTGTTTCCTTGCTCTAGACATTACACAAAATACGTTAAGCAAAATTCAACCATATCCCATACATTATATGGCCGCAATCGAGCCGGACTACCTGAGAATTGTACCGAGTACCTGCTGACCGCCGCGCCGAGCCGACCCATCGTCGAGAACAAAAGAACAAAGAAACAAACAACATTGTATTGCTTAAGTACATCGCCGAGTCATATTTTTAAAGTTTTAAAGTTGAATAGTTATAATTTACGCCATTTGCATTACTTGTATATAAATTGATATTTGCAAGACTATTTTATGAAATATGGCTACTTTGGACCAAATCATCAGTATACTTGAAGAAACAGGGAATTTATTGAAGAAAACACAAGTGAATCTTAAAAAATGCCCGAAGTCACGATTAACAAAAGGATACATTGAAGCACGATTGAAGTGTATTGAGGATTATTGGACGTATTTTAAGAAATCACATGAAGAATTGATACGCACTACGACCAGAGAACAAAGGAGCTTGTTGCCGTATTTCGTAAATGAAGAATACTATTTACATGAAGATGTGTACTTGTGCTTGGAAGCCGACCTTAAAGATGTGTTATCAGCGTTGCCAGTGTCACGTTCAGTTGAAAGAATACCGCGGGACACTTCAAACATTCAAGTGAAACTTCCGAAAATTAATTTACCCCAGTTCCTAGGAACGTACGAGTCGTGGACAGGGTACCAAGATTTATTTATTTCGTTGGTACACAATAACACATCTCTAAGCAGTGTACAAAAATTACATTACTTGAAAACAAGTGTCAGCGGTGAGGCGGAGCATTTATTGAAGCATATACAAATAACAGAGAATAATTATGCACTAGCGTGGAATACATTGAAGGACCGGTACGGTAACAAACGATTGATAGTTAACTCTCTGTTAAAACGATTATTTACACAAAAGAAAATTGCTAGTCAGTCTGCTAATCAAATTAAGTCATTGTTAGACACTACATCTGAGTGTATAAATAACTTACAAAATTTAAATATTACCACCGATTCTTGGGATCCGATAATCATATTTCTTGTTGTACAAAAGTTGGACCCAGAGTCACATAAACAATGGGAGGCGTATGCTTATAAAGAAAATACAGATGAGTTGCCTACGTGGACTGACTTGAAGAAATTTTTAGAATCACAGTTTCGTACACTAGAATTAGTTACACCGTCATCTTCATACACAAGAGAGCGAACTGTAAAAGAAAAATCATACCATGTAACAACTTCAAACAAAATTTGTGTTATGTGCAAGAGTGACCACGCTTTATGTCATTGCAAGGAATTTACAAAGTTAAGCCCACTGGAACGTCAAGAATACGCAAAGAATAATAATCTTTGTTACAACTGTCTAGTACCAGGACATTCGGTATTAAAATGTCGTATACCAGTTTCCTGTCATGTTTGTCACAAACGTCACCATTCGCTTCTACACTTACAGAAGAAAGCAGACACTTCGGGTCAAATAAGCACCATACAACCGACTGTGTCATTACAATCCAGTGTAGAAGAGCAAGAGGAAATACGAGTCAATACAATGGTTGCGTCTAATTGCAATACTGGACAGAAAATAGCTCTATTAGCAACTGCAATGGTCATTGTCACAAATGAACATGGTCATAATACTGTGTTAAGAGCGCTAATAGATCCAGGGTCTGAATCATCATTCATCAGCGAAAAAGCAACTCAATTACTACAACTCACAAGAACAACAGCGAAAAGAAGCATAGTCGGAATGGGATCTATGAGATCAAATGTAAATCAAGTAGTTCAGTTCAAAGTAGTTTCTAGATACGATTCAATATACAAGTACAAGCATATGTCATTGCTCAACAACTGACTACTAAGATACCCACAAAATCACTTGCTGTTTACAATTGGCCACATCTAGAAGGTTTACACTTAGCTGATCCCAGTTATTGTACGCCAGGCTCCATCGATCTCCTTCTAGGTGTTAAAGAATATGCCAAGATATTACAACCAGAGTTAGTCAGAGGTCCACCTGGAACACCATGTGCAGCAAAAACAAGTCTTGGTTGGATCTTATTCGGTGAGATATATTCTGGTGCAAATACAACTGAAGAATCAAACTTTCTACTCGCGCATCATGCAGTTGATGTAGACGAGATACTGAAAGTTATATGGGAGGTAGACATGAACACTGAAAGAAAATATACAAAAGAAGAGAAACTTTGTGAAGAGATTTATGAGAAAACATACAAAAGAAATGATGAGGGACGATATATAGTGAAGCTACCATTTAAGACAGATAAACCGATATCACCAGACGGAAACACAAGAGAAATAGCTTTAAATAGATTTATACAGCTAGAGAAAAGATTTAACAGACAACCACAATTAAAAGAAAAATACACGGAAGTAATAAACGAATACATAAATATGAAACATATAGAAGAAGTACCTGAAAAAGAAATTTATACAAAAAAATCAATATACATACCACATCTCGCAGTCATTCGCGAAGGAAAGGAGACTACCAGTACACGTGTCGTGTTTGATGCATCATGCAAGGGTTCAAACGGCACCTCGCTGAATGATGAGCTGTTGCTGGAACCAGTACTGCAAGGAGATCTCAGAAGTCTGTTGATGAGATGGCGAATGCATGCTGTTTGTTTTGTGTCTGACATTGAAAAAATGTATCGTATGATTTTAATAGCAAAAGAAGATACTGACTTTCAAAGAATGTTATGGAGAAATAACCCTAACGAACCCCTGAAAGATTACCGTTTGCTCACAGTAACGTTTGGAACGGCGTCAGCTCCATACCTGGCTGTTAAGACACTCATGCAGCTATCCTATGATGAAGGCGACAATTATCCTATTGCCAGTAGAATATTACAAGAAGATTTCTACGTAGACGATGTTCTATCCGGTTGTGATAATGTAAAGGAAGCCATAGCAGCTAGCAAAGAGTTAAGAGAACTATTACAACAAGGTGGTTTCAAACTAAAGAAATGGTCATCTAACAATGCTGAATTTATGAGAGCTATTACACCAAACGAACGATCATCAAATGTGCACTTAGATCTCAATATTGATGGTACTACAAAAGCATTGGGTATTTCATGGAACTTAAAAACTGACAAATTCGAGTATAATACAACAACACATGATGAATCAGTTACTGTTACAAAAAGAAGAATCTTGTCAGACATGCAAAAACTTTACGATCCGCTGCGATGGATAGCACCGTTATTAGTAAAAACAAAAATATTTATACAACGACTTTGGACTCAGAGATACAGTTGGGATGAAGAAATAAGTCAATCACTGATAGATGAATGGAAGATAATTAAATATGATTTTAAAAACGTAAGTGACATACATATAGATAGATGGTTACATACATATAATAAAGAGAAAGAAGCTATTGAAATACACGGATTCTGCGATGCTTCAATGCAAGCTTATGCGGCGGTAGTGTACTGTCGCGTTGTTAATTCCAACGGAACCGTAACTACCACTCTCATTGCTGCGCAAACAAGAGTAGCTCCATTAAAGACAATATCACTGCCACGCTTAGAGCTTTGTGGTGCTGTTTTACTGTCGAGATTGCTCAAACAAGTAACACATGCAATGAAGTTGTCAATGTCTCAAGTTTTTACGTGGACTGATTCCACTATTGTTATATCTTGGCTACGTGGAGAACCTTGTAAATGGAAACCTTTTGTAGCGAACAGGGTTGTAGAAATAATTGATAACACCAACAACAGGCAATGGTACTATGTGAAGTCTCGTGACAATCCTGCAGACATAGCTTCCAGAGGAATGTTTCTTAAAGATCTGAAACAGTCGAAATTGTGGTGGAAAGGGCCAAAATGGTTGTCCGATCAAAAGATAGAATTTCAAAAGCCAAGTTATATACAGACAGATGAGGAAAGGAAAACGGTTATACATGCACACTTGAATATAAATAAACAAGAAGAAAAAGAAACTAGGATATATTCACAATTTGAAAATTACGACACATTAACAGAATTATTGAAAGTAATAACATTATGCAAGAGATTTCTAAAATTTAAACTATCATCAGACGATATAAGTAATATAATAACAACAAAAGAAATAGATGATTCATTACATGTATGCATACAAATAAGCCAAGAACATGATTTTGAGGATGAAATTGAATCGTTGAGAAACAAAAACATGGTACGAAAAAGTAGCAGTCTAAAATCATTGAATCCATACTTAGATGAACTACAAGTCCTCAGGGTGGGCGGAAGACTCAGACACGCCAATATAAACGAAGAAAGCAAACATCCAATCATACTCAGTCATAAAAACAGATTGACATATTTGCTTGTGGCTGAGGCACATCGTAGAACTTTACATGGAGGTGTACAAGTGATGCTGACGTACCTGACTTCTAAGTATTGGATATTAAGAGGGAAAAGTATGATCAAGTCATACATACGTAAATGTTTGATATGTGCAAGACACAATGCTGTTGCAAGAACTCAAATTATGGGAGATTTGCCAAAGGCGCGTGTGACGCCTTCGCGACCGTTTTTGCACAGCGGTGTGGATTTTACTGGTCCATTTCAAGTATTGATATCGAAGGGCAGAGGCATGAAAACTAAGAAAGCCTATATATCTATATTCATATGCATGGCTACTAAAGCCATTCATCTAGAATTAGTTGGAGATATGACATCAGAAGGATTCATAGGAGCATTCAAACGATTTACTGCCAAGAGAGGAAAGTGCTCATACTTATGGAGCGATCAAGGAAGAAACTTTATTGGTGCGAATAAAGAGTTATCAAATCCTGGATAAGATAGTGTTACTAGAGTTTACAGCGTGAAAAGTGGCGATAATATTGTAAAAAGATCAATTAGTAAATTGTGTTACTTACCTGTAAATACTGATAGTAGTTTTATATAATGTTAAATTCATTATTCATATGTTTAAAAATTGTTTCTTAAAATAACTTATAGTCATTTTGGTGGGCGGCATGTTATTCCAGTTTAGTTGCAAATACAAATTACTACAGAACAGACGTGTGTTTCCTTGCTCTAGACATTACACAAAATACGTTAAGCAAAATTCAACCATATCCCATACAATCCTATAATTTAACTGCTATGTCTCACCCTTTAAATCAAAACACAACTTACAAAAGCATCTAGGCGGCTGAAATAAGTGAAACAATGGTGCCACAGCATATGGCTTTGTGAAGAGTCTATCTCGGAATGCGCTTAATGGCGGCGCGCGCTGTCCTCGTTTTCTTTGTCTACATTTACATTTTATCTGCGTGAAATCCTTTTCGCGCATAAAATAGTACTTGTAAAGGCAATTGGTCAAATCAGACCCCGCAAGATTATAGGAAAGTAAGAGAAAAGATTTTACATATCAACAAATATATGACTGCTACCTGGTCCGTTCCAGCTCTGCCATGATTTGCTGCAGCTGCTCGTCCTGGTGCTCGGGTTCCGGTGACGTCCTGCCCGGGTGCACCGGCAGGAAGTCCGGCAATCGCATTGATTCTGCACCTAAACAATCCATACCATTATAAAGCACTGCTACATCAAGCAAATTAAAGACAAAATGGGAGTCGTGTCGTATAAACATTTAAAGAGCATGATGGAAAATCGTGAAAAGTGGCTAGAGCTTCACCAACAAGAGGGTAGTTCTTAAATTATGAATGGAAGTATATTTTTTTAATGGATGACTGAAATAAGTGTCCCCTAACAGCACACGCAAGCGGAGCACCAGTGGAAACCACTCTTTTTATATTCCTATTTAGTAGATTTCTGTTCTGTTTCTTAGCCTTTGTTGGAAGTTGGAGAAGGCTTTTACGTGGGTAAAAGCCTTCTCCATATATATAAAGGGAAATGGGACCATATATATAAAGAAATCAAATTAGACAAAATTGAAATTTTAATTACATGGATAATAAAGTTTAAATATAATATAAATATAAGAGGAGCAGTTCAAAGCCCTCATTATGTATTTTTAAAGTAATATGACCTCGGGTTCAATTCAGACAAACAATCCAATGATAAATATATACAGCTAGGTATGTCATTACGCTATGGTAAACATTACATAGGTACTGAAAAAATCACGAAATTGTGTCGTGCCACACATAAATTAAGGTTTATTAACAACAGTATCACTATTCAATTGTAATTCACAATACTTCCTATATACGAATACTAGCTGAATATCACTATATCGTCCGCTTGAATTAGAGTAAAAAGTATCCTAGGTATATATCAACTTTATTTTATTTATTTAAATATATATAACTCAAAGGTGACTGACATAGTGATCTATCAACGCACAGCCCAAACCACTGGACGGATCGGGTTTAAATTTGGCATGCAGGTAGATGTTATGACGTAGCATCCGCTAAGAAAGGATTTTGATTAATTATACCCCTAAGGGGATAAAACAGGGGGTGAAAGTTTGAATGAAACTTTGTCAATTTTTAACCGATTGGGCTGAGGCATGCATAAAGCTACTATGACATAGGCAACCTCTAAGAAAGGATTTTGATAAATTCCACCTCTAAGGGGATAAATAACCGCGAGCGAAGCCGCGGAAAAAAGCTAGTTTTATACATGTATTGACATGTATAAAACTAGCTTTTGTCCGCGGTTACTTTCTCTTGTATCATTCTGTCTATGGCTAAAAACTGCATTAAAATCTGTTGCGTAGTTCAAAAGATCTAAGCGAACAGACAGCGAAAGTAACTTGATTTTATAATACGAAAAGATAAAATTACAATGCACAAATAAAGTTGCACATCATGGTGGCATCTCCCAGTGTGGTAATTATAAAAATTAACCAGATAATCTAGAATATGATTTACCAGTATATGTATCAAATTTGGTTTGAATCCATCCAATAGTCCGTGAAATAGGAATAATCATACATCTCTACAAACTGGGGACCCCGCTCTTGGACAGAACCGTAAGGATATATAATTCATATTTTTAAAGAACTAAATTACATTACAAACAAATGCAGTACATGGCTGAATGTGGTCTTCGACAAGTGTCTGAGTGGCTGGATTATAATCTCCTAACATTAAACGCGTCTAAGACCCAGTATTTGTGTTTCCATAAAACAGCTGTATCTCGCCCACCTTCAAGTAAGTTCAATATTAAAATACACAAAAACTGCCTATCGCCTAATGGTACTTCCAACGCTTACTGTAATTGTGACATTATCAACAGGGTGGTCTCGCTGAGGTATCTTGGAATTGAACTGGACGAAAATTTAAATTTCAAGAAACATATATCAATTACCGCAAAAAGAGTTAGAAAATTAATGTACACAATGAAATTATTGAGAGTCATTTCAGACAACACTACTCTGAAATTGGTATACTTAGCGTTATGTCAGTCTTTAATAAATTATTGTCTACTAGCCTGGGGAGGTATTACGAAGTCCAATTTAATTCCCTTAGAAAGAGCTCAACGAGCTGTTCTGAAGGTTTCTCTAAAAAAACCGCGACTATTCGACACGATGCAATTGTATAAAGAGGCTGAGGTCCTGAGCGTGCGCAAATTGTTTGTAATGCGAGTTACTGTATACATGCACAAATATGTGAAGAGTCTACCAACATACAAAGATATATTAAAGAAGAGAATCTATAAAGCTCCTGTGTCTAAGGCTAAAACATCATTTGCTCAACGTCACAAAAAAATTCTCTTTCCACACATATACAATCAAATTTGCAAACTAATTGATATGAAAAACTCTCAGTTATCAGGTTTAAAAACACTCCTCAACAGTATACAGTACTATCATTTAATAGCAGTATATTACTATCATTTATTAACTCACACATTGTTTTTATTGTCTAGTCTTAAAATGTGTGTAGGAAGGAATGAAGACCATACTCCTAATCATAAATACCTAATGCTTTAACTTTATAATAGATTTAGAAATACTAAGTATGGTTGTAGCCCACTCATACATAAACAATATATCTCCTTTAGCAAGTACACTCTATCATGAGGAAAAAGAAACAATACCTCCTAAGAATATCCTTAAATTCTTGTCCCTAATGGGTCTAGGTAGTGAACTCTATAAAAGGGTGCATATAATTGATCTCTGTAGGTCATAGTGTTGCAGGACTGATACACCTTTTAACAACCCAAATCCCTCAAAATAAGTATTGCTCTTATATAGTTATGATTTAGAAGTGTCAGTTGACATTACTAGATATGCAACAAATTTTGCAAATGTGGGAGTTAGGTACCTGGAATTGGAAGAATTAATAATATGTACCAATATATAAAATGTAATATAGTAAAAAGCTTACCAGTATTGGGAGGCAGATCAAGCGGAAATGTACTTCTTGGTGAGTTATTCCTCCTGTCAGCTGGATTCACTGACTCGGTCAGATCTAGACTGAGATGTGCTGGTAGATCCAAAGGTATAGGTCCAGCTGCCTCCGCCCCCGCTGGTAAGTCCAAGGGGATCCCGTGACCAGATTCGTTGGATGTTGAAGCTGCGCCCATGTATGCACCATAATCATATTCATTGTTACTCCCATAACTACTGTTCTTCTTTCTACCCAACGAGGAAGACGAACCCAAATTAAAATTAGTATTAAAAGTAAAGTCTGGTAAATTGTCCAAGTCAACTGATATGGGTCCATTAGAGTTTAAATAAGCTTGTTCCACTAGTATATGATCTTGTACAAAGTCAGGCAATGAGGGCATGCCTAACGGCTCCGAGGCCAGGTTTGGTCTCTGATAGAACGGCACATTAGTACTGTCCGCGTAAAAGTTATGCTTAGACTCGGAATTGTCCACTACACTAAACGGTATCTCTACAGAACTACTTGAAGACGTATTATCACTTATTGTTAAACGATGGCCAGCATCGATCATTTTGTCTTTGGCTTGAATATCGCTCGGGCGCGACTTCTCTCGTCTCGTTTCAGCGTGAACGTCTAACTTCGTAGGCGAATGCTGCACTGTGTTTGCGTAAACCTTAGGTCTGGCCCCAGTGTTTTCGTACGTCGAGTTACCCGGTAACGACAGATCTCGCTTCAGAAAATGTCGAAACGAAAACGGGTTTTCCTCCTTACGCGTTGCGCCAGTAGTACCTGAAAAAAAAGGAACGTGTATCCCAGGAATTACTTTTATATTTAGAGTGCAAAAAATAACTTCGTCAAATACTAACTCGTCGAACTTTTTGCCTCAGTAGGCGACGTATCGCCATTTTCGTTACTATTATATTTTGCCTCTTCGATGCCTAGATCCGGTTTTGTTGTATGTTGATCACTTTCTTGAGAGGGACCAGCACTATTTGAATTTTGTGGTGATTTTTTATTTGAAACACCATCTTCGTCCTCCGCCATTATGAAAATGAAAATTGACAGATGATCAGTATGACCATCCACAAATTATAGATTCAATCTACTTTAATGGGAAAATTCCCAAATTGTGCCATAATCGATAATAAAAAAATTGCCATCATTATTGAAAATGGCTGGTAGTTTATTCACATTATTACTTACTTGTAAGGTTAAATTATATACAGAGAAATAAAATTAAATATAAGGGCAAGGTAGCAAAGTTATGGACACCTCCCAAAACAATAATTTTAGAAACTGCCTAAAATATGGGTAAACGCAATGATGGCTGGCTCATTCCACCGAGAAAGTTATCACTTTGTTCATTCGCCATATTTGCGAAAGATTTTGAAAATGCCGTTTAACACTAGGATCTGTCATTGTCATGTCTTTTTAAATTGTATTAAAAAAATATTTAAGTTTTAGAAATTAACTTATATTCAAAACAGGATATCAGATTTCCTAACCATTCTTATGACTAAATTTTAAATGTGGCGGGTAATTTGAATTGGTAAATAAAACACTACATATTATAGAGAAATTTATTTGTAAGGCTCCTCTTTTAATGTTTTGTTAAATACTTATTGTACAATATCGACAGACAGTGAGTTACTACATACTTTACAACAAGATTAAAAAAATAATAACAAGGATTTTTATCTACACAGTAACATAAATTCGTTAACAATAAATGCATTTTAATTTTAATATTAAGTAGATAATATAAAAATATTGAAATTATTTTAAACTTTCTGAGCATAGATAAGTTCACAGACATACACATAGGTAGAAGACGCAAGTACCTTAAAAAAACTAGGGGCATCACCATAAAGCTATGATGTATTGCCATTAAATTCCTTAAAACGCAATTTATAATATTGTTTTTATATTTAGGTACCTTCTAAGCTATTTGTACTTTAGATAGGTAATGGAATTACATATTTTGTAATGTCAGTGATGTTATTCATTTACATACATAAGCACAATTAATAAAAAAAATACCATCTTCCATTAGGGAAGACATCAGTACGTTTTCCTTTAAAATAAATAAATAGGAGTCTGGCCTCGATTATAGTAGTTGCGAAATCTATTCATATGTAATGTCTGTGACATAGAAGCATCACATTAGAATACAGTGTATACTAATACTGAATACAAATTCCCTTGGAATCGCTCTATTGCACTGTTAAAAATACTCTGTGGCTTCATAATTGCTTAAATAAATTTAATTTTGAAGAAATCAAAATAACAATACGAGCGATTCACATATAAATTTTAGTAAGAGAAGTCTCAGTGTTTTGATAATCCGAATATAGAATATCCTTTTTTTGCCATTGATATAAACACTCGTAAACCAGAACTAAAATTAATATTTTTATAACTATAACATAATAAAAAAATCGACTAATAACCAATCTTTTATGCTCAATGTCAAATCTCTACCAAAGAGGTTGCTGTGAATGCACTATAGTACCCCATAATGAAACCTCGGATGAAGTTCAAACCTAGCAAATTCATATATTACAGTTATAAAAATATTACAACTGATATTTAATTTAAACTTTATTATTGAGGGTATTTAGAAAAAGACTAACATAAAATGGCAGTTAGTAAGGAAACCAATATTATAAATACGCAATAAATACAAATTATAATTCTTCACTACTGGAAAATAACATGTAACGTTATATACTTAATATTATGTATAATATATAATTTTACGGTAGTTAATAAGTCTTGTCTTGTAGATGTCACCATATAATTGTGAATTCCGTGAGTGCATAATGTATCTATATCTCGAAATTGTATGGTCTGCCATGACTAAACTGTGAACTACAGAAATTTAATACATATTTTATGCAATATCACAACTCGTGTAGAACAGTTTAAAATTCATAAAGTTGTATCTATATACATAACGGAATTCACAATAATATTAGACATAGATAAATTTATTATTTATATTTAGAATTTATATGCCAGAAACAAATGCAAGGGACACGATCCATACTGCTTATACTGGCAGTATGGATTGTCCCATGACTGCTGTTTTAAATGATAAATTTAATTCATTATAATTCATCTGATACATTAAATTAATTTATACAAAGATACTCACTTGTGATTATTAATTTAGTAAATATAGCCAATATGTAGTTCTATAAAAATAAGTATCATACACACACGACTATGCAAACCATGTTACATAAATTACGTGAAATTTAGAAATAAATAAAATAATTTCTTATACGAAGATATAAGTACACAAGTAAAGATATTAGAAGCGTTGAACATTTAAACAAAATTTGGCACTCATATTTTGAATACTTGATTCCGAAGACATCCATAGAATATACAATTAAAAATAAAATGAACAAAATCGAACATTTTATAATCTTTAAATAATAGTTTTTTTTAATACTTAGATTATAAAACAATTTACAAGTGATTAGTAATTTTGCTGTGATGCCTTGGTGCATATTTCGAGATACGAGATATATTTAAAAATAATATTTCTATGAGAAATCTTTATATTACTTAGTCTACGTAAATTTTAAGTTTACAAAATGAACATATCTCTGCATTCTTTTACGCAGACAATCATAACAGAGACTAAATCTATGAAATAATATAGTTACTTAAACAAATTTTGTTATGGTAGGACCCCTAATTTAGTCCCAGATAATCGTAATTAATTACTATTTTTGAAATTTCTAACTTGCATTATATTCTCGCTTATTCATAATAACTTTACTAACAAACCTATTTCAATTATTAAACTATTTTGTTCTCTTTTTATGTCATGGCAAAAATTTTACGTTGTTTGACTACTGGCAACACCTGATGGTAGGCGGTATCACGGGTATCACGTTATCATGTGATACCCGAGATGACTACGATGTCATGTCAGGATAAGATCCTGTAATTTTCTTTCTATTGTAAGTTTGTTTTATTTAAAAGAACATGACAAAAGACTGTAATATTTAAAATAGCTTTGTTAAGTATTTAAAATTTTGGAAACTTATTTGCTTTTTGATTCTATTCTAAAAAGAAATACAATTTCCAAAATTAGTATATTAGAATAGACAAAATATTATAAATGTGATTGTATTTTGAATATATGGCACATATCGTTGCATTTATTTGTAAAATTAATAAAATTATTCTAATACTATTTTTAATTTGCCGATTACTTGGTAAGTACATTATATAATATTTTGCAACTTAAATTAGATAAATAAACATAGTTTTATAAATTCTAAATTATTGATTAGTATACGATATAATAGAAAAAGTATATTATCGTGTATGTCGGTAGAGATTTTAATAGTTAATAGTAGAAAATTTTTGAACGAATAGTAGAATGGTAGGTTTTAATAAAATTTATTTGACTAACTATCGATGCGATCGAATAACGAATAATAGATGTCGGATAGTATTTCTGAATAAGTACAATTATAACTTGTTTGTATATATAAAATAGATAAGACATAAATAAGATTGTTAAAATTAATATTAAATAATAAAAGGGTAATAATTGATATTATCTATTACTGGCCATAATATCTCGGTCAGTTGTTATTGTTATTTATTTATATGACTTTTATTGTAATTCTTGAAGTTTTTAATGACGCTCTTCCCATGTAATAAATTAAATTCCATAATAAAATGGAGCTTTTGAATTAATAAACCCGTCGTCTGTAAAATCGACAGATAATAATATAATCCTATGATAATTCACGCAACGCCATCTAGTCCCAAGCTAAGCTGAGCTTGTGTTACACTAGACAACTGATATAAATACATAGATATTTTTTTATTAATACATACAAACATAGAAAATACCTACAAACATATTAATAAATACAATGTTTATACCGTGCGTGGAATCGGACCCGCGACCATCGGAAATAAAGCGGTGTACTAAACCGCTAGACTACCAAGGCCGTCAATTTCCTTCGAATTCGATTGCGTCAAAAGTCAGCCCACGTTTTTAGACTATTGTGTTGTGTTTAAATATAATTTAAACACAACATAAAGTTAAATATATAGTTTACATGTGATATATAATTAAGTACTGTTAATTTGAAATTGCAGCAATCATGAACAATTTTTTAACTAAGTTTGAAACAAATCAAATATAGCGTTTCAATATTAGTTTCATATTTAGTTGGTAACACAAATCTTTACGACTGCAATGCTGGCTGGAGTAGTCAGTCATTGTCGACTGTCAACGTTATGGCGACACTGGATGCAACACTTGATAAAGAAATGCCTACATTTTGCTGAGGATTATTATATCAATTATATTTCTATATATAGATTTATTTATTTACAATTAATATAAACAATAAAATAAAGATAAGATATATAACCTTTTTTCCAAATCCAACAGATAAATATGTAAACAATAACAATATATGTGCCAACTAAATACGCATTAGGTGCTTTATGATATAGATTTAGACATAATCGACGAAAGAAACGAAATAATCAGTCTTTTACGAGTGTCAGGGAAGGAAGAACAGTTACATACAACTTGAATAAATTAGCTAATTACAAAAATATTCATAGCGAACGCCTTTCGAATCAGGTGGTCCTCAAAGTAAAATGCACTTTATAACTAATTATCTTAGATATAATATCCTTTGAATAGTACAGAGTTAGTTATAAAATATGCCACGTATGCTAAGCCGATAACTAAACAGAGTACACACAAAACTGAACTATTTTCACCAAGAAATAAGGTGGAAATTTGAATATACTTTGATGTTTTCTTAATATGATCCCACAGCTTTTTTTTTTAATTTTATAATTCATGAGGAATCGGACCTAGGAGATCGGAAATATAGCAGTGTGGTGTAATAGGTCACAGATACCTTTTTTAGGTTTTTGGAAGGCGATTAAAATTACATTAAATATTTCACTTCTTTTCGAAAGCTATTCAGTGTAATACGAACTTCTTAGCAATCCGCGGATTCTCCGTACGGGAATCGGGCCATCGTGTGGAGAGAAACTCAGAAGGAGAAAC